TAAAACAAGCGACTGTTTAGGCGCCCCTCCTCAGTCATCGCGACCTGGGGAGGGGTTACTCGTTTTCCGATGTCTTGGAATTATGCTTAGGCCAGGCGCATGGTTGCATGCACTTGGTTGAGTTGACACCAAACTTCCAGTGGTACCAACAAAACTGCCCAGATTGTCTGGACATTTGTGACCTGTTTTTTGACTTGGATCGTGGTCGTTGTGACATACTTCTGTTTCTATGACCCATTTGCATTCTGGCGACAGCCTCAGTGAGCCTCTAAACACTCGCAGTGAGTCCTTTTGTGACCGGGTCTTTTGCTGATTCTACTTTTTGCATGTGATTAATCATGCCTGATTCAGTTGGAGGACCTCTTTCCATTATTCTATCGGCCATACGCTCTGAATGAGATAGTGAGGTTTCAGGATCTTGTGCATCCAAACACTGTTGGGCGTAGCATGAGCGAGCTTGTATCCATCCTTGTTTTAGGACTACTTCACCCACTGTGTTATCACCCACTAAGACTTGGAGGTGCCGTAAAAACTGTGACGGCGACCGATCACCTAGTGTTTCTCCTTGAAAACGTGTTTGGATTCTTTGACTGTCTGATAATGATAAACGGTTCATTATCTCTCGTTTTAAGATGGTGTATGGTCGTGGTGATAGTGGACTTGAAATCAAGTCACGGACTTCTTTGGCGACTGAAGGGGGGGATAGAACACAAGTCTCTATAGCGAATCCCTTCAGATTTGATATTGTGTCTCGTGAAATAATGCTCTAGTGGAGCAAATCACAACTCAGGACCACTACGATCAAAGTCTGGAAGTAGGAATTTCGTAGTCATAAAAGAGTCTGTCTCCACTGGGGATAAATCCTCCATAATATGGGTTCCCATTGAGTCTGACATGAAGTATGTGACAAATATAGCAGTAAAATTAGCACGAAAAATGGTTACTATAACGCGAAAAGATAGTAAAAAATCAGCTATTAATATACCCAACTTAGTTTAGGGATAATTAGGTCTACTTTTACGATTGAGTAAAAAAAATAATATTAATAACAGAAATTAGGTTAAATTTGTGTTCAAAAGGGCTCACCAGTTTCATGCCTTAGGGTAACCCTCGTGCTATTGATAGAAGAAACCAGACAAGTAGTGAATAGGTCCTTATTTCGATCTTCGCGCAGTCACAGTGGAGTGTGGGATTATTTGTTCAGACAAACAAAGCCTCTCAACATTCAATATAAGATAAAAAGAAATATAAAGCCTATGGAAAATGAGGAAGTGAATGAATACTTGACTTATACTGTTTTGGCATGTGCTTGGTTGTTTGAGGTCAACTCTTAACCAACCAGCCTATGTTGTTACAAACGCTTGAGCCTCACCAAAGTCTCTCCATAGTGCAGGAATATTTCCTCTGTGATATAGATTGTTTTCCTACGCTCACCACTCAGATTCATGTTTCCAATATTATGCTGGATTAACTATTCTACTAAGACAACCTATAACATGCTAACTCGGACTTTTACACTAGGATTGCGTGGTTGGCGTCAGATAGATAAAAAGAGGAAAAAATCAGACAACAAAAGATATGGTCATTAGTATTCTTAACACTTCACCCTCTATATACACTCCCTTCTAATAAACCGCTTTCCTTGTACCAGCCTTGAATTTCTTTCCTTCATGTGAGCTTACTACAACTCGTTAAACGACACAACTCATTGTTCTTTATTACTACATTCTCTTATATGGAGCCTCTGACTTCATTTCACTCTAACGAGAGATGATATGAATTTATTTTAATTTATTATACCTCTGTCCATTCTACTACACAATGTTAAGCAACGTTTGGCGTTCATATCCAAGTGCCTTGTTGCTCTTCTGTTCCTCTTTTTCTTCTTCAGAAATTTGCTCTGAGGGCACAGCTATGAAAATTCTGACGTCTGGAACAAACATGACGTACGTGTCTCCTCAAGGTCATAGTTTACAGCAAGCGCTCTACGAGTATATTTTATAACAACCACAAACTTAATAAGTTGGGAAGTATTTCGTGAACCAACAAATGTTGTAATTTATAGATCATGCCTGTTAAAATGGCGTGTACCTGCACATGCAGAAATATATATATTATTATTGTCCTTTGGTTTATATGGGAATACAAGCGTTTAGGACATTCTATAGATTCCTTAACAATTTTTTCTTCCTACAACTTTCTAGACTTCCGGGGTTCGAGGCACAGGTATTCCGAGCTTTTCGGTACTGAGATTTTGTCTCATAAGTCCCCAATAACCTAAATCTATCCCACATTTTTCTTCTCTTACGGAGAAGAATGGGAACCTCCCTACTGAACCATGGTGGAGAGTTTCTCAGCCCTCTTGGTGTAGTCCAAGAGATGTCGCGTGCGGTTACGTTCAAGTATAAATTTCGAAATGCGTCCCAGGCCGTTTCAATTGAGGACTCTCGATCTATTGTCCAATCTACTGACGATGCTGAGTGCATGATATCTTGGATGTTTGCTTTCCAGACGTTAGTTCTGGACTGAGCTAACGCGTGCTCGTGATTGACAGTTATATGGAAGTCAGAAGTTAAAACTGCGTGATCACTTTTACCTAGAGGCGGCATGTAATGGAGATTCGCAACATCATCCTCATAGTGAGTCAATATAAGACCTAGTAAGGATGATTCAGTGTCCGGGTCGTACCTAGTCGCTTATTTCACATGTTGCACTAGGGCACATGTGATAACCGCATCAACTAGTCCCCGCTCGAAGGAATTTTCTGACGATTCAGTTCGCAGATTTTCCCAGTCTACCATAGATGCATCAAAGTTCCCTAGGATTAGACATCGACTACTTTGTGACCAAGTATTGAGACTGCTTAACAGGATCTCATTCGCCTCACAGCTTGGACTGCGATAGACCAAACCAATCAGCAGCTCTTGTCCCTTGCATTTCAAGCGGCAACTAACTAATTCAAACCCCCACTCTCATGCGATACACCTTTGATAGTGGCAAACGGAATAGCATTTCTAATGAATAGAGCTACCCTCCCTCCTTTATGCTTTTGTGTTCTCTCGGCCCTTACTAACATAACACCCTCGAAATCATGTTCCATACTATCTATAGACTGTGTCCTCCAGGTTCCTGTGACTGCGCTTATGTCTGGCTTTGTAGGGTCGATTTGTACACCTAGTTCCGATCGCTTATTAAGTAAGCTTCGGCATTAGTGTAACAGGTCCGAAGCATATTTAAGTAGCTTCGTCCTTCACTGAGAGTATCTTCGGCATCATCTTCTTTTGAAGCCTCACAATCTGAAACTCTACAGTTTTTATGTCCTTTTCGCCAGCGTCCAACCTGAGTTGTAGTTCTTTTTCGGCTTTCCGTCTTTTCACACGGTCTGACAATCGTAAGTCCTTACGGATAAAAACTCCTGAACCCTTTAATTTATGTCCATTCTGTAAAATTAGGTCGCGTTCGTTCGAAGATTTGAATAATACTTTAAGCAGTCTGGATCGATTTGGTTTCAAGTTCGCTAGACTCCCTAGTCTGTACACCTTTAGCAAGGTGACCCCGGTGATATTTTGAGGCATGAGTTGATTTGACAGATGTTTAATCAGCACAATGTCATGCTTAAAAGGAGCTTTTGGTTCACAGCTTTCACTCTCATTGATTTTATGAAAAATAACTGGTCTGTCACTGTGACCAGCCTTCAATTTCTCGACTACTTTTACGGAGGCAGGATTCGCTTTTATATCATTATGTTGTTTTTTCCTTACAACCTGTACCACTCGTCAACGTTGCAATAAGAGGCAACCACAGTTGAGTCAAACATACCGTGGGATTCCGGAGAGTTGTCGACGATTTGGGAGGTAAGGCTATGTTTCCCGCTAGAAACCGATCGAGCGTTTCCTTCTGAATACCGTTTAGAAGACGGGGACAGAAGAAACTTCTTTTCTTGAGTTTTTGGTTAAGACAGACCTATTTGAAGACTGTTTTTCCTCCTTTGGTCGATGTGAGTCACCTGTTTCAAACTCACCTGAGTTTACTTCACACCGATTTGCGTGTTGACAGATCGAGTACTGTTCGATATATCTCGATCCACGCTTGCCAAAGCACTTTTTTTACAGAATTTACCAGTGAGATGGCCTCCGTTAGCAAGCTGTTCGCATCCGAACAGCACTGTTGACAAAGCCATACGCAACCGTTTCTACTGAACCGTTTGAAATCCGCAGGCGTTAAATTCCTACAAACTTCACGGTACCAGCCTTTGCACTCATCGCACTGCATTCCGCTTTCGACGGGATAACGACAGCTCGGACGTTGGCAATTGCTATTTTTGCACTGTCCAGTCATTTGTACAGGGGTGCTTTTTTAAAAAAGAACTAGATGCAATAATACTCAGAGACAAAAATGATCTATGACGAAAAAAGTGGAAAACCGCAGATTGTTAGAACCAAAAGTACTAACAGATACAGTAGAAAACAAAGTACTTAAAAGTATCGACGACAAACTACTTTAGAAACAGAAACGATACTCTAATCGAATAGTTTAACTGAAATAGATTCAGTTGAAGTGAAAACAGTAGTCTTGATGCGTAATAAACGATCAAAGTGATAGAATTTACTCAGAGAGGAAGAATACCACTGTTCTTTTACTTAGCGCGCGTGATTTTTTGCAAGTCAAGTCAGAGCAGTTCTTCCCGTTCATGGAGCGTGCGGTCTTTTTAGTTTACCTTGAACTTCCTCTCCTTTTCTAAGGGTTTTTCAGATTCATAATTCTACACCTGAAGGACTAGACTGTCTATAATCATTGTAAATAATAAGTTGTAAATCTGAATCTGAATCTAATTTCAACCCATAAGCTTGGAAGTGATTAGGTTCCAAATTACTGATAAACTATGCTAAAACATCCAGCTATTTTTCAACGACATATCTGTACTCATTACTGTGACTGTAAATAATCATAGTACACATGTGATTTGGAATAATATCCTCGTTTTAATGTTTTGACTTGGATCTTAAGGTCAATAGTAACATATGGCGGGATCGTACTGGTCTTCTTAATCGTTTGTTGTACATGTTAGACATACATCAAGTTCTTGAATACTACCTGACGGATTTTTTTGTATCGACACGTTATTGTAATGCCACAACACCGGAAACAAGTGAACGACAATTGTAACGTTTTGAACCAGCCACTTCCCCGTGTAATTCACAGACCAATCCCAATTACTGCGTCATCTGTCGTACTTTCACCTTTCGAACTAGTCACTCCTAGAATGCCTGTACGAACTGTGGCCGATCCACCGGAAGTGGTCCCGTCTGGTCACTGGTTTCACGGAAATATTAGTCGGGAGGACACTGAAAGACTTCTGAAACATCATTCACAAAATGGGACTTTCCTTATAAGATTCAGCATATCGACTCACAAGTATGTTCTGAGCGTCATTTACAATCAGCAGCTGTACCACTATCCGATAGAAGAATTGTCAGATGGATTTTATCAGGTACCTGTTGAATTTCAAAACGTTTTGTTATTCTAAGTTTTCATAAGGCAACGAGTCATACTTTTATTTATGATTACTTCTGTCCGTACTGTTTTATGATGATGTATATTGTTCATTTTGTTCTCACTAAAAAACAGTGATATTAAAATTGTAGACTAGTTAGTTCCTTTCGTCTGGTTACGACATCAGTGTTGGGATTATACTGTATAACGACATCCTAATAACTTTATTAACTTTGCGTTACTCTCTAAAACGCTCGTCTGGGTTTTATTTTGTTTTTCAGGTCAATGGGACAAATGCTAAATATTTGGGTATTGACTTACTTGTATCAGAGTTCAGGCGTGCAAATAACTGCATAGTTTGCTCATTAGGGAAGCCTGCTCCAGGTCTCCGGCCGCCTCCACATATTACTGTTTATGGAGTAACCAATGACTTGCATCATGCTGTAAGGAAAGCAAATCTTAAGGTTAGTTAATTATTATATAAATCGGTACCAGTCCTCTCCCTATCTACTAAACATGCCTATTTGGTAGTAGTCAGTGTTAAAACAAGTATTCAACCAAACATATTTCTAAAGCTTTGTTGATATGTCGTGAAGTCATGGGACTGAAAGTTAAATATTAAGTGTGGTGTTTTTTGAAAGTGAACCAATTGATTAGTTTATAAACTCATATTGACCGACAATTGAGGACGTTTACCATCGGTAGACTATTTCCACTGGAATCTACTGAGAATCCAAAAGGTTTTAAGAAGGCCAAACCGAAATATTAAGCTAATCTATGGAGCCAAGCTGCCTTTCGATCCCACAGGAGGAATCTTATGTTTCGTAATAGAGGTCCTCTGAACGAGAATAACTAGTGAATTTTTACTTGACACGAATCTTGTTTTGGTGATACCATTGCTTTTATTATCTAGCTGTTAGCTTTAAATAGATTATTGTGCTTGATACTTTTATTGTTGAATCCTATAGTACGTAAACTACTGGAATAACTCATGGTCGGTGAGATGTGCATAAACCGATCGACATTTATTTGCCTATGGAGTTATATATATATAATTGAGGGTCGAGGTAAAAGCCACTGGACATCAAATTAAATGGGAATTTTGACCATGTTACAACCTGTCTTTTCTTACTTTCTGTGATCACTCATTATTACTATCGTGAGGTAAGAGGAGCAACACAAATTTCCGTGCTAGTCCTTACTTTTTATATTTAAGTTGTTTTCATAAAAGGCTTATGCCGCAATCAGTAACTTAGTTGTCTTGTCACAAATCTCATTTAAAACAGTTCTCCTAATTAAGATTACTGTGACTATGTGTGAAGCTTTTTTGTCTACGTTTGTGTTTGCAAGGGTGTTCGTGACCTCTTTACACGTGTCAACTCAATGGAAGTAACAAGTTTATCGGATTATGTGAACGAAAAATCAGCTGACAGTGGTGCTACTCCATTAATCGAAGCTGCTAAAACAGGCTCCAATGATATTGTCCGGGTAAGTATAACTTACAAATTGTAGTTTTGTCATATTAGTTACCCGTAATTCGATTGTTTCTCATGCAATTTTTTATAATGTTTTATGTAATAATAGTATTATTATTTATTTATTTATTTGAACACATAAATATTGGTACAAGAGAGCGCCAATATATATGCGCCACACAAAACAATGGGAATTCGAAGAGAAGTAGAAAGAAAAAAGAAAAAAAAACTAAGGAACGCAAAAGAAAAAGAGAGTAATGACGAAGAGGTACAATCAGAAGAAATCTTTCAGGTAAAGGAGACACAACCACCTTTTATGAAGAAAGTAAAAGAAGGTTACAGCAGGATCGCCACCGGCTTCTATTCTGAGCCATATCTGATAACGTCTCTAGCCACTGTGTAGCACCATCTCTCGGACCCCAACCAGGGAGTCGTGAAGGACCGACACAAGCCAGTCCTTTGCAGCTTTCTTTCATGCCACGACACCATGTCATGCACTGACCACCTCTCCGCTTCTTCCAACCAGTCCCAGAGTCGGCAAATAATGCACGACGTGGAATTCTCTGGGACGACATTCGGAGAACATGTCCAAGCCACCGAAGTCGGTGTTTCAAGATGGTGACACCAATTGAGTTATCATCTCTGTGCCCGAACACACGATGCCGAACCTCTGCATTACTGACATGGTGTTGCCACTGAATTTCAGCAATCCTTCGGAGACAGCGATGATCGAACACAGAGAGTCGTCTAACGTCCTCAACTCGGAGAGGCCAGGTTTCACAAGCATAGAGCAAAACTGCTCTCACCGACGCGTTGTAGATCCGACCTTTTACAGCCAGACTAACATCACGAAGGCGCCAAAGGTGGCCCAGATTGGCATAAGTCGCTCTGGCTTTCACTATTCGTGCATTGATCTCATCACTCACACCCCCACCAGCACTTATGCAGCTACCCAGATACACGAACTTCTCAACTACGTCTATCTGCTCACCGTCCAGGGTGAGTACAGGATTAGAATCCTGCCAGTCTTGTAGAAGTACTTTGCACTTCGAAGGTGCAAAGCACATACCATACCTACGGACATTGATTGCCAACTGATTAAGTGCGGATTGCATGCCTTGGGCATTATCGCACAGTAAGACAATATCGTCCGCATACTCAAGGTCGAGAAGTCTTTCTCCAGGCAACAGATCTACACCACCATTACTTACATTCATCAGAGCTGTTTCCAGAATGTCATCGATGGCAAAGTTGAAGAGGAATGGTGAGATTGGGCAACCCTGCCTAACCCCACTGCTCGAATGGAACAATGGACAGAGGTGGTTGTATGCCCTCACTCTGCCTGAGGTGTTTTTATACAGGGCTTTTAGGATGTTAATAAACTTCTCAGGCACACCCTTCTTCAATAGACAATCCCAGAGAACAGTCCTATCCAACGAATCGAACGCAGCCCTGATGTCAAGAAACACTACGATTGTTGGCCTTTGATAAGTATGGCGGTGTTCTAACATTTGGCGGAGGGTGAAGATATGATCAATACATTCTCGACCAGAACGAAACCCAGCCTGCTCTCGCGAGTCAATCTTTCTCGGGTTTTGAACAACCTACGAAGAATGACGGAAGCCAATAGCTTGGACGCAATCGGAAGTAAACTTATCCCCCGGTAGTTGTTACAGGAACGACGTGAACCCTTTTTAAAGATAGGGACAACTATCGACTCATTCCATGACGTTGGCACACTCTCTAGTTCCCAAACCTTTGTGAACAACGTCGTCAATTCCTTAGTCAAAAAGTCACCACCATCTTTAAAAAGAGCCGGAGGTAAGTCATCTGGGCCAGGTGATTTGTAACGCTTCAAGAGTTGGAGTTCCTTGCGGACTTCCTCCTCATTTGGTGGATCAGTCGTCACCGGCCATGGAGGGCAGGACAGTCTGACCGATGTTGCCGGAGCAGCAGGCCAGTTGAACTGCCCTTCGAAAAATTCTGCCCATCGTCCAAGACGTCGATGGATGTTAGTGATTGGCATCCCATCATCCTCGCAGATTGTTTCACTCACACCAGACTTCTTGCTGCCAGTGGCTCGGATGAGCTGGAAGAGCTTCCGGTAGTTACCAGATGCAGCTGCTGCTTCCAGCTCATTAGCACGCATCGACCACCAGGCTTCTCGGTCCTTACGCAAGCTTTGCCCGATTTCCTTACGTAAGATCCTTCGTTTATGGTCAAACTCACGGTTACCCGGAGTAGACCGACGGGCTTCAATGAGTTGTAAGGAACCAGAAGAAACCCAGTGCTTAAAAGCGGGACGTTTCGCAAACCCACAACTGACTGTTCCCGCCATTTTCATGGCGTCATGCAATTGCAACCAATGCTCATCTATACTTTTCGGTGGAGTGGTAGCTAGCCTAGAGGCTAGCTCGGTTCGATACTTACTTGCAACAGAAGTTGCAACCAGCTTGCTAACATCAATCCGATGATGGCGTTCACTTCGTTGTCCACTGAAAAGTAAGGCAAGATTGGCGCAGACCAAGGCATGGTCAGAGTCCAGATAGGTACTCCAAAAGGAGCGGCAGTCTTGTACACAACCACGCCAGCGGTAGCTGATCGCGATGTGATCAATCTGAGTCCAGGCTTGAGATGCAGAGGGAGGACGCCAGGTGGCACATCGGCGATGACTGTGCCGAAAGTTAGTGCTAGCCAGAAACAGGTTGTGGTCTGTGCAAAGTTGCAGTAGACGGTCCCCGTTATCTGACCTGCGACCAACGAGTCCCCATCGGCCACCTAAACGACTCTCTTCTGTGCCTAGACGCCCGACCTGAGCATTCAAGTCTCCGGCTAGTACTACAATATCTGTCGAACGCACTTTCTGGAGAAGAACTGATAACTGGTGGTAAAACTCATCCTTGATTGCATCCGGGCTGCAATCTGTCGGGGCATAGGCGGAGATGACGAAAAGACATCGTTTCTCACGCCGATTTCTTCTCACTTTGATGGAACTTTCTAATCTAACAGCACATAACCGACTGTTAATGGGGATCCAATCGACTAGTGCTGCCTCAGCTCTAGCGCTTAGTGCGACACCAACGCCAGCAAGACCAGACGAAGATGCCACAGGGTCCCCGGATAAGCGCACGTAAAACAAGCTTTTTGAAGTGACAGATGTAGAGCGAATTTGTAGTACTTCGCTAGAGTCTTGAATACGGGTCTCGGATAGACAACAAACATCAATATTAAGACTTTCCAAAGACATAGCCAGCCCTATCTGTTGACCAACCTGCATAAGTGTGCGAACGTTGTAGGCAGCCAGTTTGAATGGCGCACGTGGTTTCAGAAAAACTGCTTCAGTACTCATATTCGATGGTAACATACAACTTTCAACCGGACAGTGACTCGAGAACGTTTAGATACAGTCGAATTTCCACCAAAGCCGAGCCGCTGTATAAGTATGAAAGAGGGTGAATAATGTGGGAAATAATAATAATAATAATAATAATAACGACAATAATAGTAATAATAATAGTATCAATAATGACAATAATAGTAATGATAATTATTTGAATCGATTGATTGTTTTTGTATTTCGGAGCGATAAAAGTAGTTGCCAAAGACATAGAGTTCATCGTTTGTGTGTGGGCTGTGATACTGCCCGGGTGCCCAAACCGAAGCAGGTGGTTTTCTTAGGGGGCCACCCCCCGAGCCTTTGACCTAAAGGTCTAACCCACAAGGCAGTGGAGCATCGTAAGGAGATGCAGTCCCATGGTAGCCGGTGACCAACGATTGGTTCATACGCCATTCGTTCCCGCAGGATACTGGAGCCCATGTGCACCATTGATTTGGAATCCGGTTAAAGCGCCGGACATTCGCTTTTCGTCCTCTCATTTTCGTAAACAACACCCCCGCCACGAGAAGGCAATGAGTAGGACTTCCCTGGCAGAGGCTGTATACGCGTGGCCGTGTGAGAGTATTTCGAGAGGGAGAGCGGACTCTCCCCACTCTCGGCCGTACCAGGGCATTCAGGGGGCATGTAATAATAGTGATTGTACCCGGTAAACTGTTAGACTTATGCTTACCACATGCATCGATATTGATAGTCATTAATGCATTTTATAACTAATATTTATTATATCATTATTTCGCGAAGCGAATAGTTGGCCATCCTACCATATTGCAGTCTTTGGACATTTTCGGGTTTTTTTCAAACTAATGCTTTCCTGGGACTTATTTATTAGAAAAAATATATGACGAACGAATATGCTAGTAAGTACAGTGAATTAAAATTATAAAAGTTGTGACAAACGTTCCTTTCTTTTAACTCGACTTTCGTCGAATTCTCAGGAAATGGAGCAGTAGACGCAGTTCATTATTCGGTGTACACTCAATCTTGCTTTTCGTGCTCAATTTATCTATTATTGTTAAGATAATTACTTCTTATACATCATTGTGCCTGTTAAGCAAGTTCTATTTAATGTACATTTTTGTTCAATTAGCTTTTATTAGAGCACAATGCGTCTGTAAATTTAAGAGATTGCGGTGGATTCACAGCACTTCATCGGGCATGTCAAAAAAGTTTTGCACATGTTGCTGAAACCCTTCTAAGAGTCGGCCGTGCTAATCCTCAGATCAAATGCCCATTTTCTGGAAATACTGCACTTCATGAAGCTGCTATGTTAGGTCATGCCGATTGTGTAAACTGTCTCCTACGTTACCATGCTGCTCCATGGGCAAGAAATGCTGAAGCTGAGATGCCTTTTGAATTAGCTCTGCGCTATGGATTTGCTGACTTAGCTGCTGCTCTGGCCGGTTACAAACCTGCTCCAGCAATTACAATGCAGGTAAATTGTGTCTTCACCCTTTTGTGAAAATTATTTTTGTCCTTATATGTTAGTTATTGGTCGATATTATTACTAAGAAGCAAATTATTTGATTCGTCATACTAGTACTGTTGGAAACATTAAATTAATTGTTGGTTATGTTTTCAATTGTAGCTCTATTCAAAACAGTGTAGTGTAATATCCGCTACATAGCTAATTTTGTATGTACTTGTCAATGTCAAAGCTTTACCTGCTTAGTTACCGATTTACATTAACTGAGGATTATACAGTTGTTATTGGTTAGTAAGGATTGTCCGTAGGTATGGTATGTGCTTTGCACCTTCGAAGTGCAAAGTACTTCTACAAGACTGGCAGGATTCTAATCCTGTACTCACCCCGGATGGTGAGCAGATAGAAGTAGTCGAGAAGTTCGTGTATCTAGGTAGCTGCATAAGTGCTGGTTGTGGCGTGAGTGATGAGATCAATGCACGTATAGTGAAAGCCAGAGCGGCTTATGCTAATCTGTGCCATCTTTGGCGCCTTCGTGATGTCAGTCTGGCTGTAAAAGGTCGGATCTACAACACGTCGGTGATAGCAGTTCTGCTCTATGCCTGTGAAACCTGGTCTCTCCGATTTGAGGATGTTAGACTACTCTCTGTGTTTGATCATCGTTGTCTCCGAAGGATTGGTGATATCCAGTGGCAACATCATGTTAGTAATGCAGAGGTTCGGCATCGTGTGTTCGGGCACAGAGACGATAATTCAATTGGTGTCACCATCTTGTTCTACGAATGTCGTCCCAGAGAATTCCATATCGTGCATTAATTGCCGACTCTGGGACTGGTTGGAAGAAGCGGTGAGGTGGTCAGTGTATGACATGGTGTCGTGGTATGAAAGAAAGCTGCAAAGTGCTGGCTTGTGTTGGTTCTTCAGGACTCCCTGGCTGGGGTCCGAGAGATGGTGCGACAGAGTGGCTAGAGACGTTATCAGATATGGCTCAGAATAGGAGCCGGTAGCGATCCTGCCACTATGTAGCATTATGCACGACAAAAGTGGTTATCTTCTACAAAAGGGTTTTATCTTCTCTAGGAGAAGATAAATATTATTCAATGTGTCTGTATATGTAGTTGATACAAGACAGTAGACTGTATTAACGAAGTAAAGAGCAAAGTAAACATTAGTGTAAAAATGAAAATGATTAGGGAGAGTATTGTTTATAAATTCATTGGGGACATTTGTTACAAAAAAATTAGAACTATTATAATTTAAATTGACTAAAGCACTAGGTAATCCCATCTAAAAAATCTCGATTTCTGATCGTCCCAGTTTTTTAAGAAAGGACGAAAATCCTCTTATGACAATCAAACAGGAATCAGTCTGACTAATATAGTGTCTAAAATATAAGCCTATAATAATTCAACGCCTAACTTGAGCTCGTGAAAATCAGGCTGATTTCAGCGATGGACGTGGATGTATAGACGCCTTAACCACTCAGCGATCGCCTAAGAAGTTAATTACCAAACCAGAACACACGATTTTGAGATATTTCTAGCAAAAGATAGTGGCTAACACTGGAATCCAAGAAGTTCAGTTAATTCTATTATAATCATGTCATGACCCTTTCAATTAGATTATTGTTGGTTTTTAAGATGCTGTTTGTTCAGCCTATATCTTAATGAATTGTTACTGCAAAAACTAGAGATAATGTATCTCACGGTAATGATACTGAGGTGTTCTATCAAAAAATCTAACCATGAATTTATTACTCCTTGTTTTGTAAAACATAAGTAAGGTTTAAATTATTTGAAGTAGTTGCAATGACACCCTGACAATCAGTGATGGCTGTCTGTGTGAATTTGCGTTTATTTATTTGAACACATATATATTGGTACAGGAGTGCGCCAAATATATATGCGCCACACAATTTCAGTTCATTGATTGCGTGTGGGCTGCGATACTGCCCGGGTGCCCAGACCGAAGCAGGTGGTTATTTCAGGAGGCCACACCCCGAGCCTTCGACCTAAAGGTCTAACGCACAAGGCAGTGGAGCATCGTAAGGAGATGCAGTCCCATGGTAGCCGGTGACCAATGATTAGTTCATACGCCATTTGTTCCCGCAGGATACTGGTACCCATGTGCACCATAGATTTGGAATCCGGTTAAAGCGCCGGACATTCGCTTTTCGTCCTCTCATTTTCGTAAACAACACCCCCGCCACAAGAAGGCAATGAGTAGGACTTCCCTGGCAGAGGCTGTATACGCGCGGCCGTGTGAGAGTATTTCGAGAGGGAGGGCGAACCCACCCCGCTCTCGGCCATACCAGGGCGTTTGGGGGCATTTAAGTCCTCAAGTGATGATCAGCCAACGTCCATTTAGTAAATCATGCTAAAAAGAGTGTATCAATGAATTATGGAGCTGGCCAACACGATGATGGCTTTTTTCATGGGTTATCAACTACTAGCGGGGTATAGATTAGATTAGAGCATGTTCCTTGCAGGATTGTATTGAGGCACTCGGATTGACTATTCCTTAACCAATCAAGTCATCTTATGCAAACATTATAAATAAACTAACGTTTTTATCATTATGGTTCCTACTTCCATCCAACCTTGTTATTTGTAATATAATTACGTTCCTGTTCAACTGTGTTCTGATTAGGGAACTTGTCAAGCGAAGTCGTATCCAAAGAATACTGATCAATAAGAGTAGCTGGGTCGTAATAAGAGAAATCATAAGAGTAACATTTTGAGGACTACCGATGTATGGTATATCCAATCGATGCACATTTGTGTCCGGTTCTGCGTTGCTTATGACTAACTAATCCCGGTTTTATGTTTAACTAAGGGTGCAATAATACTGTCTTTGATCTCAGCATTTAGGAGGTGCTTCTTATAGGGGCGTTTGACAATTCAATGAGACGAAATTCTCGGTTGTTAAAATCAATGAATAGGATACTCATCGACAGATGAACACAATATCATATGGATGAGTGATGGCTGTTTACAAAAACGAATTATTGGATTAAGCTTCTGGATGATCTGAAATCAAAAACAAGACCACTAGCCAAACAACTAGGTTTTTCCGTCTAGTAAAATAAAATGCTTGTACACAGAATGCGAACACCAAATATAGATAATAAAGTCTCGTTGGTGATTAGTTTGTAGGCTACTGAGGTGAGACCATAATTCATGGACGACCTTTGAGTGACGCTCGAGTGACCTTGAGAATCTCCACCTACTAATCAGGACCAAATGAGGGTTATAAAGCAGTGTGAGGAACTCAATTTATAATTTGAGGCTGATGGTTAAAGTTAAGGACTAGATTTAGGGTTTTCATCACGATGTGACACCAGTTAAAATGCCAAAACGCTATTTAGCCAAATGGATGAATGGATTTCGCGTCTCTCTAGCATATCATGATTTTCTAAGTGGTGTGAGTGGGAATATGCATATGAAAAGTGATTCGTTTTTCCCTTATCTACTCGTTATAACCTACGCGCAAGTGAATATTTCAGTGGCATAGTATCTAAGAATAAGAGGATTTTGATTGCTTGCTCATTACAACATGAATTGTTGAGTTGTGAGTAGACTGAAAAAAATGTTAATTTCCTCTTGCCGCACTGATGTAAATTTTGGCAACTTTAACTAATATATATATATATATATATATATATATATATATATATATATATATATATATATATGTTAAGTCCCATATTCTGTTTATAATTGACTGAATGAGGTCAAATTTATTAATAATGTACAGTTTGATGATTGAATTTTGATTGATTCATCATTATTAATGTAATGCATATAAGATAGTATGAATGATATACCCAATCACATATCATCTGTATATAGGTTGTTTTTCGCAGATCGGCACGTACATGAGTATTTTACGATTGATAACCAACTTCCTAAGTGTTAAAATAAATAATAACACTAATGTCAGGATGCCATCGTGTTATGATTTATGTTGGTAGTATTATTACTGGATGTATAAAAATAAAAAGTATGATTATATAACAGTTTACTTGTCGGAATGACATTATGATTTTTCTTTTCAGTGTGTAAAACTAAATTATATGCTGATTAGTATTATATGAAAGTTGGAATTTATCTTTAAAACAAAAATACCACCTCAGTAATCAAATTACAACTATTCGTAAACCAAACTTTCGATAATACGTCTATTAAACGAAAGATAACTACACTGTCTTGTTTAGTTGTAAGGAAATCGAAAATTACCTAGTTGACTGTAACGTTAAATGTCGAAAAATTCACTGCTCAGATTAACTAAAATGTATCTCTGCAAATTTTATGTTACGTTATGAATGTAATATTAGTGGGAATTTAGTGGACGCCTAACAAAAAGATATGGGTATAGTAAGAGTTAATTTTTATTACATTCTGCTCATTATCTGAATTTAATGTTTATACGTAGTTTACAATTTCAATAAATATCTTAGTACATTTAATGAGTTTTAAAAAAGAATATACTTTATCATCAGTACTACGCACTTAGTGTTTCTAAAAGTAATGCTTTGAAAATGTCTATGATATTGTTATCAATTTATAAATACCCCTAACTCAACTGTAACCCGGCTGCGACTGCTACCTCAATATGGTGGTCGGGGTTACCTATCGTGATCGCCTAATCGAATTCTATTGGCTAGGACATTCTCTTTTCTTAAGCTCTTTTCTTTCCAGATAGTCCGGTTGGAGTGTAGCTAAACTAAAAGCACCAAACCCATAGTCAGAGGGCGAAATCGTACCACCGACTGTTGAAGTGTGATGTCAATAAGGTGTTTTCCTGCGAAAACCAGAACCTACGGAGATGCTGACTTCTCCGTGAAGGAAAGGACTGGAAAACGTCGGCCTTTAAATGACTTGCCTTTGTCCACGGCCTTTCGTCTCCTATGATAAGGCTTTGGAAATGGGGCACTAACACATCTTAGATTATTCACAGAAAGTTTGTATGTGACCAGCCTTAAACAGTTGACCCTTAGGCACTACGTTCACGCTCCTAAACCTTCCATAACACAGTCTCCTTTTCAGATACTTGAAGAAGAATTGTCTTTCTACAGTGTAAGCAATTGAAATGTAGTAACTGCCCTCATACCTTTAATGGTACTCGAAACATAGTCGTATAATAATCACAAGATGCAATATACTAACTTTTTGATCAGTAAATGAGCATATAATTGTCATCACATGTGATACAAATCGATAAGATCTATTTTTACGAAAATCCATCAAGAATTCCTCAATAGATATAACTTTACCAATGTGTTCCTGCTGTTTTTCACCACCCCCTCTCCACTTCCTTTATTTACTATTATTATTATTTCCATACAGAACGATTGGTATCATCCTTCATTATCGAAATCGGAAACCGATAAAATATTTTCCAATTGTTCCACAATTAAAGATGGTGCATTTCTAATTCGACGATCATCACAATCAGAAAGAAAATTTGTACTTGTTCTATATTATCAACATCAGACATTAAAATATCAAATAGAAGTAGTTGATTTTTCATTTCATATGGATACAAAAGAAGCTTATTTCATTGATAAGGTATGCGCGTTTTTTAATTTTCTGACTAATCCATAGAATTTTTTTCTTGTTTATTAAAACAGTATTATTTTAAAGGTGGTTATCGAATGTAATGATAAAAGTATTTGGGTACTGATTTGTGTACTGATTATTACAATGTTATTATATGACTGTCAGAAGTAAACATTATATCTACTCTAATTCATTGAAATGTTTCATCACGAAAACTTAACTGTGAACAGTTTACGTTTAAACTGGGTGGTGTGTGTGTTTGTTTAAATTCTCAAGGAATTACTGAATTATAAACCTGTACTAAATGCATAAGACTCTTATCCAGAACTTTGTCTACGTGTTCTGGATGGCTCTCATTCTAGGAGATCTTGCCGTTTTTAATGATTTCCTTAGGAACAAATCTTCAAACGTTTCTATATTTTGTACGCTAGTTATTTCGATTAAACTCTATCAGTAGTCAGATTTCCTAGACAGTATTACAACTTCACATTCTGATGTTTGTTTTACACCAATATTTTATGTTTCGTCATAAAGTACATCAATGCCTCCATGTTCGTGACTCATTACGAAACAGAAACAATGGAATCATTCTCTTCCCTCGTGTTTTGCAATGATAGTTATTTACTATTGTAAGCTGACTTTGATCATCTTATCTGGGTTAGTTTTTCGTTTTTATTTAATCGCATACTTCAACTACTTGTTTTCTTTAATTTGATTTGTATTTAAACGTAACCTCTTTTCTTTTTATTTTAGGGTCCACTTCATTTATCCTTAGAACACTTAGTAGAACATTATAGTCGTTTCGCAGATGGAATACCTGTACGTTTACACTATGCTATATCTCCATCTGGTAGAATTACTAATATTGAACAATTGGTACCTCACAATGTAGATAATCATGGTCAAGAATTAAGGAAAATTGAATCTTCTGCCGTTGGTGGTGATGCATGGGCTTTAAGAACTATCTCATCCAGTTTACATGGTGGTCGTATGGGTGCACCTTTGTCAATGTCAATTGCTAAGGGTGCTTCACGTCATGGACAAAAATCAAATCAGGTATTTAATTTACATTCAGTTGTTTTTTCTCTTATCATATTAGTTGACATGGTCTCTCTAATGATCACTTTTATTTGCCTTTTTAAATTATTCACCAATCACTCACAGGGGAAACATCATAGTTCATCGAGTTCCGGCGTCTCTGGTATGTCCAGTGGTGGTGGTCTCCTTCCAGTTGCAGCTGGTCTACAATTAACTGCATCTGGGACGTCTTGCATCGGATCAACAACTGGTTCTGGTGAACTTCGTTTAATTCCTAGCGATGCTGTCATTCTATTGTATAGACTAGGTGAAGGTGAATTCGGTGAAGTTTATCGAGGCAGACTACACTTGGATAATGGTATAGTTCAAGAAGTGGCTGTGAAAGTAAGTCAGTGTGTAATTTAATTCTTTCTGTTTCTTTTTTTGTTCTCGTTATTTTACTTTCCTTTGTTTTATGCTTTGTCTCAACTGATTAATTGATTAATAGTAGTAGTAGTAGTATTAGCTGTTGTTGTTATTTGACCTTTTGGTATACCTAGTTAATATATACGATAGACCACATATGTTAAGTCAAATTGTCATAAACACGTTTGAGAAGGAATAAACTATTATTATTACTACTAGTAGTAGTATTAGTAATACTGACCTGTCATTAGTTTGTCTGAACTGAATTGTAATTTCAAATGTCTTCTTATTTCTGACTGGTCGATTGTAGTTCTTTTTGTTTTAATTAGTTTTTTTTATTGGTTGACTCTAAACAACACTACACACGGATATACGCACACTAAAGAAAAACATTTAGAAGGTGGCCTTTCAACCTGTAACTTTTTTATATTACTAAACAACATAAGGTACTGTAAATAAATGTCGCCTAAGTTTCAAATATGCAAATATTGTTGACATTTTATGCACGAGTATTGTCTGAGGAAGTAGTTTTTTTCTAAAGCAAAGTGTAGGGTCGAATTTAATATTGAATTGACTGAGCGTTGTTATCACTTTTGAAATCAGTACATCGGTTAGTAAGCGGTAAGAGGAAAATTAAAAAGAATGAAACTAGTCGCTCTAAGTTAAGTAAGAAACGTGGAACAAATAAATTATTCAAGACGATAAGAAAAAGATCATGTGTTATGATCTACACCTTGGGATAAATAATGTTTATTACCTTCATGGATTCAGTTTCAAATATCAAGAACTTCAGCAATTCTTATCCAAACCACTTTTGGAATACCAACAAAAGTATTTCAAAATGAAGGCTGAAAATTTGACAAACACTCAATAAATATCAGAAGGGGTTTTGTGGATATTATAATGATTTCAATGGTTGAGATTATGAGTCGGTTGAAGCTAGATCACCAAGGATGCCGGCTCAGTGGTCTAGTGGTTAAGCGCTCGCGCGCGAGACTGATAGGTCTTGGGTTTGAATCTCGCGGGGGTGAGATCGTGGATGCGCACTGCTGAAGAGTCCCATAATAGGACGAGGCGGCCTTCCAGTGCTTCCAGTTTTTCCATGGTGGTCTAGCTTCAATTGACTCATGATTTCTACCATTGAAATTACTAAATAAGTAGTTTGAAATATCTATCTCACTAAAGTTTATTGCCTTTCAATAGTTCTTACCCATGAAGCGAACTCAAGAGTTTTGAGAATTATTCATTAATTCTCTGTCCATATGATCTTAGTTGCTAGTTTATTTCCATTGAAGTCTAAACTATCTCGATTATTTAAAAAAGATGGAATGCATCTAGAAATGAAATCCGGACCGCGTGTTTCGTGCTACTTGGATCTTTATAATGGTTGGATTGTGTAATAAGAAGACTAAGATTATCAGAACTACGTGATATACTAGTACAATACATATACTTGTTAAGAACATTTATACATAAAAATAAAAGATCAACTAGACAAATGAAGAGGGGATAAGAGGAGATAAAAATAATAAAGAAAATAGCATGAAACACAATGTGAAAATTCATCGCGCTGGACAATAAGCTAATATTCCCAGGATAAATTCTAGGTGAGAACAAACCGTTTTTGGGTACATAAAGGGGGTTTGAATTTTCGTATGTCTTAAATTCCAATTAATTTTAGTATACACTTTTGTACAACACCACAAAGGCTGCGTTGAGATCAATCTTATGACCTGTTTCGACTATATGTTTGGCAACAGAAGATGAAGAATGTTTATCATCTACTCTTACTGGGTCATTTGATTTTATTTGTTTTTGCAACCATTCAGGTACATGTTCAGGCACCCTAATTTGGAGACCATGAATACTCCTTCCTATGTTTGTGTGGTCACACACATTTGAATTAGTAAACACAATGGGATGTGACGCAATCGTCCTCACGTCTTTTAGGTTTTTGGTGAAGCATAGTTCTGATGATCTTCGTCTTTTTATTACACTATCCGAATTTACATTGTATTCGTCGCTTAACTATTACTTTAAAATGGCACTTTTTAACTTATCTATGTTGTTGTCTTCTTGTAGCTGGAGTATCCTTTAGGTTTTATCAGCGTAGCATAAAACAGATTGTTATTGCCAGTCTTTCTGCGATAAGTTTCTGTTTCTGAAGATCATATTGATCGTTTTTGCAAAAATTTCAAGTGTTTCAAGGATCATTTTCATCATTTTTTTCACCAAAGAGATCTGGAAATCTTGTATTCTATCTTATAGTTTCCAAAAGAGCTCTTTACTATTTTCTCTTCACTGGGTTAGAATTTAAAATTATAAACCTCTGAATACCGACTTAGTGGTCTAAAGGTTAAGTGCTGGTTTATAGGTTGAAATGTCTTGAATTCGATCCACAGTAGGGTGGGTTATGAATATGCACTCCTTAAAAGTCTTAACACTATGAAAAACGTCTTTCTAATGCTTTTTGTTTTTCACTGGTTATATAACTGATATCAGTCCGTAATGCAGACTATAACAAGTTCAACAATCTCTATAAATCTCTCTACATTAATATACAATATTTAATATGTATATTTGTAGATAATATTATATAATGTTAATCATTGTTTAAATGCCAGTCTATTAGTTTGTTTCAACTAATTCCATTGGTGATGAATCATTTTCTTTATTCACATAATTCATTTGTTGAAAGATAATTGTTTGAGCTTTCTTACTAGGTCTTTAGTATAGTTTCATATATGTATATACTGTTGGTATGAACACTAGTAATATGATTAATAGATACTCTTAGATGGTTAACATATAATGTACAATTACAGTATATTATATAACATATATATATATATATATATATATATATATATATATATATATATATATATATATATATATATAACAGTGTTATTATTAATATTAATACAAATATGGTAGACGCCATTCAATTATTTGTTAATTAGATTAAATGAATTTACATAGTGATGATAAATAGACTAGTTGATTCAAGATAAGTTTGTTTTTTTGATTAACAGAATTAGCTTTCATTACTACAGTTTTCTTTTCTTCAATATACTGTCTGATAATTTTTTTTTGATTTTGATATGTAGTAGTAAAATAAAGAAGATATTTTTGTCTGTCTACTTTTCTAAACATTGATCCGTTGATCTTAAATGAATAATTTGAACGAATTTCTTTTCGGTTATTTAGTTTTGCATTAAATATAATGTTATACACTGGTCTTTTAGATATACTTGTGTGTGTGTGAAAAATAATTATACTACCCAACTACTCAAATATCTAAGTAATGGCGGTGTGGATCTGTTGCCTGGAGAAAGACTTCTCGACCTTGAGTATGCGAATGATATTGTCTTACTGTGCGATAATGCCCAAGACATGCAATCCGCACTTAATCAGTTGGCAGTCAGTGTCCGTAGGTATGGTATGTGCTTTGCACCTTCGAAGTGCAAAGTACTTCTACAAGACTGACAGGACTCTGATCCTGTATTCACCCTGGGTAGTGAGCTGATAAAAGTAGTCGAGAAGTTCGTGTATCTAGGTAGCTGCATAAGTGCTGGTGGGGGTGTGAGTGATGAGATCAATGCACGTATAGTGAAAGCCAGAGCGGCTTATGCTAATCTGTGCCATCTTTGGCGCCTTCGTGATGTAAGTCTGGCTGTAAAAGGTCGGATCTACAACACGTCAGTGAGGGCAGTTCTGCTCTATGCTGTTAGACGACTCTCTGTGTTTGATCATCGTTGTCTCCAAAGGATTGCTGATATCCAGTGGGAACACCATGTTAGTAATGCAGAGGTTCGGCATCGTGTGTTCGGGCACAGAGATGATAATGCAATTGATGTCACCATCTTGAAACACCGACTTTGTTGGCTTGAACATGTTCTCCGAATGTCGTCCCAGAGAATTCCTCGTCGTGTATTATTTGCCGACTCTGGGACTGGTTGGAAGAAGCGGTGAGGTGGTCAGTGTATGATATGGTGTCGTGGTATGAAAGAAAGCTGCAAAGGGCTGTCCTGTGTTGGTCTTTCATGACTCCCTGGTTGGGGTCCGAGAGATGGTGCGACAGAGTGGCTAGAGACGTTATCAGATATGGCTCAGAATAGAAGCCGGTAGCGATCCTGCTGTAACCTTCTTTTACTTTCTTCAGAAAAAGTGACCGTAACTTTAACTGAAAGGGTTCTTTCTGGTTGTATTTTTCTGTTTCCCCCATTATTATTTCCCTACCATACACTAATTTGTAGTGGTTATTGTTCTTTTTTTTTAAACACACCTTACACTCTTTATCTCTTACCATTCTCATTGTTATTGTGTGGCGCATATGTATCTGGTGCCTCCATGTACCAATATATATGTGTTCAAATAAAATAAAAAATAAATGACTCAAACATCGAAGTAGGTGGGTTAGCGTTGTAACCTGCAATTCAGTAATGAAATGTTGTATTATAACTGCTAAGTTGTCAAACGTGACGATCATTGGATACTACCTGAATGCCCGTACTGTAAAATACTTTTTTTTAAAACCTAGAGTGTGTATTAAAGGTTCGAGTCTTTGAAACGTGACCACGAAGGCCTCGGACATTTTTCCGAGAAATTCACACACAATTGAACTTACTACTTTCCATCTTACAGCTTTTCGATTTACCTGTTGGATAGGATGGAATCTTGAGAAATAATCTTTTTAAACCAATCTAGCTGTATTGTTTTGGAATGATACGATAGGTTAGTCTGACTACATGTGAGGTAGAAGTTATGAACAACAACACTAAGTCCTATCTAACCGTTTAATTAAGTAGTATTATTAAACAAGTCTACACAGCTGACGCTTTTAAAATAAGACGAAACGCATGTCCTTGATTCCACTGCTAGCTACATTCCATCTATTCTATACAAGAGTTTTGGTTTCGTAATCTTTAATAATAATAATTATTATTATTGTTATTATTATTATTATTATTATTATTATTATTATTATTATTCGAAGGTTCTTGTCCAACCATCACAAAGATTGGATTTTTTGAAAGAGGCTACAATCATGATGCAATTATCTCATCCACATATTGTAACGATCTATGGTGTATGTGAGAATAAACGCTTAATGATGATATTAGAATTAGCTGAACTTGGCAGTTTATTAGATTATCTATTAGATTATCCGGAAAAATGTCAATTACCTGAATTGTACAATTGGAGTATGCAAGTAAGTTCATTTTTATCTATTTCCTTTTTTGTATCTATTTAGTTAGTGTTGAAAGAAAAGTCTGTTCATCTTGATAGACTACTTATTATGTGTTTCTTGGTCAGCAAAAGAGTTTCTTTTTTGTATAGATACACAACTCATTGGATTTCCATATACAGTAAAACAAAGTCAAACATATAGTTTACAATTTTGAAATGTTTACTGATCTATTGAGATTCACGCCATCCATCTTTTTAGTGGTAACATGTTAAGCTATAAAGGTGACCGGTGTGGATTCGTCCCCTCAAGTTTTCAGGTGCTCTTTATTAATGAATGTCAAGTAACACAATACCCTCCAAATGCCCTGGTATGGCCGAGAGTGAGGTGGGTTCGCCCTCCCTCTCGAAATACTCTCACACGGCCGCGCGTATACAGCCTCTGCCAGGGAAGTCCTACTCACTGCCTTCTCGTGGCAGGGGTGTTGTTTACGAAAAGGAGAGGACGAAAAGCGAATGTCCGGCGCTTTAACCGGATTCCAAATCTATGGTGCACATGGGTACCAGTATCCTGCGGGAACAAATGGCGTATGAACCAATTTTCGGTCACCGGCTACCATGGGACTGCATCTCCTTACGATGCTCCACTGCCTTGTGGGTTAGACCTTTAGGTCGAAGGCTTGGGGTGTGGCCCCCTAAGATAACCACCTGCTTCGGTCTGGGCACCCGGGCAGTATCGCAGCCCACACGCAATTAATGCACTGAAATTGTGTGGCGCATATATATTTGGCGCACTCCTGTACCAATATATATGTGTTCAAATAAAATAAAAATAAAAACACAATACCTAGATCCATCATTTCCTGCCAACTAACTTCGATCACATTTACATCTCAACATATTCTAGGCAATATCGTAATCGTTTGTTGGTTGTCTAAAGAAGACACGACTTCAAATCAGTAGGAATAGCGCAGATGTATTGAGTACTTATCATTCTCTATATTATGAGTTGTAATTATATTACATACCTTTTGTTTCGTGATTTCACTTGTTCGTCTTGAATAGACTTTCCATTATTATTAATAGTATTATTTTGTCTTACTATTCATCTCTGTGATTTCATCTCTCATCGTCCTGATGCGAATCATGGAAAATTGTATCGTTTTACACTTGGTTCTAAGTATTACTCTGTTTATTGATTCATCGACCCGAATAATCTAAACCTGATCGGTTATTTTACCGTCTGATGACAAGAACTGTCTCAAAATTTTTCGAATGGCGTTTAGTCAGTCTTTTTGTCGGTCATAATCATGGCAAGAATCTGACCTGAATGTATATCGGTTCAAGTTACCATACCACACTCAGCACAGTAAAATTATGAATATGAATACCAAGTAGTGGTACAAGTCATAGCAAATAAGGATTAGGCACAGATACAGGGAGGGTAATCATAAAAAGATAATTTTGAAACTCAGAATTAAAGGAAGATAATAAGACAGAATGCATCTACACTATTGTAGCTGATTCTGATCCACTTGACTATTCATACTTCTCCAACTTCAAATTTCACAATACCTTTCATCGAATGAAGTATTCAGAAACGATTCCAACTCACAATTTTACTAGTATCAGTCTTAAGCTGAAATGAACAAGTTGTTGTATATGATCTGGTGTTAATATCGGTCAAATTTTTACTATCCTCACTTGTGGTTGTTACGAATGTTAATTAATGATGTAATGTCTTTTCTTATCATATTGAAAAATACAATCCTAGATTGCAAGTGGTATGAGCTTTCTAGAATCAGCTAGATTTGTTCATCGAGATTTGGCTTGTCGTAATGTCCTATTATCAAATCATTCTTGTGCAAAAATTTCTGATTTTGGTCTGTCGCGTGCAGTTGGCGTTGAATCCGATTACTACAAAGCTACACAACGTGGTAAATGGCCAGTGAAATGGTATGCACCAGAATCAATTTATTACAAAACATTCAGTCATGCTAGTGATGTCTGGTCGTTTGGTATATGCTTATGGGAAATGTTCTCATTAGGTGAACATCCATATGCAGATCAAGATAGCTTTGAAGTTTTACGTCAAATTGAGGAAGGTGTACGTCTGCCTAAGCCCCATTTAGCTAATGATGATGTTTTTGCTATTATGCATGATTGTTGGGCGTATAATCCAGATGCACGACCAACATTTGCTCAACTTCTCGCTGTATTTCAACATCTTGCTACTAATGTTTACGAAAATGTTGAGCCACCGGAAGTGGTGGTCCCAGGCAATGCAAATCCATCATGTAAAGTTGTGAAAAATGGTATAGCATGTCATAATAATACTAAGAATAACAATATCTCTACATCCACTACTGCTCCTCATCCTTCTATTGTCACTACTACCATGGCAACTGGTACTACTAACCACAATGATAATCAACACATTAGTGGCAATGATCGACGTCAAACAAACTGTACTAATGTACGTATTCCAAATCTTGTTCAAACTAACGGTTCATCATAATAGAACAAATATAAGAGAAGGTGGCAGGATAGAATGATTAGTAAAACAAATAGAATGAAAACATTTTTTAAAAAAACTTCTCTAGTCTAATATGCTTTCTCTTTTTACTTTTTGGATAAGTTTTCCATTTTATTTTTGCTTTTATCAAGTGAATAGTTTTGTGTAAGTGTGTGTGTGTGTGTGCGTATGTGTATGAAGCAATCTCTATCGTTCCATTTCTATTCTATTCATGTATGCATTTTTATTTGATTCATCAACCAATAATCATAATAATATCTACCTCTTTTGATGATGACAAGTATTCAACAACTTTTATCGGTTGTATCTCCAAGACATTATACTGTACCGTTGATGATGATTTTGATTGAAATCACTATTTAAAAAGAAAAAAAAAGAAGAAGAACAATCAGTAATAATGATAATTTCTCTCTTTATATTTTAATTTCTTTTTTAAGTTTAGCATTTAATTCAATTCATTATTTTGCTTTTCTTTTTTTGTGTGTGATATTCTCTTGTTTCTTCTCTTCTCTTTTTTCCTGTCTCTATAACGGTATTTGTTGTCATTTTGAAATCATGTTATCGTATTATATCGATTTCTAAATTATTATTATTATTATTATTATTATTATTATTATTATTATTAATGTTATGATTTCAACCAGTTAATCATTGTACATAGATACGCATTTCGTGATATTCAATGTAGTCCTATCTATGTACTTCTATTTCTGGTCTCTCATATGCTTTTTATGATACATAATATTCTATTTGTATATTATTCTGATTATTCCTTAACAGTTTATTTCTTTCTTTTCTTTTTTTTCAATCACTAAGATTATGTTATTCAGATGTTTACACATCATATTCAACTTTATCATGATTCTTTTTTAATATACGTGACCAGTCTCCCATTCATTCATTCACTCACCGATTCATTTCACTTCCTTAGAAAATGTCATATGTTGATAGTTTGGACATTTGTTGTCATCATTTTCTTTTTTCACTTTTGAATGATTGTTTCTTTTCTATGATCTCGAATGATATTTATTGTTAATTATCAATACTAACTTATACCATATTTTCTTAGAATTTAATAATTATAATTAGTAATAAAATAGGAACTATCTTATTATGTAATACCTGTTATATGAAAATATTAGATCTGGTTCAAATGATAAGCATTAAAAAAAAACAACACTTAGTTCATGCTTTATGTTTTGTTCCTATTTTGCATTGTATTTAAATATTCATCCCTATTTCTTTATCTTTATCCTTTGGCATATATGTTTTTCATACTTTTATTATGTTTGGTATCATACAAACCATGGTTTCATTAAATTGAAACAATTATCTAATTATTTATTATATATTGATTTCAATGGATAATGAAATCTATACAAACGTTTAGCGTTTTTTTTTAGCGAGTTAGTTTTCTACGGGATGGGGACGTTAACCCCATGCCCAACCCTCCTCCTTTATCCGGGCTTAGGACCGGCAGTAGCCCCCCGGAGGGACTTCAGGCGGAGTTGAAATCTATACAAAGGAGAGAAAAAATCTCTCAATAAAATGAAGTTACAAGGCATGTTTGTTTGTTGTTTTCTTTCTTTGTAGTTTGATATATACACTTAAAATAATAGTAACACTTCAATTATTATTTTTTTTCTTTTTGATGGTGTTCTATCATCAACTATTTCCAATGTTTGTTTGTTTATATGGTTTACTACTTTCTATGAGATCCATTGAATGTTTACTTATTGCAACAACATATATGACTAATTATCTTTTAAAATTCATTGTACACAAACATATATATATATATATATATATATATTATTGAGTTGCATATTTCATATGTTATTATTGAATAGGGTTAATAACTTTTAATGATAATAACACTTATGAACTTGTCTGTCATAAAGCAATTATTATTAAATAGTAACCTTGTTTGTAATTGGTAATCTTTGTAAACTTTAATAATAGTGATAAATAATAACAAATTGAAATATTAACCAATTCATCATGTCAAATAATTGTTCATTTCAATTTATGACTTTAACATGATTATCTCTAAATAATTTTAATGATAGATTAATTAATTCTATCGTCATGATACAGAGCCCCCAAATTCCCTGGTATGGCCGAGAGTGGGGTGGGCATTACCCTCCCTCTCGAAATGCTCTCACACGGCCACGCGTATACAGCCTCTGCCAGGGAAGTCCTACTCACTGCCTTCTCATGGGGGGGTGTTGTTTACGAAATTGAGAGGACGAAAAGCGAATGTCCGTCGCTTTGACCGGATCCCAAACCAATGGTACACATGGGCTCCAGTATCCTGAAGGAACAAATGGCGCACGAACCAGTCGTTGGTCACCGGCTACCATGGGATTGCATCTCCTCACGATGCTCCACTGCCTTGTGGATCAGTCCTTTAGGTTGAAGACCCCGGGTGTGGTCCCCTAAGAAAACCACCTGCTTCGGTTTGGGCACCCGGGCAGTATCCCAGCCCTCACAAATTGAGTGATTTATGTGGTGCATATCTATTTGGTGCCTCCTTGTACCAATGTTTATGTGTTTAAATAAATAAATAAATCATGAAACAGAAACATTTCGAGTAATTATACATGACGATAATATAGTGACCTAGTCTCCCATTTTATATGCTGAATAAGAAAAAATGGTGTGTGATAGTGGAAAAATATGATATGATGGAACACTGAGGATGGACGGATAGATAGACACTCAGCTTACTGACTACTTAATATGTGATTTCCTTCTTGCTATTGATTTCGGCTCTAAACTCAACGATTGTAGACAGTTTATGATTGTGTTGAATAAAAGTATTGTTTAACGCTGTCTAGCTTATACTCTGGGTTTCTGTTTGGTCGTGAATCATGTATCTCATAGAACATGATCCACCAGTTTGTGTGTAGCGTATCGATAATGGCAGTATATTTGTGTAAACAGAAAAATACTTCCATTTCCCTGTTATATCAGTAAGAGAAATGATATACATCATTTAGTGTAAGTACGCTTGTAGGTTAATTTTGCGAGATGTAATTAGCGTTGGAAATTATTTTCTACTCAGAAATTACTTCAAATACGCTGTCAAAAATTGTTGCAAAAGGATGGATTGAATTAAAATAGCTCACAAGTGGAAAATGTTTGGGATATGGAAATCAATAGTAGGTCAGTTAAGGAGTTGGGATTTAGAAACTTCACTTTGAATTACTCCGTTAGTGCTAGCGATATCACGACTTTCCAAACTGAAGGTGTTGAATTCGAGGTTTGTGACCTAATTGATACGTTGGGCCAATCAGAAATCGATCAAATGATTAGTGTACGAGATTAGTCAAAAAAAGTTTGCATTCCTAAGATACAAGCCATTGGTGGTTTTATTTCTTAAGGGATAGACATATGTACATAAATTCCCGATTCAGTTTAGTCAACAAACTATCATCTCGCTCATTCACTATACTGGTGACTGGTTAGGCCTGCGTATCAAAATCGGATATCGAACAACCCGACACTAGTAGTGACTTTCAGTCGATTTTGATGAGTAATTATTCACAACCAATATCTTGAAGAGTCCTCATCCAGCTGAAGACAACATATGATGTACTAAGTATCCACAGGTTGTTATGAACTCCGTCAATACATCGAGACGAAATTAATGAGAAGCAGGGGTCAGGAAAGAATAATAATTGCCAAGAAAAGCCAAACATGGGGACTGAATACGATCAAAGAATGAATAGCATAAAATGGCACTAAAATCAAAACAACAAATTTCTATCCTACATCAGTTGTATTGAATACATTTGTATATCGTGGTGTGATTTTCGACGTAGGTGGAAAAAACGCTAATCACTCGATTGCTAATGAATTTGAATCTATGAGAAATGTCACGTTCACTAAAAACAGTGAACCGAATATCACTTAATCGTATTCTCAAAATAATAAATGAAAAAATACTTGCGTGACCTATTTATTGGCATGCAATTAGGTTCAAAGTTTATCGAACAATCAATGAATTTACGAATGGGTATGTCGGATAATTTTCGATCATTTATGACAATACTACAGAGTATGACCATATGAACCTAAAAAAATAATTATAATACTAAAACATAGTGATCCTAGATAGTGTAGAAAATATTACAAAGATAGAATAAAGTATTTTGTCTGTATGTTAAGTCATTAGAAACCTCTGGGTTATGAATTGTGGGAACACAGTTTTTGGAAAAGCACCAGATCAATCGGTGTAGCAGATACTCCTTGCCAGTCGGTTAGGTAACAAGAAACAAATAGACCTACAGGTTTTATGCTACTACATGCAAAATTATTGATGATTATCGTAGATGTAATTATAGCTTACAATGGTCTACCAACGCTCGAAACAGAATAGGAAAATGATACCCAACTGTATATCATTGATATGTACGTGAGATCTTCTTGTCTAGCTATAGAAGTTAGCAAATACTGCTATTTTAGTAAAATGAAGTGTGTACGTGAAACTATTAAATGGAGTTCTTAAAAAGCGAAAAGTTGCATTTGGCATCTATAGTAGGACTGCAACTAGAAAGAAGATAATTATCCTTCAACGACGTTTAAACCAATTACACAGAAGTAATCATTAACTATTCTAACTTAAATACACGACCGTTTGAGGTTGAATTAGATAAACCGATAGGTCATTTGCTAGTGTAAAATATATATATTGCCTTGCTAATGAGTGATAACCAGCATGAAATCTAGTTCCAAGGATTATTGGCAGTTATCTCTAACCACGTTATCATCTATATCAAGTCAGTTAAAATAATGTTCATGTTTCATTTTCATTAGCAACAAACAGATATGCGACTAATTAGAAATACGTGATCAGTTAGAGTGACTATTTCATTGTCACAGTCGTTTATGATCCGGGGACACTAATAATAACATCGCTGATACTGCCACTGATTAACTCCGATTCAAATTACATTGATATCATTAATTCTTTTTGTTTAAATTCCAGACACATTATGTTGACAAGTGACAACCAGCACTACAAAAAAATTATATCCCTGGTTAAATCATGAGTCAATTGAAGCTAGACCACCATGGAAAACCTGGAAGTACTGGACGGTCGTTTCGTCCTAGTATGGGACTCCTCAGCAGTGCGCATCCACGATCCTGCCCCCCGTGAGATTCGAACCCAGGACCTATCAGTCTCACGCCAGGCGCCTAACCAACTAGAACACTGAGCCGGCATTTAAAGGTGTTAATGTCTAACTTCAACCAATTCACGAAGTTGCGCCACCTTACACCATTGTCTTCAGTGAGTTCCTATCTCAAAACAGACCTGGTTGAACTCCACTGGTAACGACTTCTCACTAGAACTCCAGGAGTATCTCCTGAAGTCAGTCACTAGTGAGCAGGTGATTATTATTATTATTATTATCAGAATGGGTTTTGTGGAGATTTTTTAGAAATTTCACTGGTTGAAAAAATAATAACCTACAACTAAAGTGTGTTACTAGTCACATTTACTAGTATGAAAAATCTATGCAAATATAATCACAATTTCTGAAAACTTTCCCCTTGGTAAACACTGTGCATGTTTCAATATCTGGTAATACAATAAATTCAACAGAATATTAAAAGAAATATTTGATATTTATACATACAACAAGAACCATTAAAGAAAAGAAAACTGATTACAAAAAAGAAAAAAGAAAAGTTAATTAGTCATAAAAAAAGTAAATTATTTTATTGTTTGTTAACAGTCAATAAGAAGAGAATGAATTCAACCGATTTTGTTGTATTCAGTATGAGATACAATGTAGAATTTTTCTTTTTCTTTTAAATTTGTCCACTATGTGTAACAGTAGCCAGTCTACTGATACAACTTTGTATTTTCGAATATGCATATGTTGAATGACTGCGTTGATATAAATGAAAAAGATTAGCATATACTGCATGATCAAATGCAATACCATGTTCCATTAAACGATTCACAACTGCCTATTAAACAAACGAATAAAAGACATCAAAAAGAAAATACGATAAATAGGGAAACGTCAAAATTAATCAAACGCATTAAATATACATATATATATATATCCTAAATTTAACGCTTTTCGGCAATGTAATATATGGTTATTGAACGTGAAATATGATTGCCACTGAGTGTGAACAGACAGATTACTGACTATTTAATATGTGGTTTTCTTCCATTGATTTCGACTCTAAACTTAATGAGTGTAGATGATTTGTAATTGTGTTGAATAAAAGTAGTGTTGTCTAGTTTATCTTTGATTCTATATTTTTGGTTGTGAATCGTGTAACTGGTAGAACATGATCTACCCAGTTTGTATGTAACATATTGTTCGAGTATTTACCCTAGTAGTAGTGTAAATTTCTATTCCGATCGTATTATTGTACAATAGTAGTTTGTCGTTATATCATGATGATGCCCAAATATTCAGCGTTTCAAACTTTGTATGTTATTGCGAAACAATCAATTTTGTGCAATTAACACCTGATTGCATTAAGAAAACTAAAGCAAAATAATAAAGAAAGGGTTTTCCTTAACTCTTTTATTTTGATCTCTTTAAGATAGATAATAAATAGGATAGTTTGCATAAATATTTGATTAATACAAAAATACTAATTGATGATTGCATTCATCGAAGCGATTCGATTCGATTTAATCATTCGGATGAGATAGCAACTAATTTATGGGAGTTCGATCATTAATTGAACTGATTTAAATATGAATATATTTATACCTAATAATGAATCCAATTTAATAATTGAATTCATGAGTCAATTGGAGCTGGACCACCAAGGAAAACCTGGAAGCACGGGACGGCCAACTCATCCTAGTATGGGACTCCTCAGCAGTGCGCATCCACGATACCGTTCATGGGATTCGAACCCAAAACGTAACAGGCTCGCGCGCGAACGCTTGAACTTTAGACTACTGAGCTGGCATCCAACGGTGTTAATGTCTAACTTCAACCAATCCGCGAAATTGAGCCACCGTTCAACATCGCCTTAAGTGATTTGCAATCTCACAACAGACCCGGTTGAACTCCACTAGTCAGAGCTTCTTACTAGAACTCCAGAAAATAATTCTTGGTTTTCAATAATGGTCTAGCTTAAATTAACTCATGAATTGAATTACTAAATTACTACAATCTCCACAAAACCCCTCTGTGAATCCAATTTAATTATGAGATGTATGTTTATGTAATCAGAGTTGAGTTACATTTCAAATGCAAGAGATAGTAATATTATCCAGGCATCTAAACTGAAAGAGATAGAAGACAGCAGAATTCAAAGCGTTTTAGCTCAAATCTGTTATATTATTTATAATATCACCACCGAACAAATTATTTACATTACACATGAAATTAATAAAGTTAATTAAAAAAATATGGACTTGTATACTCCGCTTGCACCAATAACTAATAACTACTACTCACGCCATGACATCAAGTTATATAAAATGACCACTTCTCCAATTTTTTTCCAACCAGTCCAAGTGTCGGCAAATAATGCACGATATAGCATTCACTGCGAAGATATTCGTAGTATATATCCAGGCTACCGAAGTCGGCGTCTCAAGATGGTGAAACTAATTAAATTATCGCCACTGTGTCCAAATACACGTTACGGAACATTCATATTACTAACATAGTGTTATTATTATTTATTTATTTCAACACATAAATATCGGTACAAGAGGGCACCAAATATATATGCGCCATGCCACATTTGTGTGTGTGGGCTGGGATACTGCCCGGGTGCCCAGACCGAAGCAGGTGGTTTTCTTAGGAGGTCACACCCAGAGCCTTTGACCTAAAGGTCTGATCCACAAGGCAGTGGAGCATCGTGAGGAGATGCAGTCCCATGGTAGCCGGTGACCAACGATTGGTTCATGCGCCATTTGTTCCCGCAGGATACTGGAGCCCATGTGTACCATTGGTTTGGGATCCGGTTAAAGCGCCCGACATTCGCTTTTCGTCCTCTCGATTTCATAGACAACACCCCCGCCATGAGAAGGCAGTGAGTAGGACTTCCCTGGCAGAGGCTGTATACGCGTGGCCGTGTGAGAGCATTTCGAGAGGGAGGGTAATGCCCACCCCACTCTCGGCCATACCAGGGCATTTGGGGGCTAACATAGTGTTGTCATTGCATGTAAGTAATCCTTCGGAGACAACGGTGATTAAGTATAGAAAGTTACTTGACATATTTAACTTGATGAGGACAGGTTTCGCAAGTATAAACCATAACTCCTCTGATCGATGGGCTGTAAACCCAACCGGTTACAGTCAGATGAACATCACGACGGCGCCAGCTACTTCTTTCAACTTGTTAACACACTACGAACATTAGTTTTCTCATTCTTTATGCATAGTTTTATTACATAACAATCTACATCTATCATTTAAACATGTTACATATGAAATTGTCAGTTGGACAAGTTAACATATTAAAACCTTCCTAATATGATGGGGTTGTTTTGTTTGTTTTACACTCGGAAGAGTAAAACAGCTGTTTAGTCCTTATATCGAATAATTATTCTTTTGAATTAAACTTTCTTTAATGAAATATTAAATTTTGTGACTATAGGCAACAATACTTACTTCAGGTGTTAAAAAGAACAATTCATATAATTGTTTCACTCGAATTAAATCAGATTCATGTGTTTCAGTTAAAGTTGCCAATGCTTGTTGTAGTCGATAAACATTTCGACACCTAAATAATAACAATTAAGGGAAAAAAACAAGAAAGAAAACAAACGTTAATTTTAATGTTTAGATCATAAATAAATAAACACTTACACAAACACAAGTAATATATTCTAGTTTATTTCGAGAATTCCTACTAAAAATTAGTGTTTGTTTAAAGAAAACAAATATCACACGTAAACAAATTTAATTCGAATAAATTACAGCTTAGATAGACTCATGAATTCAACTAATAAAATTACTACGATCCCTACAAATCCTCATTCTGATCATAATCATCATGTGGTCACTAGTGATGGATGAATTTCTCGAAATCCTAGTGTGAGAAATCGTGATCAGTGAAGTCCAATCCGTGATAGATGTGAGACAGTTACCTACTGAAGACAACGGATGAAGTGTTGCACAAGATCATGAATTGATTAAAGTTAGACATTAACACTAATGGATGCCTGCTCAGTAGTCTAGAGGTTAAGCATTCGCACATGAGACCGAAGATTCCGCGTGCTAAATCGTTGATACGTACTGTAGAGGAGTCCCATATCAGTGCTTTTAGGTTTTCTATGATGGTGTAGTTTAGATGGATTCATGAATTCGACCATTAAAATTCATATTCATCACGATCAAAAGAAATACAGGCATAAAATCACTTTCAAAATACCATTTAATCAGATGAGAATGACTTTGTAGTTGGTAAGATACATTGAATTGTCAAGACAATAACTTCATAACTGAATTCAAAAATATATACAGCAAAATTATAGCCTTGTGAATCATGAAGATTTATTCCCAAGTTCGTTCATAATTAAAGATGTCAAGTGACATATGAAAACTTCTCAAGAAGAAAACATGATAATACTAGAAGTAATTTGGATATTTGATAAATTAGATTATCAAAGAATATAAATGAAACGCCTTCTAAATATTTCTTTTATATGAATTCTTACTGATTAAGATCCTAAACGATAAACACTTAAAGTAGCAAGCGGAGATAAGAATCTTAAGACAAAGTTGAACAAAAAGTATAATGTCTGCGTAGTGTTCAGTTCATGATCAAAGTGCTTAACAGTTGAAATTAATCAAACTTGGTAAATAATATTTAATATAATTGATTACAAATAAATAAGTTAAAATAACGTTTCCTACTATACAGAATAAAACACCTATATCTACTCTTGAGAAAAATAAGTAAACATCATTGCTATTTTCACTTTTCACAGATTGAAATCATGAGTCAATTGAAGCTAGACCACCATGGAAAACCTGGAAGCACTGGACGACCGTTTCGTCCTAGTATGGGACTCCTCAATAGTGCGCATCCACGACCTCGCACCCCGCGAGGTTCGAACCCAGGACCTATCAGTCTCGTGCCATGCGCTTAACCAACTAGACCACTGAGCCATTTTTGTATCCATATTAGATTATCTAAGATTATCACAGAACTATTCAGTTTTTGTTAATAATGTTAAAATACTAATTGGAACATTAATCGTAAATGCGTTTTTTCTACTTCGAGTTTTTACATCATCTTTGTCTTTTTCTAATTGATTGCTATTACTTTTAGATTGTCAGTTTTCTGTACGTCTAAAAATCATGCTTCCGTTATCATATACGCTGATTTATACCATTTTAAGTTGTCCCATGTTTGAATATAGAGTTTCTCTTGAACTTCATCATCTTCCTGTATAGTCGGCAAATTTTTGAAGTACTATATGTACGTCTCGTTATTGAGTCCACGATAGAATTATTTGTACTAGATATAGATCAACCGTTCCTGAATCCGTAAGCATCGTAAACGAACCGGAAACTATTAAATACATAATCATTTAAATAAAGACATAGTAATATAGTATTTTTTTTCTTTCTGGACAACACTCATGATGATCTAGTCCTTCAGATTTTAGACGGTTAGAAGTAGTCAGCAGACAACTCTGAACCCAGGTTTTATCAGTTAATAATAATAGGTGGAATTAGATCGGCATCAAAAAATATAATTAGACTAAAGTGATATTGATTACTACTATTCAATGATAAATCAATGACCCATTCCTTCGTTTCAAGCACGACGCATCACTAAACGGAAAACGTTTCTCTGTCGATATCCCTATTTAAGTTCTCAATAAGCAGTGATCTATGAAAACATCGCAAGCCAACCTATTAGAACAATAAAATGGGTTGGTTATTTAACTTTATACTCATTGAAAACATCAACACCAAGGAATAGCAAGAAACATTGATTACGCAGGTGACACATTTGTTATTCTCAAAGAATAGGAACTATGGAATACTCAAAAAATGATAAATAGCATCTTAGAAGACATAAAGTTTACAGAAGGATATGAATCGGTGAACAAAATATCATTCCTGGATATATTCAGAAGAGACAAAATGCACTACAGCACACTCTACACAGAAAATCGAAGGAAATCATCTTCTGTCCGTCCTAAGAAAAAATGGCTATTCTCACAACATTATCAAAAAATCACCATACCGGCTAAAAATAGACCCAGAAATCAAAACGTAAATCGTCCTAACTTATGTGAGAAACGACAAAGAAAACACTGCAAGGATTATAAAACCTTTGGAATCAAAGTCAATCACAAGTCAACAGAAACACTTCAATTTTATACAGATTAAAAAGCAAAAAAGTGAAAAAGACAAACATATTATCTACAAAATAAATTGTGACAGGTGTGGCAAAAATTACATTGGACAAAGTGGATGCTCCTCCATCTACTCACACAATCTGTCAGTCAGTCAGTAACAACGTAGAACTTCGTACGTACGTACATCAGTTCGAGTTGCCACACCACATTAGCACAGAGATGCAGTTGTCGATTCAAATCCCGTAGTGGTAGAGGTAGTAAGAGTATAAACAGTAATCGGGAAGACTAGAGTTTAGAGATGTTATTTAAAGAGTATAATCCAGTGAAATAAATTTGGGAAGAAAATAAAGGACACGAACAATCCAGAAGATTAGAATTTGGGAGAGCACGAAGAGTGGATGCACCTGCGCCATTGCAAACGATTTTGAGCCATGTCGTTCAGGGTCTCTAACCATCAGTTGCTATCATCTCGTGGTCCTCAACCAGGTAGTCTACACCTACCAATATGGCTCAGTTCACTTGTCAGTGAATTCATGGATTTTTGCCATGTCTTGGTCTGACCGCCCCTAGCTTTCTTCCAACGTACTCCTATACCGTAAAACATAGCACGTCGGGGCAGTCGGTCGTTGGGCATACGTAACACATGTCCCAGCCATCTCAACTGATGAAGTTTCACCACTTCATCAATCAGTTTGCTATCCTTACCTAGTACCCGTTTCCTAACAACTGCATTACTTACTCGATGGTCCCAGGATATACGAGCAATGTTTCGAAGACACCTATGATCAAATACTAGTAACCTACGGATATCCTCTACTCTTACCAGCCATGTTTCACTGACATAAAGTAGGACAGAAAGAACTGCTGCACAGTAAACACGTCCTTTGGTTGATAGACGGATATCTCACCTACGCCATAAATGACGCAAGTTGGCAAAAGCTAGTCGAGCCTTCTGTATCCGTGCTGAGATTTCGTCACACACCAAACCACAAGGGCTGATGAGACTTCCAAGATAAGTGAAGCGGTCGACACACTCAACTACTTCACTCCCTATCACTAGTTCGGGTGTCGATGTAACCCAATCCTGAAGCAACATTTTGCATTTCGAGGGAGAGAATCGCATCCCGAACATGCTTGCATTGTTGCTTAGAGTGGTCAGAAGACTCTGCATTTTGTCAGCGTCTTCACCAAATAAAACTATGTCATCTGCATATTCCAAGTCAACAAGTGAACCTCCTGGTAGAAGTTCAACCCCTGTAAATTTAGATGAGGAGAGTGTTATCTCTAAAAGTACGTCAATGACAAAGTTGAACAAGAATGGGGAGAGTGGACAGCCCTGACGAACACCACTTGAGGTGATCAATTCTGATGACAGTTCGCCATAAGCTCTCACTCTACCAGTTGTGTTCGAGTAGAGAGCATTTATAAGGTTAATGTACTTCTTTGGTACTCCTTTCAGTGACAAACACTGCCATAGAACCTCACGATCAACAGAGTCGAATGCCGCCTTAAGGTCGAGAAATACTACCATTGTGGGGCGTCTGAATGTGTGTCTGTGTTCTAGAACCTGACGTAGTGTGAATATCTGATCTATACAACCACGTCCAGGTCGAAAACCAGCCTGGTTTTCTCTAGTCTGCTCTTCACGAGCTTTAGTTAGGCGTCGAAGTATTATTGAGGCTAATATTTTAGACACTATATTAGTCAAACTGATTCCTCTGTGATTGTCACAAGAGGACTTTTGTCCTTTCTTATAGACTGATAATGACAATATAAACCGACTGCTACAGGCACGAACTATAATTACGGAATAATCAAAATCATGGATCAGATAGATTCAAAGAATCACAGAGTATTTCAAGAACAGTGGTATTCAGGTCAATCTACAATCAATTTTTGCCAACCTATAAGGAAAATGACAACTAGTCAAGTTGCCAAAAGGTTAATGGAAGAAATTGCTCGTAAGAGTAAAAGGACAGGAAGAGCTGAAAAACCTTTGAAGTGAACTATTCATCGAAAAAGCGATCAGAACAGGCTGATTTAACACTTGTGAATTAATGAAACAGCTGACTTCTAAGTAAGCGCTGATGAGGTCCAGAACATTAATGAAACTATTGAGCTTAAAAGAAATAACAAAACCTAAAGTTCCGGTTTAATATAGAAGTGTAAAATCTCATTTATTATTTCACTAGTTTTTAAAAAAAAAGTTACACGAATTAGTGACAAGTCGAAGAAATTAATCAAATATCTACACTTTTCACGTAAAATCTACGTATAGCATAACTATACTACTAAGAAATAGTATAAACATAAAGCACTCACATTTTCTTATTACCATTTGAATTCATTCTTTCAATTTGTGGAATTAAACGTAATAACAGTTGTGAAATGAAATCACCAAGACCATCGAAAATAAATCTGATCGGAAAAGTCAAGGAAAGAGCAACCATTTAGTATATACATACATATACAGAAACAAACAGAATAGAGTGTTGAAATATAGAAATAAATTGTTTCGATGGTTTTATATTACGTTTTCATAAATCTTTATCACTGTGACACGATATTGAATGGAGAACAAAAAGAATCAATGTAGAATTCACTGAATAAATATTTTTATGCAGTTTTTCGTCTTCCAACTTTGGTGATCAACTAAATAATATTGGGTTATTGGATTCATTATAAAATTAACCTTCAGGCAATAGATCGAAATTGAATAGGTCGGTAATTAGAAACTTTAATAGAGATTCGTACTCTGTGAAATCTGTTCGTTTTAGACTTGGTTTCATTGTAAATTTATAGGTATCATATGACCTGTTGAATGAGAAATGATAAGTGAGAAATACCGACCCATGCACACTACTGTTCAAGACTTAAATTCATTGTCCGGTTGAGGGGAGATATGTTCGATTGGCTAAAAGGTTTCTGTTGGTCACATGTACATTGACAAATGAGTTTGAACACATATTATGATTCGATTGGCTAGTACAGTTTACAACTCACTTTTGATTTTATTACTCAATTAGCTGGTTGATCTCACTTATGAGAAGCTTGTATGATAAAATCTGATATCAGATAATTGCTCAAAACAACACATGTAAAAGCTGTAACATACACTAGAGTAGGGAACAAAACTAAGTTAGGGTAAATAAGCCCAAAAATAGCAAATTCTGTAGAATTTTGATGTATTCAAAAACTAATCAAGTCAACTGAAAAAGATTGAAACATCTGAGATTCATAGAACATTAAATTATCCTAGAATATAAATAAAAAAGTCCTTTGACAGTAAACCAATAAAGACAAGCCGAATGATAAGTGGATGTGATTGGTTATAAAATGGTTCTCACTTGCAAGTTATACGACATATATAAAAAGGACTACAGATACAATGCATTTAATTTAGCCAAATAAACGTTTTTTTCTCCTTCTACGTCTCTTATTTTTAGTAACTAGAATTTTGTGTAGAAAAAGTGTATATCAGTACGAAGTCTCTGACACTGCGTATCACAACAAATGTAATTTTAAATACACCAATAATAGTATTATTAATTCTATAATCAAAACAGACAATATACAACAAGAATAACAGTACATTATCCAATCAGAAATAAACAGTATAAATTAATATTAAGGAAACACATGGTGCATGCTACTTATACTGACAGATATAAGTAGTATATAGCATCAATCGGAAGTGGACTGCCTGTCAGAAGAAGATTGAAATAAAGAGAAAAAGAAAGAAGAAAAGGGAGGAACTGGAATGACAATCGAATTGGAAGAACGAAGTATGCAAAGGACAACTGAAGGCAGATGTGCAAATAATGAATTTAATGTATGATATTCATATTATACAAAAGTAGTACGTAATTATGCGCAAAACAATAAATTGGTTTTGCCCACATGAGTTTTCGTGTTTACTACAGTACGACTTACCGAAATTTATGCCGACTAAATGTATGTATCGATAAATCTTTAACTTGTTCAATATATCCAAGAAAATCTGTCACATATTTATCAACATCAACATCGTCTAATGGACACCAATAGGTAACACCATCAGGTAATGTACCGAAATAGTTATATGCCTGTATTCTTACTTCTAAATAAGTCATTAAAAGACATGCTTCTGAGAAACGATTTAATTCTTTTGCATAAGAAACAAACGAATTATAATAATAATCAGAAGATGTACGTATTCCACCAACTACTGATTCACTTCTATTAGTACTAATAGATATGGAAGATTTTATTTGATATTTTTTTGAACCTTGAGTCCATGTGTCTAAATTCAGTACACGATAACAGAGCCAGCACTAAAAAAAGAGAAAAAATACATATTAGAAAATAGAAAAATGAATATGTGAATATAAATATGATTACTTACTTACTTAAGTGTTATCTAGGATGAATACACGTAGGACTGACTGCAGTTAGGCTTATACACTACTACATCCTAACTCATTGCCCTAGAGGCTAAGTACTTAGGCTCAAAACCGAAACACCTGGCTTCGATTTCCGGTTACATGGTGTTAGATGAGCATGGCTAAAGAACTCCAAACTATCCAGTACTTTCATGACCTGCTAAGTCGTTTCGTGATTTCAGTAACATTCAACAATCTCCACAACCACATACAAACGCTAAGGTTTGTTGAAGCCACTAACTACGTGTCGACAGAAACAAATAAACTGGTACTTACATTACACATGAGTTGGTAGCAATACTGATTCATTATACAGAGTTGTATGATTCAGAATATTTCCCCTTATTACCTTAGTTGTTTCTTATATTTCAATTGGTTTAGTTAGAGCTTGTATTTTTTCTAAACAAGTATCTTGGCATATAAATGTGTGGTTAGATTATTGTTTAAAGTGTATGGTGATAATATAATCACACAAAATTCTGAAAAATTTTATCTTCACATTGTATTAACGGAATAATAATTGACTACTACAATAGAATGCTAAATTCTTTTATCATCAGTTTAAGATTGTGGAAATCGATGAGTTTTGATTGAGATCGTGAATGGATCAGTGTTAGATCATCATTGAAAACCTGGGAGCACTGGACGGCCGTTTCGTTTCAGTATAGGACTCCTCAGCAGTGCACATCCACGATCCCGCACGCAGGATTCGAACTCTGGACCTTAGATCTGGTGTGAGGCAGTTACCCACTGAAGACAATGGAAGAAGGGTCGCTCAAGATCATGAATTGATTGGAGTTAGATATTAACACAGTCGGATGCCAGCTCAGTGGTCTAGAGGTTAAGTGCTCGTGAGCGAGATCGAAGGTCCCGGGTTGTTATCCCGCGTACGGGATCGTGGATGCACACTGCTGAGGAGTTCCGTGCTATGATGAAACAGCCATCCAGTGCTTCCAGCTTTTCAGTGGTGGTGTAACATTGATTTATTCATGATCTCAATCAATATTTTCTTATGACTCTTTATAAATAAACGTTTTCAATATCACCAGCTATATATTACACTGTTAATGAATCTATACCGTTAAATTGTATCGTAATCAAAATGTATATATATCTATATGTTTAACTATTAAATTTAAAGATTTGTAACAAGATAAGAAAAACTCAACATTTGGAAAACACACTCCATAAGGAGTCAAGTGATTGAGTAACTTTGATAAATTGTTCAATCACACAATTAACAATGGAGAAATAGGATAAAGAGGTTATGGGAAAGAGAGCCATATTATTTAAAACCATTAAAACCTTACAATGAAGGAATTTTTCATTTGCTTTGACATCAATATACAGTCTATATGAAAATGTCACTTAAAATACATGTCTGTAGGTAGATAAATTACTACAGCACACTACTACGAAACAGTGAGTTGTTATAAGTAGTTACACTTAGAACTCGTCAACAATGTGTATACACGTGTGATTGAGTTAAACTCTGTGACGCATCCAGACGTGAGTACTATTAACGCTTTACGATATTTCATACATTTATTACATGAAAACTAGCTTGTTTACAGAAAATATGTATAGTTGGAAGTATTCAGAGAAGTCTAGTCATCACGAAAAACATGGAAAATCAAGGATTAATTCAAAAACTCAGTAAACGTTTGTGACCTAGATATATGTAAAGTAGTCATAGTATGACATTTAATGATGCTAACTATTAAAAAAATAGATCACAAGTACAAGCCTCGTTTCGACTACTTAGGGGAATGGTCTAGACGGTAAATATCACCAAATACATTAACCCATACATGATAAATGAGTAACATTCAACAGTACTAACTTGATTCCTAGACTTCAAATTTTTTCAGACCATTACTTCACATCATTATTGAGTGATTAAAGACGCGATAAACGATATACAGGTCTTATGTTCTCTATACTTTAGTTGTAATCAACGTAGACCCTGGGCTAAATGTGGATTAGCCCAAGTTACTTGGTAGGTTGTTCCATAATACATGGGTAATGCTTCAAAGAGATTTATGATCTTAAAACCTCCAGTCAACACACGTTTTCTATTTTCATAGACTGTTTCATATAGGGAACAGATGTAAAGTTTGCTGGCTCCTTTGTGTCACTAAATAGACATCTCACTTACTTATATTTATCTGTAAATTACCAAAAATCTAATAATTTTGTCTAATTTGACTAAAGCAATTAGTCCCTTTTATAAATTTCGACAAGTATATGTGTGACCAGATTGTTCGAAATGTATAGCGCAAATACATCACATTTTTCAGATCAACTCCGTCTTCTCATTGTTCTATCGTAATTTGACTAACTTACCAATGATTCAGTTAATCGACCCAATGCTTTAATTAATTGAATATTTCGTAATGTAGGTAAAATTTGATCAGATTTTTTCTCACATTCGGGTAATTCATGTCTTATCATATGAATTAATTGGTCAGTTTCAGCAACAGCTAATCTTGTCGCTTCACGTTCATGAATTATTCCATGTAGACGCTGTAATTATTTGTACAAAAATAAATATGTATAAAATAGCAGCGAATACATTCAACAAGTTAGATACAATAATAGTTACTCATTTACAGTGCCGTATTATAAAAATGAGGGTTAGTTTAAATACTAATATTACTAATCATAATATAATTAATTTACTACGTATAGGTTAATGTACTCCGTTGTGGTTTACATTTTAAATCTGAGGGTTAGGTGCAATATACCACCATCCAAACGCTTAAATGAAAATTAGTAAAGTACTATTCAAAAAGCAGTTATACATCAAGGGGATGGATTGAGTTAGACAATCGTTTGAAAACCAGGAGGTATTAAACAACCATTTCGTTCAAGTATTGGAACTTATGAACGGTACATATTCATGACGGGGGTCACACATAGAACCTGCCGATTACGCCATGATGTCTTAACCTTCACAAAACATAGTTGGAGTCGAGAGGTTTACAATTATAACACCAATCAATTCATGACCAATGACTGTGGCGATATTTGTCTCACACTCTACATGGTAGGAATTCACTGCATCTCACTAAAACTTTAAGAATTACTACTAGAGAGTACTGTAAAACTAAAAAATTCAACAAGTTCTACAATTCCCTATATTAAACAAATAGTAGCAGCTAGAGTAACGAAAACAAAGAAAACCTAAGAAATAAAATTAAGGTATCGTGCATACTGAAGGGCGGAGGAAGAAATCAGGAAGAAACGCTGGAATTGGATAGGACACACATTAAAGAAAGCACCCAACTGCGTCACAAGGCAAGCCTTCATTTGGAATCATCAAGGTCAAAGGAAAAAAGGAAGACCAAAGAACAAATTACGCCGAGAAATGGAAACGAACATGAGAAGAATGAATAACAATTGGATAGAACTAGAAAGGAAGGCCCAGGACAGAGTGGATTGAAGGTAACTGTCAGTAATGGGTTGTGGAGGTTTCAGGAACTTTCACGGTTGAGATAACAAACCGACCTAAGCCAAAGCATCACTGAAAACCTGGAGGCATTGGACATCCATTTCGTCCCAGTATAGGACTCCTCACCAGTGCGTGTCCACGATCATGCACGCGAGATTTAATCAAGAAACTTCGGTCTCACGTGTGAATTGTTTAGTATTCGGTTGTGAGCTCCTTAATACTAACTTATCCGGACTATCTTCGTACTGTTAATTGACACAAACATCTTTTCGATTGCGTTTCATTTCAACGTAATAACAATTAGGTCACAACACAAAGTATTATTAAATAAGGTTGATTGCAAGCAAGCTTGTCCTCCAGCAAACCAATTAGACAGACTGAGCAAACAAAAGAATCATGCGATATACAGTCCCTATTTAATTCCACATATTATATTTAGACAGACTCCGTCGGGTAACGGTAGTTATGATAATCAAATACAAATTGAGTCAACAGAAGTTATTTCAGGTATTTATCTATCTTGACTGACTGTAGGGAGTGGAACATAGAGAAAAGTTACCTAGACTACTAAATTTTATTAAGCGTATCTCAACACCTATACTTAGACAGTAAAAGCAAGCTGAAGGACATGTGAAGAATGGAATAATAGAACATGCACACAGAAATATACACATAAAAACGATTAAATAAACAAGTGAATAATCGCCTAGGTAAAATATATGTATACATAATAACTCAAAAAGATAAGATTAAATTATTTGTTCAAAAGTAAGAATAAATCATGTAAGGGTACAATAGTACTATTTATTTTTTATTTATTTATTTTAACACATAGATATTGGTACAAGGAGGCACCAAATACGTATGCGCCACACAAATCTTATTTGAAATGTGTGAGGGCTGTGATACTGCCCGGGTGTCCAAACCAAAATAGGTGGGCCACACCCGGAGCCTTCGACATGAAGGTCTGATCCACAAGGCAGTGGAGCATCGTAAGGAGATACAGTCCCATGGTATCCGGTGACCAATACTTGGTTCCTACGCCATTTGTTCCTTCAGGATACTGGAGCCCATGTGCACCGTCGGTTTGAAATCAGGGTTTTCCAAATCCCCTAGGTGGATTCCCTATGTCCACCAACCCGATTAAAGCGCCGAACATTAGCTTTTCGTCCTCTCAATTCCGTAAACAACACCCCTACCACGAGAAGGCAGTGAGTGGGACTTCTCTGGCAGAGGTTGTATACGTGTGGCCGTGTGAGAGCACTTCGAGAGGGAGAGCGGACTCTCCCCACTCTCGGCCGTACCAGGGCATTTGGGGGTTGAAACGTGGTTCGAATATACGATTTAGTAGTCAATCATTTTAACTACTGAATTATTACACCCACTGAGTGTATACATTTGAAAAGTTTTATAATTCAAACAAAATTCATGAACAATCTACTTTGATTTTTCAAAAAAGTTCAATCAAACTCAGGTTAGTTAATGATGATAAGTATATTTCACTTTTATAAAATGAAAAAAGAACTTCAAAAAGACTAGTTCAGTTGATTATAACATACCATATATTCTAAACCTCTTTCTGCATCATCTATATTATCGGAATTATTATTTAATCCATTAGCAAATGGTATTATACTTGGTATATTGATATTATTACAACCAATTGTATCATTATTATATAAGCCTAAAGCAATTGCACAAACTGGTTTAATGATTGTATCACTTTCATTCATTTTCTCTCCAGAATTTAATTTTTCAATTTCTTCTTTTTCTTCTAATCGTTTTATTTGTATATCATTAAATGAATTTGCATTCATTGTTCTATTATCATGATTATAAGTTGTTTCGTGTGCTTTTTTCTTAGCCAATGATTTCTCCATTATTGTATTATTAGCTAATAAACGTGCTTCATGTGTAGCCATACGTTGCCATGATGGGAATTTTCTATTGAAAAAGAAAAACGAAAAGTGAAATGAAAATTGCCTATGAGTTACTCTTTAGTAACTAATTAATATAGACTAGACTACAGCAAGACAACAATAACCAATTGTATTGTAATAATATATATATATATATATATATATATATATATATATATTATATCCCAATGATAACCGATATCGGTTATTTATTTACTCTGAAGAAGCGGCTAACATTAAGTCACGAAATGTCGGAAACACTATTTTCTACTGATTGGGATATAAAAAGATATATTTATCATTAACTTTCTACCCAATGATCAGCAAGGGCCGCATTCCTACAATTAAAGAACATATGAGACTCAAAGTAACTTTCAACCAATATCAAGGTCAGAATCTTCAATACGAACGAAAAGACAGTTCTAATGCACGCAACTGAAACTTGGAGAACTAATACAACCATCATCAAGAAGGTACAAGTATTTATAAATAGTTGTCTACGCAAGATACTCAACATCCATTCGCCGGATACCATCAGCAACAGCCTTCTCTGGGAGAGAACAAACCAGCTTCCAGCTGAAGAAGAAATTAGGGAAAGACGATGGAAATGGATAAGATATATATTACGTAAATCGCCAAACTGCATCACGAGGCAAGCCCTAACTTGGAATCCTGAAGGGAAGCGGAAGAGAGGAAGACCAAAGAACATATTACGTCGGGAAACAGAGGCTGATATGAAAAAGATGAATAACAACTAGGAAGAGCTGGAAAGGATTGCTTGGGACAGGGTTGGATGAAGAGTGCTGGTGGTTGGCCTATGCTCCTCTACGAGGAGTAACAGGCGTAAGTAAGTACCTGATGATCAATTTATTTGAAACGATCAAGTTCAACCTTAGGATTGATACTTAAATTGTATAGTAGTTATTAACACAATCCAAATAATAATTTATCAACCAAATACATGTTTATACTCTTCTGTAAATATTAGTGATACCACCCGGCTGCTCAAATTGCAGTAAGTGGAACGGAATTTGAACTAGGGACTTAATTTTTGGTAGTCAGGTACTTTAATCCTTAATTCATTATTATTATTCCATTCGAATAGAGTTGACATTAGTCAATGGACTAAATAGTTTTAACTCGAGTACTTGAAATAATAGGTAATTTGTAAAGTACGTTCAAACATTAATGGATCATTTTCCAAGTGATGCAGGATCTCTCCTCCTAGGTTATATAATTAAATAATTGGTAGGATAATCATAAAGATTTTTCAACTCGAAGATAGTTTGGATGAACGATAAATTATCTGGTTCAAGTATCTATCTCTGACAAGATTGTTGGTCCGAACTACTGAGAGTAGTTTCAAACTTTCACAAAACAGTTAATCAATGACTTTCGAAGTTATAAACAGATATCTCTAGCTAAAATCAATTAATGATTAGTAAGACGGATGAAAAAGTGAGGTAAGTCTTAATAGTTTCAGTGTAAAACTAGTCTTGATTTTTCAGTGTAGCATTTACATTCTCTAGATCAATTAAGTGTGAACTACATTTAACATGTTTTTCCTATATGTGATATCATTAAGTGTGTGCAAAAAATCAGTATACAAAAGTGTATTTTTGTTTAAAAATAAAGCGTTTTGGATTATCAATAAAATTTGCATCTGCACCAATCTTCCATGCTTATTGTTCGTGTGATTATCAGTTAACAAGTATTAGCAATAGAACTGTAGTTATAACAAGAATGTAAACTTCCTTTCTTCCTTCCTATGACTTAATAATGTAACTATTCTGCTCAAAAATAATTAAAAACTTACTTCCAAAATCGACTAACATCATCATCTTTTGACCATTCAGAACTTGGCAAAGCAAGACCTGTTTCAAGTTCACCTATATCTAGAATGCCAAGAAAATAAAAAATAATAAAGAAATCATTTAATTGAAACAACATTTGGAATTGTTTTAATAGACGAATCAAACAGTTTGAAATAATATAAAAAACGACAAAATTAATATGTAACGAATACGTAGGAATTAAAATTATGAGTAATTTAGACTAAACTACTGTACGGTAAAGTTGTTTTCACTGAACAACAATGGTGACAGTGAAAAAGTTATACAGGTCAACACTATTCACTGTCATTGGAAATGAAAAAGCTTTTCAGGTCTTTACAAAACTATATGGGTCATAGATAGATATTAGCAATTAATATAGTTTAGAAAGTGTACAATCAGATCCTTTTGTACAGTGTTTTACGTTGACACAGATTCCGAAAGTTCGGTTAGCTTAAGTTAACTTGCAATTGGAATTAAAATGTTATTAGCCAGTGAGCGAAGACAAGTGAACACTAAGCTATGCTAAATGTAAGACACTATATGATGTTATAAATTCTTTTCCATCGTTAGTTCTTCTCTGAGTTTCAATATAACTTTTTATACAATCAGATCCCTTGATAAATTTAATCAGCAAGAACAACAAGGTTTTTAGAATAAAATGAAACCAGCAGTCTATTTTACGGTTTCTCATCAGCCTATACAACCTATAGTGTACAACCTAAAGTTACAATTATAAATATAAATATAATTTTCACAGTTAAAATTACGAGTCGGTCTAAGTTAGACCACCTTTTATTCTAATAAAATGATACCAGTGAAAATGCCCCCTAAATGCCCTGGTATGGCCGAGAGTGGGGTGGACATTACCCTCCCTCTCGAAATGCTCTCAAACGGCCACGCGTATACAGCCTCTGCCAGGGAAGTCATACTCATTACCTTCTCGTGGCGGGGGTGTTGTTTACGAAAATGAGAGGATGAAAAGCGAACGTTCGGCGCTTTAACCGGATTCCAAACCAATGGTGCACATGGGCTCCAGTATCCTGAGGGAACAAATGGCTCATGAACCAATCGTTGGTCACCGGCTACCATGGGACTGCATCTCCTCACGTTGCTCCACTACCTTGTGAATCAGACCTTTAGGTCAAAGGTTCGGGGAGTGGCCCCCTAAGAAAACCACCTGCTTCGGTTTGGGCACCCGGGAAGTATCACAGCTCACACATACACAAATATGGTGTGGCGCATATATATTTGGTGCTCTCTTGTACCGATATTTATGTGTTGAAATAAATAAATATGTATATATCAGTGAAAATTTACACGCACACACATATGAACACGAATAAGTTTCTTTCATTAAGAAACAAAAAAAGCATTCTGAGAGATAAAGGAAGGCGACTATACTACCTGCCTGTTTCATTTTTCTTCATAATACATACATATAGATTTTAAAAAATACTTCTGTTAATAGAGAACGAAAAACTAATAATACAACTCTAGTTCGTCTAGTACTACTGACTATATATGTATATACTACGAATATGCAATTGTTGTTCAGTAAAAAGTAACAGAACGACAGATTTAATCAACTTGCATACAGACATCAGGTATACACCTATTTTATATATATATTCACATGTTTGTTAGACAAATAAAGTAAACAGATTATAAAATTCTCTACTTATCATTCAAATAAAAGAGATAAACAGGGAAAAAATGTATTAATTTTTAGGAAGACCTCAATGTAGCATAATGAACAATTGATCATAATCCTATACTACCCCATCTTGTCGTTCCGATAACATGATTTTTATTATTATTATTAATAATAATAATAATAATAATAGGAAAATGAGAAAATGTATGGACTATTAAACAAAGGTATTGAATAAATTCCGAATTCAATAATGTGTATTCAACTACCTCCTGTTTTAATTTACATAGAATAGATGTGAGACTTTTACGTTTTCATAAATATAAAATAAAAACAAAAAAAGGTAAAGTAGTGTATTCTGTGGGTTATTGGCCTTGGGAAATATAACAATATGATGAGAATAAATGATGAGTGACACACAACTCAATATTGAGTTTAAAGCAATTAATTCTTTTTATAAATCTTGATGTATTGGCGCCATATATTTCGAACAATCTGGTCACATATATACTTATCAGAATGAGTTTTGTGGAGATTTTAGGAAATTTCACAGGTTGAAATCATGAGTCAGTTGAAGCTAGACCACCATTGAAAACCTGGAAGCACTGGACGACCGTTTCGCCCTAGTATGGGACTCTTTAGCAGTGCGCATCCACGAACCCGCACCCCGCGGGATTTGAACCCAGGACCTACTGGCTTCGCGCGCGAGCACTTAACCATTAGACCAGCGAGCCGGCATTTAAAGGTGTTAATGTTTAACTTCAACCAATCCACGAAGTTGCGCCACCTTACACCATTGTCTTCAGTGAGCTGATATCTCACAACAGACCTGGTTGAACTCCACTGGTGACGGCTTCTCACTAGAACTCCAGGAGGTTCTCCTGAAGTCAGTCACTAGTGAGCAGTTGATTATTATCAGAATGAGTTTTGTGGAGATTTTAGGAAATTTCACAGGTTGAAATCATGAGTCAGTTGAAGCTAGACCACCATTAAAAACCTGAGGAGTCCCATACTAGGACGAAACGGCCGTCCAGTGCTTCCAGGTTTTCAATGGTGGTCTAGCTTCAACTGACTCATGATTTCAACCTGTGACATATACACTTGTCAAGACATTTTATATGAATATTAATAAAGGTCAATTAAATGAAAGTTCAAGCGAAAAAAGGTAACAAAGGGGAGAAAAAGATTTCTTACTTGAACTCTCATTTAATTAACCTTTATTAATATTCATATAAAATGTCCTGACAATTATATGTGTGACCAGATTGTTTGAAATGTATGGCGCCAATACACCACATTTTTCACATCAACTCCGTCTTCTCATCGCTCTATCAAAATCAATATTGATTGACAAGCTCCACTAGCTTTGAAACTATTTCTCTTGACATAGGAACCATTTGTAAGATTTACATGAGTCAAATATATTTTATTGATGAGTAACTGTGATTTCTCTTGATACAGTTGCTTTGTATTTTGTTGATTCAGTAAAATGTAACTTTATTTTTATTGGTTAATGTAACAATTAACCGTTTAGCTAGGTTAGACTGGATATTTTTCGTCTTGTTTCGGTTTTATGTTATCAGATTAACAGTTTAGTCATCGACAACATAAGAGGACCTAGAGATAACGTAGTACACCAGCATAGTGAAAAAAAAACGAACAAGAAGAATCGAAACGATGTAGAAGTGATATAACGTTAGCGGCTTGGAGACAGTTTGCAGCAAACCCTTGATCTAGGTTTGGAGCTAGCTGAAACTTATCAGGAAGCCATACTTACAATCTCGAAGGAACTGATTCTCCCTGGTGGATTCGAACTAATATCACTTAGTCCCACAGTCTCAGATAATACTATTGAGTCTTTTGTGTTGTGACTGACCTTCAATAGGACTGAGGTATTTACGACTGGTTGAATAATGAATGGAGAGTTTCCTGCTGACTAGCTCCAATCACCAAATATTAAAACACGGTGCAAGTGATATTGATTCAATTAGACTAGTGATCATATCGCGAAGTTATCAGTGGAATTCGATCAGTATTAAGAACTAGAAAAACATGATGGTAACGAATTACTTATCACTTAATGTAAAGCAATATGATGTTTAAAAAAATTCAAACATAAAAAATACAATTCAAAAAAAGTAACGAATGGGATTTACGAGATAACAGAGAATAAATGTAACTGATTCACTGAAACTGGTTTAAAGTCACGTCACCACCTGAAGTCCCCAAAGACTGCTCACGATTATCGTGTAAACTACAACCTGATATGGTTCGGACCAACAGTCGATGGCTTCATGGATTGCTATATTGTCTTGGTTTGGCAGCTTTAAGATTTCGTACTACTTCACAAACTAAAATTATATATATATATATATATATATATATATATATATATATCTTCGGAAGCTGAGACAGTGCTTTGATGCTAATCAGCTGTGCATAAATTTCTACAAATCATTCTGTAACTGCGTGATTTACAACTATAACCTACTTTTATAAATCCTCCATATAGCAGTGATAAAATCTTCCAAAATTGTTAGACCAATGTGTAGACAACCACTTGCAAACTCTGGTAAAGCGATACACATTTTTCTTACTTCATTTAAACACTGGTCCACGACGTAAACGATCTATTTGTTTTAAAAAAAAAGAAAGTAAACATTTTCAGTAGTATCACAGTTTCACATAAAATATCTAGGTTGTCACAAAACGAACACCAATATTAAGTAAGATATTTTACTAACACCATTATTCAACTATAGTGATAATTATTCATAAAGTATTCAGGAAATAAGGAATATTTGAGAGTAGATGATCACTATTTCATCGTAGTAGGTTGGAACTCATTATATTCACTAACAATCAAGATATTAGTTGAAGCTGGGTTTTTTTCGTGACGATTTATATTAACTGGGGAATCATCGAAAACCAGATAGGAGTTTCAGTGAAGCATGAGAATCCTTAACAGACACGTGCCAAAACCTTCATCGAAAAGCAGGCTAAAGACACCAAAGTTTGTGGTATGAACATGTTACCATTAGCAGTTCATAGGTTCAGTAAGTTAGTCAGTAATAACCACTGGAAAACCTGATACACTTGAATCAGTGCAAGTTACCATAAGACATAGGTACAAAAACATGAAACTGAAGAGAAAAACCAGAGTAATAGAAGTAGCAACAATATCAGTGACAGTAAGAAATGTAAGGCACAGAAAATATTATTCAAGGGTCCCACATCATTGCGACCGATTTTGATCGATATCAGTCAACATCTCCAACAATTGGTCATGACAACTGCGCAGATCCCAACCAGGTAGTCTGCACCTACTTACACGGCTTAGCCTATCGGGTCAACCTCACACGCCGAGATCTGAAAGTCCTAAACTTGATCCTATATAGTATCACCAGTGTTCTATCGCCTGAAGAGTTGCAAAATAGGACAAAACAACTTTCAAATGTTCTCATTTTTCAATGGTTTACAGCTTTCATCATGATATCTAGTAGATTTTTTAGTAAGCAACATATGACTTAAATACTGTGTATTGTCTAGCTAAAAAATAAACGGTAATTTATCCACTTTCCAGAAAGATGGATAGATAGTCAGATATATGTAACTTGCAAGATATATTTATCCAATCCTTTGCATTTGTTGTAAAATAATGCAATATAGACTTTGGTCAGGTTCACTCAGTACCTTCAGTAGGTCCCTCGATGAAGTGTTGCAAATATTTACATGGTTGGGTTCATATTCACAAGTGAATAAGACACGCCTAACGCAATAGTGAACTTAAGCTTGTTGAAAGTCAGATAATTAGATAACTAAATGGCGTTTCCATGAAAGTTCATTTGAGTTTACTTAGACAACTTAAAATCATATTGTTCACAACTAATCGGAAAATATCATGTATCTAGTCGTTTAATGAGTGCAATATAAAATTTACTTATGTATTACATATGAATATGTTCGTGATCGAAAAAAATACAGCGAAACCAATCTTGAATAGAATGAGAAAGTACTTACTAAAAGAATTGGTCTATTAAGATTCAGTTCACGTTCAGTTTGTTGAGATACAACTGATGTTAAAACGTCTGGCGCTGTGACAGTTAAAAAATATATTAAATCGGAGTTTAAAACAAAATGAGTTTTAGGAGATTCAATGATTCTTCAAAATTCAGACAAAATAAAACTAAACTCAGTATTGAATTCTTAGCTTTTTACTAACCTACCGTAGCTGCTTCCTTGACGCGATGGTCAAGGTTGGCTTTCTTGACGAACCAGTTGGGGTACATAAGCTGGAACACTTGTTCTTTAAGGTCTAAGGATTTCAGGTGTATTGTTTAGAGGTTGATGACACTAAAAGCACTGAATTTAAGACCCAAGGGAAGAATCTCAATGAATTATATACTGAGGTATGTTGGAAAGTAAGGGTTATCTCATAAATCGCCAAACACTCAAACGATGCTATCTTACCACAACAAAAAGGGGTTAGAAAAGTCAATCCTTAAAAAACAGAACGCCATGTTTCACCATAGATTTCTGGTGTTTATGACAAGGTCCTTAAAGTATCGAGTTATCATATCTGAAACTACTCACGAAAAGGTGATTCATGTCAGATGACAACCAGTTATCCTTTGTGCAGTCACGATCTAAGGTTGGAAAAATCACTACTCACCTAGCTTCCCTTTTAAGTCCATCAATAATAAATATCACTGAACAGAGTAATGATAACTGCTAACATGCATCTGATAGAAGTTCAGCTCGAACTCTTTCACCGTTACTTTTAGAAATAAATGAAACAAGACTGACTATTTACAATTAAATGATTAATTCTTTGAAATACTGACTTTTGTATAAAATCAAACGAACGTTTATATTTTACTGTAGACCATACAATATTAGTCTGATCACATTCCGAGTGAGTAATTTGCTAAGAAGAAAGTCTACATGCAACCCCAACATACTACACAACTTGGGATTAATCTCAAAATATTGACAGAATGATTGGTTTAACGTAAAGAAGATTAGTTTAAAAATTTTTTAGCGGTGACAACCAAAGGAGTCCGTTGATACTTTTCCTTCAAATTAATGCAAAATAAGAAACCACGTAAAATTACATGTATATATGCTTGTCATTTATGAAAGAGTTCGAAGCATATTTCTTGAGGATTTAAGCGTTTGCTTGATGCTTACTGATAAAAATTAGCCAAAAGCGTATGATTTGATGTTACGTGTTGTGGTGGCTTTCTAAAGCGACTGTGTCATATTGACTTAACGATTGACAAAAACATTGTAAAACCAAGTACAGTAAGGTGTTAGATGGTTAGAAGAAAACCTTGAACCTCCAATTTTATGTTAGTTAGCAGAGGTCAGTGATCTTGAAGGAATTGATTTAAACCTGCATCAATTAGCTTCATATTTTGAGATGTCACCATTGAGTCAGTTGAGCGTTGACTCAATTCCTGTCAGGATGGAGATATTTAGAATTCATTGATTGTTACATAATAACCAATATTATGTTTGTCTAGTCCTTCATTCCTGATTCAGATCTATCGATTAAGTATTATATATAATAAGAATATAACAAGAAATCGAATCAACTTACACTGGCACAAGAACAATATGAAAACAGTAAACTTACAATTAAGTGATTTCTGGAGTTTATTACGTAAAGAAGAAAGTTTTCCAGGTAGATAAATAGTTTCAATGAAAGTTTTGAGTAATGTACGTAATTGACATTGTTGACGGTAATCATTGCTTGTATTACTGAAGGTGAGATGATAAAAAAAGATTAGAAAAATATTTTTTAGAGATTACAATATGCGACATGGAGTTAACCATCTAATCGCTTCATATTGAATAGGTTACAGAAGCATTCTGATTTTTTTAACGCCTGATTATTAGTTCAGAAACAGTTACATCATTTCAAAAATGTATTATTCTTTTCTCACTCGTCATATTTTCTTCCGAGTAATCAGGTTAGTGTATAGAAAGATAATGTATCAGTATACAATCTCGGATACAGCGTATCACAATAGAACGTTTTGGAATGAACGTAAACAAAAATGTGGACCGGAAGCAAATGAAGCAATGGAATACTAGAATGTTCAGAAGATAAAGAAATTGGTAAAAATGGAATACAACTATATGATTAAGAGTGAATTTAATCTATGTGATCGAAAATCTTCAACCAATGATTACATTTATTTCACATATTATAACTGAATAATCTATCACTAGTCTAAGCATCTCTCATCAACATTCAAAGAGACCATGAGTTATTGTAATGATTGTGCTTTGGAAACCTTTAAACGGTTTCTCATGTACTCCTATTACAGTCAGTATACGGCAATTGGACATACACAATACATATTTGAACAAATTCACCCTACGATATTTCACCACCTCAGTAGTTAATTTATTATCCTTAGAGAACAATATACACCTAGTATTTGTAATAGAAAATCGATTGCTCCATTAGTTGTCGTAGACTTGTAAGCTATGCTTATCTTCTAATTTCAACAAAAAATTTTTTGAAACTGCTAAATAATATCGAATAAGCTTTCGGGCAAAAGACTTTCCTCTTTGACAGTCAGCAGATATTCCCTGCTCTACAGATGCTCATCCAGGTGCGGACTAGGCTCTCCGTCGCCTAACCCCCCTTAGACTCATTGCCGTATTTCTATCAATCAAAAAGATACATCTATGTAAAAAACAGACCACTAATTAGTGTAAAACTAATATAATGTAGAAGAACAATAATTCAAACTTACGAATGAGTAGAGGACACAGAATGTAGATCAGAAAATTCAGTATATTTGATCATTTCCCATTCAACAGCTTCAATGAATTCCATAACCATTTTGTATACACTTAATATATTATCACCAGATGGTCGACAAGCTAACGGGTAAATTGGAGCTGATTTCTCTGTGAGATTTTGTCCAGACTGAGTCTCAACACCTGGTAAACCTGACTGATTAGGAAAAACAAATTAAAATAGAAAATAGTCAAGTTAAAAAATTTGGATAAATAAATGTAGATTAACAACGATGAATTAAAAAGGTTTTGCTTGATTGAACTGTATAGTCGGTGTTCCATTTAGTTGATAAGCTGAAACTAGGCAGCAACATGGAACCTGCCACATATATATGCATCGGTTCAAGTTACCGGACCATAAATGAATTCTAATAAATTCTAATTTATTGGTTTTGTGAATTAAACAAGTCTGTAAAATTTGTGAAAGCTATGTTTATCTTTACTTCTTATAATAAAGCATCTTGAGAAACAACCATTTTAATGCATTAACAAGTTTATTGTGATGGGATTGATTTTCATGATAGACAAAGAGTTTATTATTTCGAGGATTAAAGGAAAGACTAGATACACATAATACTGGCCACTATTCAGTGATTAATTAATGAATATAGCTCAGTCTAATATAGGACTTCAATTATGGCCCCTATAAATCTAAGACTGTGAAACTAGGTAACATGGGTTGAACTAAACAGGAAGTACAATTTTCCTTAAAATTGCAAGTAAGCCTTGCTGATGAGTTCCAGCTAGCACGAAACCTAGTCAGCTACAACGTAGGACCAGGCACATATATGCATCGGTCCAAGTTGCCATACCTCATTAACACAACAAGATGGACACCGGATTCATAAAAGTAGTTAATTCAGAGGTTGTAATATATAAAAGAAAGATTGCATATAAGGATATAGTACAGGAAGAAAGAATTAGTTCGTAGAATCAAAGATATGAAGCGATTTTAATCTCTTAGTTTAAGGGAAGACAGAGAGTGTACACACCGATGCCATTGTGATCGATTCTGAGCCATGTCACCAAGAGTCTCCAACCACTGGTTACAATAGTCACGCGGACTCCAACCAAGTAGTCTGCATCTACCAACATGGCTCAGTCTAGAAGTTAGTGACTTCAAGCACTGATGCCACGTTTTGATTTGACCGCCCCTAACTTTCTTCCAACCATCTTCAACACCAGTTAACATTGTACGTCGCAGTAATCGGTGTTCGGGCATACGTAACACGTGGCCTAACCATCTCAGTGGATGAAGATTCACAACCTCATCAACTGGTTTACCATCACTCCGTAATACCCTTCATCTAGCCTCACTCTTAATGGCCATGTCTCGCTGCCGTAAATGAAAACAGAACGGATTGCCGCGCAGTATACACGTTCTTTTATTGATAAACAGATATCTCGCCTTCGCCATAGGTGACGTAAGTTGGCCAAAGTCATACGAACTTTTCCAATCCGTACTGAGATTTCGTCCGGTACCAACCCATTAGGGCTGATCAAACTTCCAAGATAAGTGAAGTTGTCAATGCGTTCGACTACTACACTCTCTATCCTTAGTTCAGATGTTGACGCAGACCAGTCCTGAAGCAACAACTTGCATTTAGAGGGAGAGAAGCGTACTCCAAACATTCTGGCATTGTTGCTTAGTGCTACCAAAAGACTCTGCATTTTATCAGCACGAAACCTAGGCCCAAGGTATCTTACGAACTGTTCTTAATCACCTAACACTAAATCGAATCCTAGAGTTTACAAAAACTAACATTCATATCAAATAGAATTGACACTAATTTTACTATTTATTACCAATCGATGAACCTATACAAGAAAATTAAATATAGATCACTTAAACTAATTTATACATTTGTTTTTCTTCTTAATGTTGAGAATAATAAACACTGTATCCTTGAATCAGTATAATACATACAGAACAATAAGATGCTCCAATGTAAAGTGCTTATTATCACATGATATGTTTACACTATCTACAAATGAATGAATCGTGATAACCTTTTATCATTTATTCTCAGTATTGATTATTGTTGAGAAAATTTTATTTAATACATTCCAAATAATTAACGTTTGAGTTATATTATTGTCTAATAAGAATGGATCAACATTTAAATAACATGGAATTATGAAGATAAAGTGCTAGTTACATAATTACAGATTTCAAGGAATTATTAATCAGAAGGGGTTTTGTGGAGATTTTAGTAATTTCAATGGTTAAGATCATAAATCAGTTGAAACTAGACCACGATAGAAAAACGGCCGTCCAATGCTTCTAGGTTTTCTATGGTAGTCTAGCTTTAACTGACTTATGATCTCAACTATTGAAATTATTAATCAACTGTTATGAATTAACAACTGATTTAGTGTTTATAGCGAAAACAAACTTTTACAATGGTTCGTATAGTGGATAGCAATGTAAACTAGACAGTATATTTCGTCTTATTTCTGATTTATCAAGTGGATACATCTGGACTACAGCATTGACATTTACAATTAAAGTTGAACTCAAAAACAAGTGATTCAAATTTGACAGAGTTGTTCACTAAGTTACTGATATGTAATTAGTTGCTAAAAAAAGCATGTTAGGTTTTTTGAATATTTTTCTAACAGACACTAATATTATTTCACGTACCACACGTTCGAATCACTCTTATGAACCGTTTTAGTTAAACTGTTATTACAGTAATCCAATACACTTTGTAGACTTACCATTGCACGGCTTTCTGATAAATATGTAGATATTCCAAGATAATGTGATGAATTAGAAAAGCTAAATAATGGCACATTACTTTGACCTTGATTAGTAGCAGCAGTTGTATTAGTGGTGAAGTTTCCACTTCCAATATTACCAATATGGTTTGACATAACGTTTCCTGAAATTGTGCCAATAACAGACTGAGAATCTCGTGTATTAGTAATATTTCCAGGAGTAGTAATGGTAGAATTAGCATTAATAGTATTGGCAGTAGTAATTGTAGTAGTGGTAGTAGAAGAAGCAGCAGTACTATTACTATTACTTGAACTTGTAGTTATTGATGCAAAATTAAATGCTCCAATTCGTTTACGACCCATTAATGCATTTAAATCCACTTTTGATAGATTTAATGAAGCACTGGAATTATCACTTCCTGGTGTAATATCCCCTCCGCTAACAAAACTGTTTCTACCAGTTCGTGCTTGTAATTTAAGTAAACCATTTTTATTTGATGAAAGTGATAATTCATTTAATTCACTTGGTGAAATATTATTTAAATGTGTTAATAAAATACAATAGACCTATAAGAGAAAATAGAATAATGAAAAAAGCAAGATTATTGTGTAAGTACGTACGTACGAAGTTCTACGTTGTTATTGACTGATTGTGTAATTTATGGAAAATGATGTGAACAACTGTATCTTGAATACAAAATAGTTTATTGATGAAGTCGAAGTTTTTCCAAACTAAGAAATCCGGAATATAAGAAACGTTTTCAGTTGAAGTGAGTTTTAAAATGATAAAATTATCTGTCTACTCATTACTGATAATACAGTCTTATTAATTAAGTTGTAATTTGGCCATTTTTGCTCAACTGACTTAATATTGTATGAACTCCCACAAATAATGTATTTTACTGTGACATTGGATGATGCGGATTTGAATTAAACAAGAAGAAACAGTTAATACGAGATGGCGGATACAACCTACTGTGATGAATGCCAACCTGGAGCAAACGCAAGTTCAAGGTTCTATGGCGATTGCCTTTGATCGCTCAACAAAACTATCTCATAATGTGGTATTATCTGTACAAAATGTTGTAACAACACGATAGCCATAATCTATGTTGGTAACTGAGAAATTACTTAGATTTAAGATAATTATTCGAATTAACCCGATATTCCATTTCATATATTTTTCTATTGGTTGACTGTACTTGTTTAAATCGTGGACACTGAAAATTTGAGAAAACTATGGTTAAATAATGCATTGAAACGATCCCAGTTATTTATTTTCTACACTATCTAAATAGTGCATTCATTGTACAAATCGCATGTATAAGCTTCCATTTATTACTGCTTTATTTAACCTCTTATATCATACTGTTAGGACCCGAGAAACATAATGAATGGTAACTTTGGGATCCTTTTATGGACCAATACTAAACGTATATTTTTATCGTATGATTGTTAAGTAACTAAACTATTCATATTCATGTTCCTCTTATTATAAGCTTTATTTTGACCCATAAACTGTTATTATACGTTTTACCATTCTTGAGTTATACCCAGTATATTAATTACTACCTCGCTCATTCACAGCCACATCTGGCTAATTCTTTTACAAATGTTGTTTCATATTTTATGGGTACGTTGTGGTCTGTTTGATTGGTATATAAACTCAGTATGTTTGAAATATAATGATTCATATCGCAGAGGCTCGGATTGGTGTTCTGGACTTAACTGGCTGGGCTAGGCGGGTAGCAGGGCTAATCAGAACTCTAGGCTGCTCATACGGGTTTGCGTGTCATTGATCCGATTGATAAGTCACTGCTCTCTAATCGGCGGTCACAAGTTATAACACATACTTAACAAAAAATCAGATCCAGAAGAAAATGGTTGGGCTATTTACTTACTTCATATTGCACACAAGACCAGATATAATGAGTAGTTAAACCTTGTAATTCTGTTGAAAACCTGACATGTTTCTTGACAAGAGAAAGAATGGCATAAAAATAAGTATTTAAGGACGCTAAGCGAAAATAGTCAACAAAGATTGTTTATATGATCAACACTGTATTGAAACTAATTAATATAAACAAGAAAACACTAAAATATTCATATCTTGAAACAGAATTGTTTGAATATAATGGAATCAACACAGGTGAGGACTGATGAAATGTTGCACATAGGATCCTAGATAAGAAATTATAAGTCAACTGATGAGGCTGTAAATCATTATCAACTGAGATTATTAAAATTTGTAATGAATGCTTAGTTGTGACATACTTAGAGATAATAACAGTTTATTAAACCGTTATCTGTAGAACTGAGTTATTCAGTTGCAAAACCCCAGCTGTATTCACCATAGATAATTTTCTTGAATAAAGAACCTCATTTTCCGATTGCGACTGTGAAAAAAGTGAGATGCAACAAAACTTACACAACCTATCAACAAGATACAATAGTTAACCAGGTGTGAAAGTGATATGTCCATCAAACATAAGCCATGATTGGCTATTGAGTATAAACAGACATAACTGTATAAGTCACAGACATAATAGATTATTTTATCTTGTAAACTACAGCTTTGCTTCTTCCCTGTTTTCACTCCATATTTATGCCGTTATCCATTGCTGTTATTGGTAACTGTCGTTTGATCGCTGGTTGGAACTCAAGAATGTGTCTCACGTGAACGAGTACCTACTATCTAGCGTATCATCGATGAAATCGCAACTTTAACATCAATCAATAATTCGTAAGATAAAACTTAAAATAAATCAAATGAATGGTAATCAAGAAAAGAGAAAAAACGAGAAAAAAAGTATCACCTGTTTAGCTCCATTCAAAGTACGTAAAACAAGAAGGCATGCTCTAGCTTGCATAAATAAAGCATCAAATACTAATTCCAATAATTTGATCAAATATCTAGGTGAATTAATTTCTGACAATGGGACAGTATCATTTTGAGCAATTGCTCTGTGTGGAAAAAGGTTTTTGTAAAAAAGAAAAACAAGCTTAATACATTCATAAATATATATGTGAAAAAGAAAACAAAGCCAAACTGAAATTCTAACATATAATGATTGAGATTATGACATTTTACATCAGTGCAATCGGCAGCACCTAACACAAACACGTTTAGAGTAGTGTAAATAATGGTAAGTTAGTAAGTTGAAAGCATGACAACAACACGAGTCCCATACTAGGACGAAACAACTGTTCAGTGCTTCCAGGTTTTTAATATATGGCCTAACATTGACCGGTTCATGATCTCAATCAAAACTCAACAAATCTCCAAAACCCTATACTGGTAACAGGATATGAATCAAATATCGAATAATAAAGTATGAAATACAAAGATCGATTTACTTTTAAAATCACGAATTCTCTAAAGTATTTAGCCATTGATTAAAGTTTGTTTTAATTGACTTGAACAAGGAAATCATCAGTTACGTACATGATACAGATAAATAGTAAAAGACTTCATAAATAAATATCGTTCTGGGTATTATGAAATTCCTTTAATATAATCACTATTTGAATTTCAATACAATGCATGAATTCATCTGCGATAAGTCAAGCAACTGTGAAATCGAGAGATCCTTGAAGATTCAGACATAAACAGCACAAGACAATTAAATCATTCACTTATCCAAGTCAATTTAAACGAATAACCCTATGGAAAAACTTTATTTATCTATTTAAACACATAAAAATTGGTACAAGGAGGCACCAAATATATATGCACCACATAAATCGTTCGGTTTATGTGAGGGCTGGAATACTGCCCGGGTGCCCAAACCGAAGCAGGTGGTTTTCTTAGGGGACCACACCCGGGGGCTTCAACCTAAAGATCTAATCCACAAGGTAGTGGAGTAACGTCAGAAGATGTACTCCTATGGCAGCCGGTAACGAACAATAGGTTCATATGCCAATTTTCCCCCAAGATCCTAGAGCTCATAAGCACTATTGGTTTTGAATCAGGGTTTTCTAACTCCCCTAGGTATACCCTCCACATCCACCAACCCTGTTAAAGCGCCGCACATTCACTTTTCGTCTTGTCAATTCGGTAAATAACACCTCTCGTCACGAGAAGGCAGTGAGTAGGACTTCCCTGGCAGTGGTTGTATGTACGTGGCCATGTGAGAGCATTTCGAGAGGGAGGGCTGACTTTCCCCACTCTCGAGCGAACCAGGGTATTTGGGGGCTGTAATGATGAGCAAGTTATTAAAGCACACAGCATCGCACTTGATATTCATTAAATCAGTTTCAAGTGAGAAGAAATATATAGTTCCTCATAACAGTTTTAGGAAATTTATGCACCAACTGAAAATTTTGAAAAAAAGGACCATTTAATACAGGTGCAGTAAATGTACGATATTTACACTATTGAGTCGCAAACAAAGAAGAACCATTAGTCTAATGATTTTTTCAGTTTCCATAGACTATGTAAGTATCTACAGGTGAAACCTGTTAAAGTCAGAGGGGAAGTAGCAGTTTGTTTAAGGTCATAGATATCCCAAGCTGATTGATTAGTGTCAATCATTACGAAACCTAGGTTCAAGACTTCCTATTGATTGACTTTAATTAACATTTTTTTAAAACATGAAGGACAGGATCTTAATCGACAAATACATTGATAAGTCTAATATGTCAACATATACAAAAGGTCTACAGAAAAAAATCAGCACGAATACAAGAACACAAAGACAAAGCTCACGAAGACAACCTATCACAAACGAATCCATCAGAACGAATCGATATAAAACACTTTTGGAATAACTGAAAACCTTACTTAAGCATGACGCAGACGATGATGATGTCTAGAATAACAATCAAAGCTCCGTAGTTAAACTATATAACCTAGAGATTATAATACTACAAAAACAAAACGATGTCAAATCATTTAGATGAACGAACATACAGTAATTTGACCGATAGAATCAGACCAACGATAAAGCTTATACTACTATGGTATTGTTTATTACACCATGACTGATAATCGTTGTTCAGTGATATTAGTTCCTAGTGAAAACTATTCTACAAAGAAGCACACAGGATGAATTACATTACCAACGTGACCATAAATAATCTTTTGACGAGACATCAAACAAGTTTCACATGGAATAACATAAGAGATTAAAGTCTAAGTTAACTATAACAAGTGCAGTATTTTTTTAAACAAAACATCATTAACATATTTTTTCTTAGTTTCATTTTCCTACCTGTTTTCAATTGTTTTACTTAATTTCAAAACAATTGAACGATGAATTTCACCAATTAAGCCTTGTCCTAGAATCAATGGTGCCGTAAACACATGACCAGTTCCAGCTATTTGTGAAATATACGATTGAGGACGCCAATCACCTAGATACTTATTGAAAAAAATTTAGAACGGAGAGAGGATATATTGAAATGTTTGTTATAAAATGATGAAACAATAAGTGAAATTACAAAACTTTGAAAGTATTTATACATTACTAATGTATACTTTCCAAGCACTTAGTTTATAGGACCTTTATATTCCTTTAATTATTTCATTTAGTTTACTAACTGACATCATATTTTGCTGTCTTCAAGTCACAGTAAGCCTATTTTTTATATTTATACTGTATATTTCTTAGTAAAGTACATTTGGTGATATCAGAGTGGTGGCATTTGTATGAAACTTAGACATTGAATTTCAATGCTGACAAGGTGAGCCAATCAGTCATCAAATGAGGTCATTGTTATATCCTAGTGAAGATTGAATTACGGGTAACTTTTATATATATATATATTCCTCTTATTATAAACTTCATTTCGACCTATTGGATTAGCAAAGTATTATGATTGAATAAGTCGTATTTCGATTGGCGGATAAATCACGCGCCAACTAGACGGACTTTAAGATACAACAGTCATTATGTGCCAATTAAAAATCACCTGAATGACAAATGCATTTTATTGGTCAAGGAATGAATTCATTTTCAAAGGAATAGACATTTTTATTTGATTAAGTTTGACCCAATAGACTCCCTCCCCTGCTCTTAGTTTTGTCGCTTAGTTCACCGTTTGTGGGAGGGGGTTGAACAGCAACTTTATGAGAAATGCGATTCATTGTATTCACAGATTCACTGTTGTTACGCATTTAACTGAATAATAATCATTGTAACTAATCTATATATAATTGCACTAAAGTGTCTTGTAAACTTACTCTTGTTTAGTTTTACCCAACGAATCTTTCCTAATAAGATTTCTCTTTTAGAGTAGTTAAAACTAAACGAGAAGAGAGTTGTTGTGTATAGAATCAAGGTTTGTGCTAGAGTTACAGCTGTTTATCCTGCTCCATAACAGGATGGATCGGTCGTCTTTCCATATGTTCTGGTTGGGGCTTGAAGACAGTTCAATGTGGGTCAGGCTAATAATCGTTAGTATAACATGTCACTGAGTTAAGGCGTCGGTATTATTAGTTCAAGCAAAGTAGGGAATGTCATAAACCTTATTAAATGATGTCAACTATTATATATGATAATAGGAGATGGAAACAGTGATTCACAGTTTAATCGACTACGATCTATTTGATATCGGTACGTACAATTTTGAGTTATATCTGCACTAGCTACGTGTGAGATATCTAAACAAGTTAGATACTTGTACAAAACGTTTTGTACCACTTTCAATTGTAGTGACGTACCTTTGAATATCTACATGGTAATCTCTGTTCTCAATGGTAAGAAGATAAAAATTACGGAGGTTCTCGTTAATATTTCATTCAGGTTAGAATTTTAAATCCTTTATTTTTGAACTACATTTTAAGGAAAGCCTTATTATTTACTCGGACATGGTCAAACTGATTTTTCTCGGTTATCAAATGGTAATAAAGTGAGCTGTACGGTGAGTGAATGAATGGGAATCGAAATAGAAGACGAGATAGGAATAGAACTAATAAGTTTGTTGTCAACAATACTGATATAACTATATTTCTAAAACATACACCAAGAGATTCACTTGGTGACTTAAAATACACAGATGATATAGTTCTGTATGGTGAAGACGTTGACAAAGTACAGAGTCTTCTGAACACCTTACGAAAAATGCAGGGATGTGGTTCTCACCCGGCAAATGTAATATGTTACTTCAGGATTGGCTTGCGTCACCTGAATTAGTGATAGAGAGTTAAGTAGTTGAACGCATCAACTGCTTCAATTACTTTGGGAGTCTCATCAATACCGATGGTCTGGTGTTTGACGAATTCTCGTCAGAGATTTAAAGGTTAGATTGCTTTGTTCCTACTTGCGTCACTTGTGGCATAGGCGAGATATCCGTCTTTCGACCAAAAGGGAGAGTTCACTGAACAGCAGTTTGCTTCGTTCTACTTTATGGTTGCAAAACATGACCATCAGTAACAGAGGATACTCGTAGGTTACTAGTATTCGATCATAGGTGTCTTCGAAACATTGCTCGTGTATTTTGGGACCAAGGAGTAAGCAATGTCTAGGTTAGGAATAGAGCACTAGGTAAGGATGGCAAAAACGATTGATGAGGTAGTAAATCTTCATCAACTGAGGTGGTTGAGACATGTGTTACGTATGCCTAACCATCGCCTACCTCGACAAAGGGTTGTCTGGTGTAGAAGTAGACTGGAAGAAAGCTGGGGGCGGCCAAACCAAAATATGGCACCAATCCATGAAGTCAATGACAATTGGAGTTGGCCATGATAATAGGTGTAGACCACTTGGTTGGAGCCCGCGTGATTATCGTAACAAATTGTTAGACTTTGAATGACATGGCTCGAAATCGCTTGTAATGGCGCAAGTTGCATCAGTTCTTTGTCTTCCCCCAAATCCTGACGTTCTAAATTCCTGATATCTTATTTGTTTTCATTTCGCCAATCCATGATTTCTTTTAGGGTCATATATTCGATGTCTAATCTTTCTTATTACTAATGATACTGTTACTACCTCAACTATTCTAAAATTTGGCCTGACAACTTAATTTCTCTGTGCTAATGGGGTATAATAGCTTGAACCGATGTGCATACGTACAGGTTCTTCGTTGTGACTGACTATCGTTAAAACAGCTAAACGTATTAGCAAAGCAGTACAAACTTTCCTCATGCTCTTCTTGTCACTCAGTAAGCACTAATGTCAGATGTTCACAATAACTGACCACTGAGCAGTGACACTGTTATATTTGTCTAGTTCATGATACTATCAGGCCGAACAGCCCAGTAGTAACTTCTCAGATCACACCACTGGATGGGATGGATTTGAATACTACAAATAGTATCAGTTCTTTCAGATATCCATCACTGATGAAGGTCAAATAGTACAAAACCTAGAACCAGGGTATCCAGTTGATCGTCTTCGCACACATACACTTACGCTTTTTACCCCTCATGGAGGAACATAGGCCGTCCACCATCATTCTCCACCCAACTCTGTCCTGGTCAATCCTTTTCATGTCGGCTTCCAATTCGCGGTGCAGTGTGTTCCTTGGCCTTCCTCTTTTCCGTTTCATTTCAGAATTCCAAGTTGGTGCTTGCTTCGTGATACAGTTTGATTATTTCCATAATATATGTCCTATCCTCTTCCACAGTAAGCTATTACTGATGGTATCCGGTCAAAGAATGTTGAATATCATGTGTAGATGATTGTTTATAAATACTTGCACTATTTTGATGATGGTTGTAGTAGTTCTGGGAGTTCCAGCTCCATACAGTAGAACTGTCTTGACGTTCTTATTGAAGACTCGAACTTTGATGTTGGTTGACAGTTGTTTTGAGTTCCATATGTTCTTCAACTGTAGGAATGAGGTCCTTGTTTTGCCAATCACTGCCTTTACATCTGCATCCGATCCTCCTTGTTCAGAGCTTCTTTCTCAAGGGTGATTGTTTTGGTGTTCCTTATGTTGCATTTAAGTATCCTGCTTTTCCCCTTGTGTATGTTGAGGTCTACTAATTCAGAGGTTGCTGTTACACTGGTTATCTTCATCTACATTTGTTGGACACATACACACAATTAACATCAAATATTTACTGCGAAAATTATTAAAAAGCTATTCAGTCTTTATAGATTACATGAACGTTGAGCAAAATTAGTTTTAATATGATAGTCTCGTCACAATCTCGAAAGTTGATATGGTCAGAACAATTATTCATCGTAAACATGAGGAACAAAACTCTTAGTAATCTTCCAACAAAGTGTATATAACTTTTATCAAAAGGGGATTTCATTTAGAAAAATAAAAACAATATAAAAAAGCCATCATCTGACAAATTACTTGTAATCTTTTCGAAAAAAATCATTGACCAAAAAGTTAATAATTTTAATGATATCAATTATTTTTATTTATTATTATTTTATTTGAACACATATATATTGGTACAGGAGTGCGCCAAATATATATGCGCCACACAATTTCAGTTCATTAATTGCGTGTGGGCTGCGATACTGCCCGGGTGCCCAGACCGAAGCAGGTGGTTATCTCAGGGGGCCACACCCCAAGCCTTCGACCTAAAGGTCTAACCCACAAGGCAGTGGAGCATCGTAAGGAGATGCAGTCCCATGGTAGCCGGTGACCGAAAATTGGTTCATACGCCATTTGTTCCCGCAGGATACTGGTGCCCATGTGCACCATTGGTTTGGAATCCGGTTAAAGCGCCGGACATTCGCTTTTCGTCCTCTCATTTTCGTAAACAACACCACCGCCACGAGAAGGCAGTGAGTAGGACTTCCCTGGCAGAGGCTGTATACGCGCGGCCGTGTGAGAGTATTTCGAGAGGAAGGGCGAACCCACCCCACTCTCGGCCATACCAGGGCGTTTGGGGGCAATTATAAAATGAAGTTAAGGTAAAAGTACAACATACTGAAAAATTTGAGAGACCCAATGAAGAAACACTGCCTAGTTACAAAACAATTATCAGCAAAAAGCCTTACTATAACAGTGGAATAATAGCTTCGATCTTAATAATCAACCTTCATATGTTGAATTATCCTTTGTAGTGAAGAAGAAAGGTTAAGTTTTGCATATTAGGAATCGAGCTAGTGCTATGATTCAAGGTTATCGCCCTATAGAGTTTTTATCACCCATTGAGACCAGTGATAATGCAAAGAGGTTAGGATTAGGTATTAAGAGTGAAGCTGGAGTTTTGAGACGGGTTTACAAATTATTGTTAAAGTTTTCATCATGAACTGACATCAACTATGATGAAATGCATTGTGACTCTTCAGTTTATAAACTTGAGAAACTTAAGGTTCTAATACAGAGTGAGGGTAAGAAAGGGGAAATAATATCTAGCTTCACTAAACACTCTTGATCACGAAATAAATGACATTAGGTAATTTGACACACATATCGTGTAACTTAGCTTAAGCACCATCTGAAATCCATTTTATTATTGTATAATAGATATTTTTATTGATTTCAAACGTTTTAGGGACTAAATATTTCTAATTTTCACTTGGTTAATAATAACAGATGTTGTCTATCACTGTACTTTAAACTTTGCGCAAAATAATTGAGGTGTCGTCTCATTTCCAATTAGTCAACTCAAGACCGTCAGTATATTATACTTTTACCAAGATTAGCATAAAAATAATACAATACAATTTGCCTAACCTGTGGTAATTTTTGCAAGCGTATAAGACAATGTGTTACAGCTACAATTTCACGTATCCAATCAGAATGAGATAAAGCACTATTATGTTGCTGATGTTGTTGAGAATCAACTGTGTCATCATCATGATGTGAAGCTGTTACTGTAGACCGTGCAATCACTGTAGCCACTGTTCTAGGTTCTTTATATAGATTCGCATCAACTACCGGTTCACTGACTGATGCATTATACCAATCAGATAATGGTAAACTAACAAAATGTGTAACAGCAGCTTTATTCAGTGAATTGATATTTTGTAAACTATGATTATATAAATATATGTATGAAATTTAAGAAAGAAAATAGAAAAATAAAGATTAGTTTCATGAATAAAATGGTCGAGCTTATTCACAAATTTATTAATATTCAATTAGTATGTTATCGGAGACCTATGCTCCATTAGGAGTAACAGGCATAAGTAAGTAGTATGTTGTATATAGTCCTTATAGTCATTATTTGGTACACTTGATGAAAAAAGTATCGGGGATGAGTTTTAATAGTATTGGGGATTTTATTTCAAGCGTTAAACTTCGCTGTAATTGTTTTCATCAGGTGTGATGAACTGGGTTATGTTGATAAGCTTATAGCAGAGTTGAGAATCAATCCAGACACTAAAGACGAAATCTTTGGCGAAAATTACTACCCAATACGCGTAACTAACAAGCCGAATAAACAGGAAAATAAAGGAAACTCCTGGGTCCGATGCAGTTGGTTAGCACTGAAAACAACGTGAATAACTTCAGTCGAATGATACAATGCTTTAGCTTATTACGACTTCAAGTATTATGACCGCTGTAATGTGAGAACGCCATGTATTCAATATTTTTTATTGCTTGTTTTGATTTGAATAATACATATTGTAATGTTCGATTATGTAATTGTCGTTTGTTGAAACATGCAAGCCTTTTCAAAAGTTCCATCTTCTCTCCCTCCCCCTCTCTCTATTATTTGAGTACGGTTGGCTTCGATGAAGTTTTATTTTGCATTGATCGTTCGACCCAGCTAGTTGCATTAAGTCTGTTTTCTTATAAGACGTATCTCGTATTCGATGGATCCAGTTAGAGAACAGCAATCATACAATTTATAACAACTACATATAGTATAAATTCATTTAACTTCTACAAGGTTACAAGGCGAAACAGGAAGAAAATGTTTCAGTTTAGTTGTGATACTGAGGTTGTTGGGCGATAGAATGAGGATGGACTCCCGAAATTTTCGGGTCATTGAGTTCTTTGTAAATTTTAGAAAATTACAGTAGAATTTCTTGTTTTCGATTTGGTTTGACTAACTTATCCATGTTAACCATATATACAAGAGCAATTTTATAAGAACTTTGCAATGTATCTCTAAGTTGATCAGTACAAAATTTAGGCGAATGATCAAAGTGATGTGTATATTTTCCTTCCCGTTTATCTTTCATAAAAACTAAAGGAAATACATATTGATCGGAAAACCACGAGCTAATATAAATATAAGACAAAAATCTGTGTTAATATTGTATATTTTATGCTGAGAGTTAAATACCATAATCAAATATTTAGTGCTAAAGTGATTAATATTTTTATGGTAGAATAAAAGACTTTCTTGTTGTATATCTGACAATCAAGACATTCGGATATCCTACAGGTGTCCAAAAGTTGGAAACTTTATATAAGATGATTAAGAATGGGCTGTGATGATGATGATGTATTTGTCCTGTTTTCTCTGACATGTCGAGTTTAAGAATTATTTAACGCTTTTTATCCAGTGAATTCGTCTTTTCTTCTCCGATCATATTATCTATGTTTAATGTTTTCTACCACTAGTGATACTATCACTACTTCTACTATGACATTTTTCCTCGAATACCCTTCTCGTTGTGTTAATAGGGTGCGAAAACTTGAACCGATACACAAATATGCCAGGTTCTACGCTGCCTGTGATTGACTGACCTACATGTAACGGCCTAGAAAATAATAACGAGGCCAACACTGCTCACAGTAGTTAATTGAAGAACCATAGGAATAACTTTCTCATTCAAGTCTGAGAATCTCTGTTCTAGCACACGAATACAACCTTACACAAGATTAAACCTAGCGGATGTTAGTAAGTCATGAGAAAAATAAACTGAAATTCGAAAGAATCGTCACAGTACGCATAAGTATAATATTTCTCCAAAATCAACCTTATACAGCATAAATTAAGCTACCTTTATAAACTATATCTTATTAGCGCGAAATACTTGATAGTTTATTGTCAGCGGTCAAAAACACTTTAAAATGCACTGACTCGACCAATAGATGGGTTAACATACACAATGAATGTATCGCAAAAACCGAAATAAAGAAAAAAACTATTCTCCGTTAATATTAGTTTTGTCTGGTCAACCGAGAATAGATAGAGAGCAATGCTTTCAGATAAGTCAATGAATAGAGTTAGTTGGACATATGAAAGAGCATGAATTCTTGTTATTTGATGTAGAAGCCTCCTAATGATGAGTACTAACAAACCTAAAACAAAGCTATAATTTTTTTCGAGTGATTCTTTTAGAATTGTACATTGAGATTTGGTATGACTTTACCTGATGAATAAACCATAAAACTTTGATCCATAGATGTTATAAGACCCCAAAACCATAGTATATCACTTTGGTTATTAAACAGAAAGCTATGCCAGTAATATCAACTTCAACTGCAAACATTATTATTATATTAGCTAGTAGCCGTGTACAGATTTATGTACTCGTCTTTGAGTGATAAGTCTATTTCGATACAGAAAAGCGACAATATCCAGTTCCTCAAAACAACCTAGGTAGGGTGGGCTTAGAGTCTGTGACTCAATGAACAGAATTCGAAAGCCTTAACTCTTACGCTAAGGCTACGACTAATGATAAGTTCATGGAAATGGTTTCGTATTAACGTGCTCTTGAAAACTTTTAAATGGTTATGGCTACTAGCTAGTAGGCGAATCTCTGTTACTGGAGTAAATTTTGGATTATTTCAGCTATTTACCGATTATTGATTTTGTTTAACTCCAGAATTTTAACCGTTACGACTAGTTTGCCTTAAATACCTAACGTTAAAAAGTTCTTATTTTAATCTGATACCTTAATTTGACCACTTTGAGGTTTATTTTGGACTACTATCTACATTTCAAATAACAGCAGTCAAGAAAAACACTCTCGAAATTTATCGAATGTGATCAGAAAGGTGCACTCGATGCAGATAATAGAAACTCATTGAATCATTTACCTTGTTCTCCTAACCAACATAAACGGCAGTCACTTAGTGATAACATCGTGTGTCATCCAAGATGCTTTTAACTGAAGCCAAACAAGCTTCAAAAAATTGAACTGCGGAGTTACTTAGATATATCGACATGATTCGCTATTACAACAGCATCTAGTACCACATCACGCCTACAAGGGTTATCCTGGCTTTTGGACAGACAAATTAATTTCTCTTGAGTCTTTATCCAAGTCTTGTTGTTTATTCGTTTTTCTGCTTCATTTCTCTTACTGTCTGTTTGTGGTAAGAAGTGCATAAAATATGTGTATCCAAAATCCAGTCTCTTATTTGACTTGTTTTATTCCGCTACTCACTACCGATAATTAAGTCGATAAACATACGAGAGCGGGTTGGACATCCACTTCGTTTTCATCATCATACCGTCAAATTGGAGTCAGATTGCGAGCAAATATGATATAACAACAAATAACTTTAGCACTCTGTTAATATCATTAAAAGGGATTGGCTTAACTTCAACAGTCGCTGAATCATATCTCGATCGCATTTAAGTTCTCAGACCAGTCATACTATATTCTATAAAGTATAATGGTCCCGGTTTATTTCCGTTCTTCAACTCAGTAGGGAGCTCGGTAACCAAGAAAAGTTTGATGTCGTGGAATTTTGGCTACATTTTTCGGTACGATGACTAGTGATATTACCTGACTCCAAATACTATATCAGGTGATCTGTATTTGGAGCCTGTGACTCAACGATTGAAAGCAACAGTTTTTAGATACAAACCTATCTCTTCATTTACTGTGAGCACAGGAATCGATAAACAATTGAATTGAATGTAGTAACAATTCAAAAGAACATGATTCACTTACTCAGAATGAGAGCGAACTGATTTATCTCGTGAAGGATTTCTGATGTGCATGTCCAAAGCCAAAATAAAGGGTTTATCATAGAGCAAACGGTTTAGTTCTTTTCTCAGTTCATCAATAAGAAACTGAAGCCAAATATAAATTAAAAAAATGATCATAAGTGCACCATTTAATTCATAATTTTATCAGAATAAATAGCCAATTTTTTATACTCCTCAGTTCTTTTTTTTTTCTTTTGGAATCTGACTATTCGAAGCCAATGTCCGTTGGTACTGGTAACATGTGATAACCCAGAATGCGCAAAACATGTTAGTTTTAACTGATTTAGGTTCATAAAACCCATCAATCACTTCGACTTTCTGGATGAAATCTTTACTACACTACTTAGGTTTGTGAAGTATTGACATAATGGTTGAAGTTCCCAACTTTTAACCATTAGCTCTTCCCTACCTACTTCCATCTGGGCCGACAAGCAATGTAACCACTCTTCAGTGTAGCACAAAGCCGAGTACATAAACTGTGTACTAAGTGAGTTATCATTAAGCGTTCCTGTACAACCCGTGAATATTGTGTCACAGATACACTATTTTTATCTTTTATTTGAACACATAAATATTGGTACAAGAGGGCACTAAATATATATATGCGCCACACAAAACAATGAGAATTTGAAGAGGAGAAAATAACGAACATATTAGTGTAAGGTAGTGTAATGATAATAATAGTAATAATGGAGGAAACGGAAAGATACAATCGGAAGAAATCTTTCAGTTAAGGAAGAAACAACCATTTTTTATAAAGAAAGTAAAAGAAGATAAGGGAAGGGACCACCCCACTCTCGACCACAACAGGGCATTTGGGGGCCACAGATACACTGCCGAATATCCATGGTCCTACTGTACTCACTGCCAGTCAATTAGACACAATCAACGTAGGATCTGAGATAAATGCGCACTGATTCATGCTGATACACTACACTACTACAGAGTGATGAGGCTAACCAGATAGGTAAAAAAGTCGGGATGGTAGTATTATCAATAAGAGAAGACTAAACGTAGAGAATATAGTTTGCAAAGAATGCACAAAATACTGCACTCTCTAAATTTTACTGAAGGTGCCTCAGTAAAACAGCAAACAAGTGTGATCTATTATACAGTATATTTAGTTATTAATAGCTATCTGGATATTGAGGTGACCGTATGAATAGCGAGATTAGCGAAACTGATCATTAAAACAGATGTATTGCAAATAGTCTAAACAACATATCACCGACAACCACCCTTATAAAAGAAATTTTTGGGAAACCAGCTTACTACACCTGTTGTGGACGAACAGTTACGTGGGGATAGCCAATTTACTGCTTAGCACAAAATTACAGAATTCCTTCGTAAAATGTGTAAACCATGGATTAAATAACACATTTTTAAATCCTCCATCAATTGTCTCAAACTTCATCGCCCCTTCATTGCCATTATAGTTACTTTCTGTCCCCGTTCTCTTCGATCCGGTCGTCTCAACCTTCTGCTATCAGGCATTCCACTTTTGATTTATGTTACATACTACTAATGTCTGTTGACATACACCACACATCTTGCACATCAAGAAATCGATTCTTAGACATCGTAGTTTTATGATAATCAAGGGCCATTGATCTAGTAACTTTTTAGCTAGTCCTTAAACTCAACGAAGAATAAATTTGAATATATGGTGAAATGACTCTAAAGAAGCAAATAAAAATGACCATAAATTTGTGTAAATCCCACAGTTTAAATTGTACATTGTACAAACTTAAAGCCAACATTACCTTGTTTTTATGTGCCAGGTCAGTTTTCAGTGTTTGAACTGCGGGTATTGAGGCAATTTCCGACTCAAGCATATAATTCGAGTTGATCATTAAGGAAGTGGCTTCAGACCACGCACGAGCGGTTACTAAATACCCCAATGCATCCGGGGTAGAACGTAGACGATCTAACTGATCTACCAACTCTAAGCATCGTCTCTGCTCAACGAGTTCCAGCCACAGTCTCCTTAGTTCTTCCCTGTTGCAATATAGCAAACTTTTACACTCGATAAGATCCCTTTGTATTTTAGCGACAGACGTCTTGTTATCTAAAAATATTTTATAGTAAAACTATTAAAACTACCCCTAACACGCTGTGAAACAATTCCATAAGTGTTCAAAATCTTGTTCACATCACCAAACTTTTCTAGAAATTTAAATTAATTTTTTATGTAGACAAAACACAAACCAGTGAGACATATGTTGAGCACCGCTCCTGTTTCTGTGAAGTCTTTTTCGAGTTGACGTCTTTTCTTTTCTCGGATGTCCATGGAGCTACTGGAAAGTAATTTGCTAGATAAGAATTGAAATATCTTACTTTTCCATGAGACTCCGAATAAAGGCCATTAAGTATGATGACTGAGTCTGAAACAGTACACAACGTTTATAATTTATTACTTACCATATTTGGTTAGATGGAACTTCTATGAAGTTAATAACGGATTTGAGCAGGCTTCTGGGGATTGATTTACAAATTTATGCACAATGAGTTATATGTAAGTGATACATATACGAAGTCACCTGATCTGAAAAATTAAAAAAAAACAGAGCTATGAACCGACATTTCGTTTTCTGATAATCAGTAAGCACATCAAACAACCAGAAGAACCACGCCGATGTGAAGCCAACCGATAATAACCACTTGCCGAAATGGGAATATTTTAAGTAAGCGCCGATAATATGATGTTTGAAAATATAAACTCACTAACCACTGGCAAAGTCTTCATTTAATAGTGAAAATGGCTAACAATATTAGTCTTGATGGCCAACTCCAGCAAGATAAGAACAACTAGGTTCAGAGATACTGCTCCAAAAGGTGTACAAATTCTAGTGCGTTGGTGTGCATTTGTGGAAGTTTTATTGATAAAACAAATTATGAGGAGGACTGAGAACAAGAATATTTTGAGAAGAAATGTCACATAGAAATAAATTTATTATCCAAAACTCATTAAAAGTACCTTATAATAAAGCTAACACTTGCTTTTCAGATACTTAATGATCATTGCCCCTAAATGCCTTGGTACGGTCGAGGGTGGGGCGAGTTCACTCTCCCTCTCCAAATGATCTCACACATATAAAGCCACTCCCACAGAAGTTCTACTCAATGCCTTCGCGCAGTGAGGAGTGTTGTCTACCAAGTTGACTCCGGTTAAATTTTACATTCGATTCAGTAGTTTTATGTAGTTTTATTTGTCATAGAGTGACCTTAGTCAGTGGACACAAAGGGTCCATCTAGGGGAGTTGGTAAACTCTGATTCCAAACCAGCGGTGCACATGGACTTCAGGGTCCTGAAGGAACAAATAGAGTATGAACCTACTGTTGGTCACTGGTTACCATGAGAAATCATCTCCTAACGTTGCCTCTACTTTGTACATTAGACCTTTATATCAAAGGCCCCAGGCACCCGAGCAGTATCACAGCCCTCATACAAATCAAAGATAACGAATACTGGCCTCATTGTTATTGCATAGTGCATATGTATTTGGTGCTCCCCTATACCAATATTTGTGTTCAAATAAATAATAATTGTAAACAAAGAATTTCAGCATAAGCAATCTGGTTACTATGATGTATCCAGACCCATCACAAATTTGTCAAAAGCGATCATATAGTTTACCATTCATATTAACAGCCTGTGACAGTTTATGATCGTGTCCAGCATATCCAAAATGTGGGGAGAGAAAACGCCAGCCGTGAGTGTACTATGTCAAAGGAATGGCCGGATGGTACTAGCTCTTCAACCAAAGAGTCATGAATTAAGTCTAACGGCGGATTTAGTTCCGTGACGCCCATCTTTTATACCATTGGCAAGCCCAAGTGAACCTGGAAAATGACCTCAATAGATAACATAAACGGTTTAGAAACTTCTTGAACACAGAGACACTTTGGAACATATTCATTTGTACCAGTTCTAAATGGTTAAAACCTATTTGCTACAATATTAGGAACGCATCAAAAGTCTTGGGAGATAAAGATGGCTTATCCTATAAGAAACAACTGGTCAGTGATCCCCAAGGCAGCTCCAGAAATATTGTCAAAATATTTCAGAACGAATTTTCCCACCGATGATAATGAAAGGCCAGTAGTTAGGTCGAACGATGACATATTGTTGGTAAATTGTGTTCGCATTTGTTAATTTTCATTTTTGTGTCACTTTGAAGTGTATCAGTAGATGAAATTTGTTTTTATGAACTAACATATATTCAATTTGCGTTTGTTGTGAAGATCTAGCCATACTAATTCCAAATATCCAGATGTCTACCAGATATTGTTGACACTGAAAGACATTACTTCAGTACTGACTTGTTGTTCGGTAAATTGACAGACAGAGTGGAACTAACAAGATGGTACACAGATGTTGATATTTATAGCCAAGTGGAAGAATTTACAATAGACGAAATAAACTAGTCAGGGGACTTATCATTAAGGAACAAAGGTCTAGTGTACAAACATGGGTATAAACGACTTTTACATAGTGACCAAAGTATCAGTCATTATCAGCAATTCTGATTATTATTTAAATGACCTCTTTTGGTTTTAGACGTATGCGAATCTCAAAAGATAATCAAGAATCACCAGGCACAGACAGTATTTGCGTGATTTCCTATTGCTCCGAAGTAATTCCTAATTAATTGAATGTAATAGACATACATGCTTGTGCTTATATATAAGCAGCAAACTGTAGGTAGCATTTATCTGAAGCTCTAATAAACATACGATTCCAAGGCCTTTGACCTACAAATCAAATACAACTCCAACTACGAGGTGCAGGCGACCTTGACGTTTAGTGCAGATTACGAAAGCGACAACGTTTATCCGTAAGATATTTCTAGTGTCTTCCACTTTAGTATAATTTTAATATCTGAAAGTGAATCTGTAGCGACATCAGTTACTTAAATCTTATTGTTGTTTAAACAGAAAACTGGTTGTTTCTACGTATCACATACCTCAAAATTTCAAAGACAATCAACCAATTATCGGTGGTCTGCTTCCATATTGGAAAATTGCTTTTCGTATGGTTCCTTTTTTGAAGTTTTAGGATATGCTTTAATCGTTTAATCGGTACATTTATTATGTCAAGATGAAGGAAGGTAAAGCAGTGAAACGTCATCGAAGCACATATAACTCCTCGTATTATGTTTTAAAAAAAGGTAATTAAAATGGTTTTGAATCCAGCCATTCTAGTTCATGGATCAAAAGCTTATTCTTACTTGGTCGGTTAAGATTTGCACCTTTTTTATATCCAAATCAATTATTTGAGCACAAAAATCCTAAATCCTGTTCTTACTCGACCATTATTTCCTATGTAACATTTGTTTAGAGAGGATTCTGTACCTACTACAGATTATTAGATCAAAAACAAGCATATCCACGGTTCGTAATTTTGACATTAATTAGCGACGAATCAGAATATCGTGAGCATGATCGATCCCGCCATCTTTGTCAGCAGTATAGGACAGTTTTCTTCGTTTTTTGTGTTTTCTTCTATTGTCTTCTATTGTAGCTGCAGTGTTTAGTTACTCAGTGTGTCGAAATTCCGTAATTTATGTTAGATTCTAAATGGTAGCGCTAGTTTTTTCGAATAATTTGAGTTTCCTCAGTTTTTCGCTACTACTGCTACTCAGGTTTTTTCATTCCTTTCGTCATGATAATGTGTTTTATGTGACGAAATATTATTCTACTACGGTTTGAGTATTTTCATATCGGACACCAGAGTAACTTTTCATCTGAAATCAACGTCGCACCGGCCTGGGATATTCCAGATTTCTAAATATTCATTCCGCAATATTTCCTATGACGTTATCGAGAACTATGAAGAAAAACGATGTCCGGTTTGTTACTATCTATGATATTTTGGTCAAGCAAATGCTGAGTGTCCAGTTGTTGTGGACCCAGTGATGTATTCAAAGAAATAATGAGAACCAGTCACCTGACAACAGCCAACTGACTTAAGGATGATATACCTCTCTTTCAGAAGCTTCTATCACGAAAATATACCATAATAGATTATTAAATGATTTGGATGCACTATTTGTTGAGTGGAAGCGACATGAAAAGTCGGAAATCCACTGTCAGAATGTGGAGATTTGTAGCTCAGGTGGATGAATTTTACGGAGTACATTGTATATTCTTTAAGAATCTGAGTGGCGAATGTGTGTAAAAGGTTAGATCAACGTACTGTAAACTGCTTTATCAATATAGGGTATCCTTAGGTTCCTAGTATTCTATCATAGGTGTCTCTGAAGCATGACCCGCATACTATGGGTTTGAAAATAAACGCAATGTACTACATAAAGATCATAAATCAGTTGACAAAATAGTGTCATTATCGAAGGAGAGAGTTGGGACATGCATTGCACATGTACGTCCACTGAATACCTGGATGTGCCGTGATGGTTCGTATACGGATGGGTTATAAATGTTGTTATAAAACTTATTTTTACTTTGTCTAATGCTATAACAGTTGGGTTCCAGGTTTACACGTATGGGACGTCAGTTTACTTCAACGATTATTTACACTGGATCCCTCCCAGTGTCTATTCTACAGGACGTCAACACAATTCAGACCAAGAACACGTGATTACTCTGACCACAACGTTAATATTTTCCCACACCAAAAACCGACACAATCCACAACAATAAACAATCAATAATAAATGTGTCAAAATAATAAGGATAAGTGAATATATAACTTATCTGACACCTGTCAGACTATCTAAATGTCTGACTAAGCAGACAACCAAGCACGATCATTCTCGCCCACACATCAGATGTCTAGGGGTACACTGACCTGTCTCATTTGGTAATGTATTTCCGGGTCTGAGGCATGAATCTGAGTAGGCTCTTCACTGAAAAGAAGACGAATATATAATATGCAAGCGTTTCAAGTGTTACTTAGTAAATACATAAGTAAGCTACATACTCGTGTAAAGATCGTATTTCATGACTATCTTACAAAATCTGACTTGACGAATGAAAATATAACCAGATTTGCAAATTCATTTATTCGACCCGTCATTTGTGAAAGAATATAAAACTACCATTAACACAAGGTTTCAGACTGATAATTCAAAGACGTAGCCTTGTTCTTTTTTCTAAAACTAAAGGTCAAAACAAGAAACTTGTTATAAGTGAAAATGGTTGTGAAACTAAAGTAAACATTTAGCCTGCTTTTAAAAACTCTGGTGAAGGTGCTGTTACTATGACCTCTCTTAAGTAGTTTCATGATCACATGATACGACTCTCTTGGAAAAGTTTAAGGATGTACAATAAAGAAGTGCATAATTAAATAAAGAATGTGTGAGGAGTGGTTTGACCAAATTGGTCAGTTATGCTATGCTGTAGAATATCGAGAAGCTACCATTTCACAGTGCTCACTATGCTGAATAGTTTAAGTTCGAATGGTTCAAATGGTTGTAGACGAAATAGAAGAAGCTTTCGCTTAGCGGGCTTCCGTATCTAGTAGCAGTGAACCACCAAGACCTCCAGGCAGGAACCTGGGTACATTACCGATAATAGGGAAAAAAGAACTGGTGAATCATAATATGTTGTCCTTAGTCCTTAAGAATAGGTCACGTTTCCTCCTAAAGAACCCTTGGGAAGTCGCTTGGACTAGTTCAGTCGGCAGCGAATTCCAGCATTTGACAACTCTTAAAGAGTAGAAGTTGTGTCTACAATCCGTTATGCTTTTATGTATCTCCGATTTCTCGGTGTTACCCCTTCTGTTCGTGTTGGAGCTAAAATTAAGCAGGTGTTTAAGGGGATGTCGAGAAGTGTTAAGGATACTGTAAGCCATTAAAAGGTCACCTCTAAGACGCCTATATTCCAAAGGGTAAAGGTTAAGTTATTGAAGGTGCTCTTCGTAAGGTTTAAGTTTGAGTTATCGAACTGATTTCGTGGCTCGCCGTTGAATACACTCTAGTGTCGTTATGTGTTTGGAGTGAGGGAGGAAGTACTATGTTTCCGTACTCTAAATGAGGACGTATAAAACTGTTGAAGATTATGAGGAAAGTCTTACCGTCAAACTTACCAAGAATGCGCTTCAATGATGTTAGTGCAAAGTTTATTCGAAAGGCATTTCTGTCACAATTAGCGTAGGACATTAAATCGTAGGCTACCAGGACTCTAACTATTTTTCGACTCGGGATACTACTAGAGAGGAGTTTCTTAAGTTGTAACTGTAGTCTGCAACATGTCGCAGATGGACTAATTTAAAGGTAAGTCTGTTATCGTCCGCCCAACTTTGAAGTCGAGTTAGATTCTCCTGAAGTGCCTGTATACCGTCTTGGTTGCGTATCTCTCTCTTCAAAGTTTCGAGTCATCAGCAAAAAGTAGTATGTCTGACGACACCTGTTGTGGAAGATCATTTATATAAATCAAGAAGAGAAGAGGTCCTAGTACTGAGCCCTGGGGGACCCTCACTAGGACATTCCATAGCCTGAGATAAAGTGAAGTTAACCCTGACCTTAAATTGTCGATTTTTCAGATACTAAATGGGCCAATCAGTTAGAGGTGGTCTGATAGCCAACCGTTTGAGCTTATTGATAAGATATAAATGGTTGACCCAATCAAAAGCTTTTGAGAAACCAAGGTAAACGATATCAATCGACGTATGTGATTTCTTCAGAGGGTGATCATAGCAATTCGTATAATAGGCACCAAAAAGGGTTTACTAAAACGGCTAGCACAAATAACTCAGCGCATTCACATAATCCGAAAATCGCGGTGAGATCCAACTGACCTATCGAATCTGGGTGGATTAACTAATATCACCAGACACTAGTGAAATATTCATATTCAGATTTGTGTAGTAAGGACAGAAGGCCTACGGCCTATGTTATCCCTTTACTAGTATGCTTCTGTGAGTGCCTAGTCTTCTCTTGAAAGTCAACTGAAGGTGCGGACACCACTGCTTCAGGCAGCAAGTTCCAAGTATTGATGACGCGGTGTGAAATCCTGTATGCCACGGGTATTTTGCTTGTTCTTGGCTTTTCTAGTCGCCTGCTATGTCCTCTGAGGTGCTCCGATCTAGCGGGAAGAAAGAGAGAGAATAAATTAGGTCCGAAATCACTTCTCAGTATTCTGTACATCAAAATGCGATCTCCCCTTAGTCTGCGATAGGACAGAGTAAAGAGGTTCACTTTTTCCAGCCGCTCTTTATATGATAAACCTCGGGGTTCCGGAATTTCACGGATAGCTGCCCTCTGTACTTTTTCTAGTATGTCTGAGTCACTTTTTAAACAGGGGCTTTCAGCCTCAACGCCGTTCTCTAACTTAGTTCTCACTAAGGATGTGTATACTGTGGTGAACATGGTAGTATCTAACTCAGTGAATGTCCTTTTTAAAGCCCAGAGGGTTCGAAACCCCTTAACTGCGACCTCCCGGCAATGGGCCGTCGTCTTAAGATCACTGCTCACTGTCACCCCTAGATCCTTATGAGACCGGACTACGGGTAATGACACATCCTCCATGTTGTACGTATTAACCTTTGAATCCCCCAAGTGCATGTAGACACACTTTTCCGAGTTGATAGGCATCAGTCTGCCTGAAGAGTAAATGCGTCTTTGTCTCCAGTTACTACTCGCCAAATTTTTACATCGTCAGCGTATAATAACATTGGAGACTGTACTATACTTATAAGATCATTAACGTACATTATAGAAAGTAAAGGACCTAGGATGGAACCTTGGGGTACTCCACTAAGTACTGGTCTCCAGATGGCGCACTTGGAATTTATTCTTACTTTTTGCCTACAACCTACTAGGAAATCTTTAATCCATTTTAAAAGAGGTCCGGAAAAACCAAGGTTTTCCAACTTCAATAGCAGTCTATTAGTTGGCACCTTGTCAAAAGCCTTACTCTATGTAGACCACATCCACTGAGTTTCCGTTGTCTAGCGCATTAATCCAGAACTCCCTGGCTATCAGTATGTTCGTTGTACAGGATAGACCCTTTCTAAAACCATGTTGTGCCATGTTCAGCAAGTTATTGGTTTCCATAAATGCCGTTATGGTCTGTTTGATTATTCTTTCCAGTATCTTAATTACAACACTGGTGACGCTTACGGGTCTGTAATTCGATGACACTTGTCGCGGACCTGTTTTATGTATGGGAGTGACGATTGCGTCCTTCCAGTCCATAGGTAACACACCTTGGTCGAGTGACATATTGAATATCACAGTCAGTGGGGACGCGATATATTGGGCAATATGTCTCAAGATTTTGGGATGTAGTTCATCTGGCTCTGTTGACTTCTCCATGTTTAGGGTGCTAGGAGCCTTAAGCGCATCGTTTTGGTCGAAGCCGACGGTGAGCAGGTGGTTTGTTGACTCTGTATTTGGGTCTGGTTCTTTCTCTATGGAAGGTTCCTGAGTGAAAACTGCCTCAAAATATTCAGCCATAGCCTCTGCTTTTTCTTGATCTTCCTCTATCATTTCAGATCCCCTTCCTACTTTAATTAAGCTGGGAATCCAATGATGCATCCTTGTTCTGTAGTTTATGTACGAGAATATTACGTTGGGCTGCTTGAGTGCAGGTTGTGCCAGCTGCATTTCATATTTTCTTTGAGCTCCCCGAATTTTCGTTATACACTCAGCCATGAATTTGAATAAGATGACTGCATGGCCACTTCTCCCAAGTGGTGGTAATTAAGATAATGAATTGATTAACTTGTTTTAGCTCATCGTCTTTATACTATTAAAAGGGTAAGATAAAGGGATTGGTTGACCTGTAATCTGTCATCACAACGATATCGTGTATTGGACTAAGAATCCTGGTCTCTGTCCTTGGACGGAAGCGCTTAGAAGGGTCTGTGACGATGTAATGCGTTCGGTACCTCGCTTCGCCAACACCTGGTTTCGAATATCAAATTGACTTGATCTTACGCTTGTGCCATTGCTGAATTTTCTCGTTTGCTTTTATTATTAGACGTAAGTGTGTTATATGCGTTTATGGAGTCACCTGATCACTTCTCTTGTCTCTTTTCCAGTTACACACTGTTCCCACACTCCAACATACAGACAACGGAGCCTCTGGTAATGGGTTTTACATGGTGACATGGAGTCAAGTGACGAAAGACTATCGAAGGTCTCATTTACTCACCGGATCGTCGCTTCTTCAGTTGGTGGTATAATGACAGCGTTTGTTATGACGCCTCTGGATGTTGTGAAAGTCCGAATGCAGGTAACAATAAGCACAGTCCTTAATTTTTGCTAGTCTTCCAGGGCATACTCCGAAACCAAGTGTCTTATCTATTGTAATGGACTAGCTGAACGCCTCTCCACCTGCCCGTTGAGCCGAAACACCTGTTCTATGTCTTGGTCAGAACGTGCTATGAAATGTGCAGGGAGGTGGAACTTATTTACCTCGAACGAATCACATTGTTGTTCCACATGCATTCCTCACTATAATAATCAATCTTTTGTTTCATTTTCCTGCCGCTCCCCTAGCGTTTCAGTAAGTTTTGATGCATTACCTTGCCTTTTTCAATTTTAAGTCCTTATTTCATTTTAGGAGTCGTGTAAAAACATCTTTTATTGTGATCAAGATTAGATTATGACCTGGATAGTGGTTGCAGATAATATATTGGCTTCAAAATTTGTCTCCGTTGGTGGTGATGAATGAAACATATTCTGTTAACTTCGTACCTATTCTGTCGCCTAACCTCTCCAGTGCTAGCAGAAATTAAGACTTGGCACTTAAGTGTTTTGGAAGTTTATATTTTAAAAATTCATTTATTCAGGTAGACCATAGGAATCAAAAATAGAACAAAGTCATTAGTCTACCAAAACATGAGACGTTTATACAAAATAAACAACATGAAAGTACAGTTAGGTTGGGAGACAGGCGCAACAGGTTACTAAACACCTGGTCAAATTAGAATGACATGTAATGGGTATAAAAAAATAGGTTGCATGATAGTGTGATTACGATTGCCACAAAATTTACACTGATGTTCCAACATTTTTCGATAAACGATACGGCTTCATTAATCTTCCTGATTAAACATTGAGCAGAAGCAGCTGTTTAACGTCATATCTTCACTGTTTATCTCATGCACACAGCATTTATTCTACTGCAAATGTAAATTTGATCGATAGAGGAAAATCCCTATTATTGATTTACAATAATAAGAAGGTTGAGACTGGCTTTTCTGACGAGTGACCGAACAACCTCTGTCATGGATTAAACAGCACTAGTGTATGTGTACTGGGTTTCGCAGTAAAATGTATTCGAAGTAACTTATTGGTTGTTTAGAAATATGTTGTTATTTTAAGTGGTCAATTGTAGTACTAGTTACCTTTCAGGAATCAAATGGTATGAATGCATGCAATTTGCAGTTATTTATCGTGCTTGTTTAATGTATTGTTGGATGAACGTGTGACTGTCCTTGCAACATAATCTCGCAAAATCGTCCCATAGTTCTCATAGTTGTTAGCCTCACATGAGTAAAAATGAAAGAAAATGTCCTCGTAAACCAGAAGAATAGGTAAAACTGTGAGACTAAGCAGTTTCGTGCTAGTTCAATTATTCTACTTAGGCTGTGTATATGGCGGGGGACTATAATCTTAGACCACTTTGAATTAGTTTTATCCAGGTACGTTAAGATCCATAATTAGTTGTTTAAATTAATCAGGATACAAAACCGCACTTTTCCAGAAAAGCAGCTATTATTCTTGTCAAAAAATAGAGCAGACTCCATCTTCTAAGAATCTTTTAAAGTTAAACTAAGTTCCACTGTAGTCGGGTGCCGAGTTATTATGAGATGCCTTTAAAAATGCTTTAACAGATTGCCGTGCGAAATGAATCCATTTTAAGTTTAATCACTGAAATTTTATAAACATAATTTCGTCGTTAATATCAGATTTCTTCAAAGTTTTCTAAGCCTCTGGTCTAGTTACTGCCACCATGTTTGTGATAGGATGTTAATTCATATTCAGTGTTGAATAAAAGCTCAAACTAAAGGAGTTACTTACTTTAGGGTTAGACGTTTTGGGGTATCTTTTTATGAAGTCTGGTTTATAGAAGAATGAGACAATACCAAGTGTTGCCCCCAAATGCCCTGGTACAGCCGAGAATGAAGAAAGTCCATTCTCCTTCTCCAAATGCTTTCACATGACCACGCGTATACAACCACTCCCATGAAAGTTCTACTCACTGCCTTCTCACGGCGAGGAGTGTTGTTCACCAAATTGACAGGACGAAAAGCGAATGTCCGGCTCCCTAACCAGGTTGGTGGATATGGAGGATCCATCTAGGGGAGTTGGAAAACCCTGATTCCAAACAAGTGGTGCACATGGGTTCTAGGATTTTGAGGGAACCAATGTCATGGCCACTAGCTACCATGGAACTGCATCTCCTGACGTTACTCTACTACCTTGTGGATCAAACCTTTAAGTTGAACGCTCCAGGTGTGGCCCCCCAAGAAAACCACCTGCTTCGTTCTGAGCACCCGGGCAGTATCACAGCCCACACAGAAATCAAGTGATTTGTTTGGCGCATATGTTTTCGGTGCCTCTTTGTACCATTATTTATGTGTTCAAATAAAAGTAACTCAACAAGTAGACCGGAGTAGGTGACAACTCCATACACTATTAATTCGCTCAGTATTTTGGGTACCGTCTTCATTCGGTTTTCAACGAGTCTCTCCGTTTTTTTTCACTACCGGATGATCATGAACTGCCAAACTAGTTACAGCTTCAAATTTATAAGCCTGATGTACACTTAAACCAAACATTTCCACGGTAAAAACAGTTATTCAGTCGGTCATCATCAAATTAGCATAGTCAGATAAAAATAGCAAGATGATTAGCAAAGGCATCGAAGTAATGCCATGGAGTCATTAATGTTCATTTGAAAACTATTTCATGGGATAACGATAATCCATAAGGGATTATTCACTTAACATGTGATCCAAAAAGTCAATGACTTCTTTATTTGATAACTCTCGTTTTTTCATTGTGGTCAGAGGAGAGTTGTTTTTTATTGGTTAATTCAAACTTCAACCCTATGTAAAATGTTCTTTATTTTCTTTGTTATTAAAAAATTCTTTATTTTATCATGAAAATTTTCTCTAAAGGATACCGTCCTCAGAATTATTCGTAATGAAGGTATTTTATCTCTTTGGAGTGGACTCTCCCCAACACTGTAAGTTAGAATTGTGTTGACCAATATTATATAATTACAGTGTTATGACACTTCCTCAAACTGTTATCTACTTCACTGTCAATGATTGGCTGAAATATCGTGTTGGATATACTTCTAAGACTGTCAACAAATCACAAGTAATGACAAGTGGATCTTTCCAAAACTTCATCTCCCCTAAAGATTTCCTCCCTCCATTAGTTGGAGGTGTGTCTCGAATTTTCGCGGTAATGGCTGTATCACCAATAGAATTGTTACGTACAAAAATCCAAGCTAGGAAAGTACTCTACCGAGATATAACATCGTTAGTTGTTACAACAGTGAAACAGGTATTGCTGTGTTTCGTTATACTATTAGATAAATTTGATAATTGGTAACATATTTCTTGGTTTATAGCAGTCTTTTGTAAATTTACTATCACAGACATGTAAACGACTGCACAGAAATAAGGTTAATCAACTCACTATCCACATACAAATTGGTGTATTCAGTTCAGTTAACTATTTATTGAGTTTTAAGACTCATGGGTTTAATTCGAAATTAATTATTATAACTCATTTAATAGGTACAAGTTCATGTACTCACTTTTCAAATACAATATTTATGTGAGGGCTTGTAACACTAGTCGGCTCTGTAATCCTAAATAATTGGAGTGTGATTGAAATCCGAGACATTTTAGTTGAACTCCAAGAACTTCAACTACTAGACTTCGTACTTAGGATATGATGCGACTTTTGAATGCAGTTCCCGACCGTTGTTGTAGTGGTCGGGCTTGCCCATTGTGATGAAGCAACCGAGCTATACTGGCTGAAACAACCGTTCCTCAAGGTCCTACCATGTCAGACAGGTCGGTTGAAGAGCGGCATGGCTAAAAGCAACAGACTCAAGGTCCGGAGGCGAAGTTGTACTGCTGACTGTATAAAGGTGTGACGGCAGTAAGATGTTTCTTTCAGACAACCAGCATGACAGTGATGCTGCTTTCCCACAAGGAGGGCTGGGGTTAGAAAAGGCCGACCCTAAAAATGCACACCTCTCCTTATCCCGCAGTTATCTGTCTCCGGCGGTAAGGTTTCAACAAGTACGGAGCTAACACAAAAATACATATAAAAAGGTCTTGTGTGACGGACCTCAAGCAGTTTTCCCTTGGGCACTGCGGTCACGCTCTCAGGTCACTAAGACCACCTCTAATCCAATTTCCTTTTCAGGTACCTCCAGAAGAACCCTTCCACGGTGTGAGCAACCGGGAAGTGATAACCGCTCTCATACCTCTAACAGCACTCAAGACCACTGTATTCATAATCAACCTCCCCCCTTGAATGCAGTTTATTATCTTTTCTCGTAGTAGCTATAAACGTTGCTTATAAGTAATTTAGTAGAATATAATCTCCATTCGTATACTGCTGGGATCCTGGTAGTTTATTTTAATTGTAGTTTCTTAGTTTCTCGTCATAGTGATACCTCTACTAGAGCGGTTCAGTTCCATGATAGATTGTCGGTTAAGATAGCTTATGGATTTTCCACTTTAAACAAGATTTTTATGTATTCAGATTTCGGCAGTCTTTTAAAGCCATTTCGTAAGTGTAATTTTAAATCAACTATTTTGACATATTGTTTATTACTAAGGATGGTCTGAAAAGTTTGTGGTTAGGTGCTGGACCAACTCTGTTACGTGATGTTCCTTATTCTATGGTATTTTGGTTAACTTACGACTATATGAAATCTGGGTTTATAAATAAACAGATAAGAACGCATTTGTTGTCGAATAGTGAATTGCCTGCTACATTTGACAGAATTCACTTTTCGCATGCATTTGGTTTTGGAGCAGCTGCTGGTTTTGTAAGTGATTTATTTAATATTTGTTTATTTCATGCAAACATTGGTTTATAATGTGGAGATTAAATTTATGGGCTAAAGAAAAACATCTGGACAAACATATTTAAAATCGTTTGTTTCATTCTCGATGCTATTTACAGTATAGTTGAATGTAGATTCACATCGTGTAGCAGAGAATTTCATAAGTTTTACTGATTTCAAATTCATTGAAAGAAATGTCATATATATGCAAGTAACACCAGGTATTTCTCAGCTTTCCCCAAATTAATGTGATTTATCACAAACCTAGGTTTCTACATTATCCCATAAAGTTCTCATGGATTTTTCTCTTAAACACCTAACATAGTTTAGCACTCAAAAATAATAGATTGAGATTCTGATAAGTTCAAATTATATCACATCTTGGCATTTTGATCAAGTAACATAAAGATTTTTTCAAGTGTTTTTAATTATACTTTCAAATATTTAGTATTGTAAAGTTTGTAATCTTTTATTAAAATTTCCTTTTTTTTTATCGTTAAATCAGTAAAATGTTAAGCATTTGTAATTTGACATTAGGAAAAAGCCTTAAAAACCAAACTGAAAGTTACGTCAATTATAGAACCCATCTACACCATTGTGTATTAAGCTTCTTAAGTGAAAGGATTCGGTTTTTTCCATAGATTTAAATCTATGACAATGTAAATAAAAATCAGTACTATGAAAGGACTTGTTTCTATCGAACCTCCCACATGTAATGTTCCTACAAATGAGTAATTCGATTTCTCGTGTATAATATATATCATATCACCATTGTAATCTCTAAATCGTTGTATATCTCATGCAAACACTAATTGTTTCCTGATATTCTTAAATTTCAGATTTCTGGCGTATTAACACATCCATTCGATGTGATTAAAACTCACAGACAAGTAGATTTCGGAAAGTATTCGGTTTCATTTAGTAAGTTCATCAAACAATGGGCCTGTTTATTAGTTTTGTGCACAACAGTCGTTCGAATTTATCTGTAATTTATATCAACAACACTCCAATAGAGTTCACAGAACTGACAAGTTAGCAAAACGTTACGAGCATTAAATTGTGTATGCTTAGCAAATCTTTTGTGAAGGCAGTATAAAGAGTAACATGTCATTACTAGTCTATTGAGAAGAAAGTAGTGAAAATGCCCAATCTGGAATAATGCGAGTCGACCGAATCGAAATAACTGTGGCATCAATGATAGTGAGAAAAACTAAACATTGGAAATACGACTAGAGAAAACGGAGTAAGATGGTTTATATGAAAGAATACTGAAATACGAATTTTAGGGGAAGATAGGGATACAATCCATTTGTACTGTTATTTCTGCTTCTATATAAGTCATTTTTTACAACGTCTACAATCACTAATCGCTGTTGTAGCGTGGACTCGAACCAACGTGTGCCAGTGCGACAGTCAATAACTTCTTGGATTAATCTCGTATTTTTATTTGGCTACCCCTAATATTTTTCGAACCTATTCTTACACCAACTAATATTGCAGTTCTAGATAGACAGTGTTTGGTCCAGACAACCTCAATCGATGAACATTTACTATCTCACCAACCAATTTGCAATATTCTTGTAATACTTACGCCTGGTACCCCTCATGGAGGAACATGGGACATCTACCAGCATCCTCCACCTTTTCATAATTTCCTGTTCAGATGGATGCTAGATTGTTCTCTCCCACAGTAGGCTGTTACTGATGGTATCCACTCACCAGACGTTGAGTATCTTTTGCGTAGACAATTGCTTATAAATACTTGTACTGTTTCGATTATAGTTGTGGTAGTCATGGAAGTTTCAGCTCCTTACAGTAAAACTGTCTTGACGTTCGTATTGAAGACTTTGACTTTGATGTTGGTTGAGTTTTGAGTTCCATACGGTATTCAATTGTAAGAACGCGGTCCTTGTTTTACAAATCTTCACATTTACGTCTACATTTTCTAGAGTTTCTCCATCGATTGTTATTGGGTTAGTGTTCTCTGTGTTGTATTTCAGGATCTCGGTTTTTCCCTTGTGTATGTTGGGGCCTATTGCTGAAGAGGCTTCTGCCACAGTAGTTGTTTTCGTCTGGATTTGTTGGTGTGTATGGGAGAGAAGGGCCAGATTTTCTGCAAAGTCCAAGTCGTACATGCAAGCTGTGAATTGTATTCCGTGCTCTCCCTCATATATCGAAGTCTTCATATTCCAGTCAAATGGATAGGAAAGCACTCAACTGCGTCACAAGGCAAGCCATCACTTGGAATCCTCAAAGCCAAATAAGAAGAGGCGGACCAAAGAACACATTACGCGGAGAAATGGATAAACAACATTTAGACAGAACTAGGAAGGAAGGCCCAGGACAGGGTGTGTTGAAGAATACTGGTCGGCGGCCTATGCTCCACTGCGGGTAGCAGGCGTAAGTAAGTAGGGTCCGACGGGTTTCGCTGATTCCATGTACTTATATTATTTGTTGCTCTGGTTGTTAGAAGCGGAATCAGCCTATGAATCTCGGCTTTTAACACGTGGCATCATAATTCTCTCTTCAACTCCCAGGACAGAGTTTAAATTGTATTCTGGTTAGCGTTTTTTAGCAAGGTTGTTTTCTACGGGATGTGGTTACCGACCACAACACCAACCCTCCCTTACGTGGTCTTGGGACAGGCAGTAGCCCTAGAAGAGCTACAAATGAAGTTATATCCGTAATACTAGTGATTTAATTTCACAATTTCTTACTCGGTTGTTCGACAGTACATGAGCAACGCTTCAAAGATAAATACATGATCAGAAACCTGCTACCCACGCATTTCTTCTATCTTCGTTGCCATTAAGTAATATAAAACTGACTGCTGCACATTACACACCCTTTGGTTGGTAGACGGTTGTCTCCCTCACCCCCTAAGTGATGCAAAATTGAGTCAAACACCGAACCATCAGGGCTGAGACTTTGAGTATAAGTATAGTGCTCGACCAGCCGAAATATTTCATCCCCTATAGCGTCTGGGTGTTGGTGTAAATTAGCCATAATATAACTTTATTTTTTTAATGGATAAACGCATTCCAACCCTGTTTATACTGTTACTTAAGGTGTTCAGAAGGTCTTTCAGCATGTCAGTCATTATCGACAATGGCACCCTTCACTAAACAGAATTATGAAATCTCCACAGTCTATGTCAAGAACAAAATCTCTTATTAGATCAGTTCCTGAAAAGACGGACAACAGAAACGTTATCTCTAAATAATAGAATGTCTGTTTTGGAGTTAAATAAAATGGGGATAGTACGTAGCACCGACGAAAACCACTTGAGGTTGACATTTTTGAAGAAAATATTGTTCAAAAAAAGAAACTTCATATAGTTTACGTGCTTCAGTGAACCCTTTAGTGATATACACTATCAAAAACCTCGGTTCAAGCCATATCCTGCCTACCAGTTAACAAATACAATTATTGCCGGACGTCATTAACTATGTTCATGTTCTAGAAACTAATGAAGGGCGGATATTGATCGTTAGATTCATGTCCAGGTCGGGAAATAGTCTCATTTCGCCGTTCACGAGCTTTAGTTAAGCGTTGAATTATTACTTAGACTAACATTTTAAACACTCAGTCGAATCAATCCTTCCGTGGTCATCACAAGAGAATTTAACCCTTTCCTCTAAGCTTGGATGATCATCAATTGAGACCAGTCAGAATGTATCACGTTTAGTTCCCAAAATCTAGCTAACATTTCAGTCAATCTGAATGCCGAAACTTGACCATCATCCACAAAAATCTTCGAAGTTATTACATCGAATGCAACTGTTTCCTCCCATTCAGACTAACTATGGAACTTTCAGCTTCAATATTGGTAATAGTTGGGTTGGTCATATTGATTTTCCATTCAGATTTTTTTAGTGGTAAGCAAATATAAGGATCTGGCTTGTTTCTGATTGACGCATAAATTCAACTTTTGGTTATCTGTTTTTTCTTCAGATGATGAAAGCCACATTACTTAACACATTTAGACAAATTCTAACTTCGTTTTGCCAACCAACTAAACTACGTTTTTCTATAATCCTTTAAACGTAGATCATCTTCACCCAACATCAACGTGGACATTACTGCATAATTTGTATATTAAAAATGGTCTTCCTGCCTTGTTTTCTGGTAAGTATTAATTGATAGGATCGCATTTATTTTCAATACAAAATAAAAATATCAATTTTGCTCATCAATGCCATTGAATTGCGTTTTGAAGATATTATGCTTATGTGAATACACTTTAGCAGACTAAGAATTTGGCCCTAAAAATCTTAGTAACATTGAAGTTTAATGCTTGTTGATAAATAGTCAACAATCAGCGTGCCCCAACATGAAACATGCATACATACGATCGATATCCTGCTAGCACAAAGGTAAATCCGACTGTGAAAATGATTAGGTACATCAGTCAGACGGTTATCATACCGAGTGACAATCTTGTCTTACATCATAGTATTGCCAAGTAAAAATTACTTATTTATTTGATACAAGTCTTCAACTACATGATTTCATACGTCTGTACATACAAATACATCTGAATCCCTCATGCTTTTATTCCCAACTAATTTGTTGCACTAATTATGAAATTTCAGGTTTGCGATATTTTGTTAATAATACCACTGATCATGTACATAAACTACTTAGTTGCATCACACATTTCATACACTTTTTATTGATTTTTTTTCACAGGTTTCACACCTAGAATAATTAAAACAACCGGCGCTTCTGCAATAATGATTGCCGTCTTTGAAAGTTTAAAAGAAAAAGTTGTAAATATCGGAACAAGGTAAATGAAGAAAAAAATTGAGATCAACTTATTCTTGAAAAAATCCTTCACATTACTCAAGTTTACTGTTACGCGACACTACATTGGTCATTTTATTTTGTACCGTGTTTTAGTTTTTAGTGACAACATTGAATAAAATGACTTAAGTTCATGTAATTTGTTTCTAGAGAATTTTTATTTGCAACAGGAAGGTTTTTGAAAAGACAATAAATTGGGATAGCTGAGTATAAAACTAGTAATTTGTGCTTTTTCATTGAAATCAAGAACTGATTTGAGTTAAACAGCCATTAAAGATTTGAAAGCACTGGATGACTGTTTCGTTCTGGTATGGGACTCATCACAAGCGCGCATCCACAACACCACCACTGAAGATCGAATGCTTAACCTCTAGACAAATGAGATTTCCGAAGATATTGGGTTCGATCCTCGGTCGCAAAGTCGCGAAACCGCACTGCTCAATCCCACACTAGGACGGAACGGCTGTCTGGTGCTTACATGCTCAACTTAAATCAGTGTGATTTCAATGAAATTCGGCCATTCCCACAACTCCATAATGACAATTTCTGCTTTACTTTGGAGTACATCGTCAACATATTTGTTTGTATTCCTATGAGCCACCAGTTCTCTATAAAGCAACAGACTAAGCTCGAGATTATATGAATGTTTTAAATGAACTTGCTTATTTGAGTTAAATATCTGTTAACTTCAGTCAAAACACGAAAGCAAGCCATCCTATCTACAAATCTGGATTTTCTTAGAGTGTGATTGCTCTAACACCACTGATGTTGATTTTCTAAGAATTCATTCCCGGAAAAATCAACTATCAGCTTGGGACGAAAACCACGTTTCAAAACATATCTTATGTCAACATTTAGTAATCCTTATTGTCGTGATTCATTAGCAGTGCTTTTGCCTCATACGAGTGAGTCATTTTGGAAGAATTCCGACCGTTCCGGTGACGAGGATCCTTATTGGTTTTTTTCTATCACCCTAAACACTTTTCAAAAACCTGTGCCTTGATTTTAGAGTCATGTCTTACTGCAATTGATAATGTAGCGTTGAGTGTTTCACATATGTTGTCTATCAATAGGTTGGTTCATTTCTAATTCATTTTAGAAGTTCGCCAAATAACAAATAAAATAATAAGTCATAGCATCATTTATTGATGCAACTTGTAAAAAACTTTAACTGACCGACTCATAGTCTCCTAAACTATTTACAAATTTAAAAGGGATAGATGTTGTTCTTAAATTTAACCATATGTCAATTCGTAGTCGCTATGATTCCACTCATGATATGAAGTGTTTTGCCCTTCTTCCCAAAGACTTATTGAACCGCATATCATTGCTCCACCTAAACATATGTCATTATCATAAAATGCACACCATTGTCCCGGTGCAATACAACGCATTGGCGCTTCTAATTCAATTGATAAACATGGTCCAACCTCTCTGTTATCTTCAATGGATGCATCGATTACACTGGCGAGTGTTGCATTGTCTGAGCTAGAAAGACATCGTTTCATGTCTTTCCTAAGGTAAGCTGACGCCAAAGATATGTCACTGAAAGGTTTTAAAATACAGTTAACTGGACGCCATTTGTTTTGCCATTGGAATTGAATATTCCTTGAGTTTATAGATGAAAATGGCTCAGAGTTTATCCAAACTGCAGGACCACACCAACACTTGCGCATAAACAAACTTGGGTGAGCTGGGTCCCGTACCTAAAATACATGTATATGCAAGCAAATAATTAATGATCCCGAAGGTTACAATCTCAGTAATACTATAATTTTATGGTCAATAGTGTGCATATGGTATGAGAAGCTTAATTTGTAAATATATTTGGTAATGTTTCTAAGCTTGGGATTTCTTTCAGGTTGTAGATCACTGATGACGAAACATTTCGTTTGGATTACAACGTCGATATGTTCGTGCACTAGGCTAATATTTCACAACTCCAACTTAAATGCAATGAATGAAACTACTTCTTTACTGTTTAGCTAACTAGAGTGAGAAGTGCAGTCTGTGTATAGATGTTTTGTTGATCAAGACCCCAGAACAATAAAATTAATGAAATATATATCGACGAAAATTACTTTACAGAATTTCATGAAATTTGGTAACTGCCTCTAAACACAAGTCGTAATGAAAAAAATGCATTAAGAGCTGAACTCAAACTCACCTTGAGTCAGTATTTCGGAATGGTGCACCAACAACAAATGTTGCGTTATGGACGTGAATACACTCGATCTACTACCGCTCATAAATAAACCGCGCTTAATAAATCACTTTTTACCTTCAACTGACCGCTTACAACTCACCAGTTCATAGCTTTATTGGTGTTCTTACAGACTGATCTCTTGATCTTTTAGAAGTAAAGGTGAAGTTATTCTACTTAGAATTATTTATCTAGACTTAAAAGTTGTGAAGATTTGAACTCTTTCAACACATCATTTTAGAATACGCACGAAACTACTTGTTTTACCAATTAGTTTTAACATCAACTTTTGATGTATTTTACGTGTGTGATCAAAATAGCCTAACCATTTATCTCATTTAACTTTGTTTGACCCACCACACATTTTTCTGTTGAGTCCCTGTTCATAACGTTCATATTTCTAAACCGAACTTGATTAATTTCTGAGTGAACTTTATATAAATAATCTAAATAGTAAAAACTGAAAATACATTTGAATAAAGAAACCTAATTACCAAGTAGATAAAGTGTTACATGATAATTACCATCTGGAAATTATCTTATAGCTTTTATTCCACAAATCCATTCTTTTTCTCAAACATATTGTTTTTGTCTATTCCTTTCTACTACCACTGATATTGTTACTACTTCCACCACTGGCATTTGCTTCGATGATTTCATCTCACTGTACTAATATGGTCTGGCAACATGAACCGACACAAGTGTGACAGATTTCATGACTGACTGATTAAAATAGGCTAAATGACGCTGTGTTAAAACCTTATCGATATTTAATCCTACAGTCTGTATGTCATATCAATGAGGCGATCATCATACGAGGCATCACATTATCTCGTTTGATGTTCGTCAAAGCATTCTTACATTTACGGCCGTATCTGCAAGACTCTACTTTATTACATAGGACTATGTTAAACAGGTGTTTGGAAACATACTACAGAATCCCCAGGTTTTTCAAAAAGTCAAAGCTATTACCTTTAGCAGCACATTATGTAACATATTGGCTTGATGAGACAAACACCAAAAGCCTCCTGAATGGTCGTGTTAACGTTTCAGACTGGGGAGCAGCGTTACGCAGGTTTCAAATCCCAGCGAGTTGCAGGTACGCCTTGTTAACGAGTACTAACTAATACGAACTAAAGGTATTCAATCTACTACCTACAAACACCTTAAATCTCAACATGGTACACCCAATGTCGGGTTACCTAGACTACTGACCACATTACAACCTGATCCACAGAACACAATAGGCACTACTGGATTAGGCAAACATGATATTACTCACTACTTAGAGATCGGTTAGTCGTAAATACTAAGAGTATTAACAGCATTATGAAAATATCTTCTTGAACACAAAAAAGCTTCAATCAATGCTTGTGGTTTTTAGAATGATTCAAAATAACAGCTCAATTTTCCTGATATTGAAAAATATGAATAACAAAGATATCAAGAGGAATTTTACTCACTACATAAATTATTTGATTGTGACAATCCATTTTACTAACATAATAAGGTCCATTAAAACGTTTAATAGGAATTCGTTGACCCAAAGTAAAATGATGTACACCTTAGGAGAAGAAGCGAAGACCAAGTAGAGTTAATAATCTCGATGTTATAGAGGAAAGTCATGATAAACAAAATAACATCCTATTTGTTAAACATGAAAAAAATTCTACGTAAAACAATCTATTTTCCCCCAAATGAGTATATAATTGAGTAATGCTTGTGGTTGTTTTAAGGAGAAAATCTAAGAGAAGTCTGTTTTATTGTTTATCCTATGACAGCCTAACAAGCTTATTACTAATAATTGGACAAAATACGACTTTTCCAACTGTATAATAGCATTAAACAGTGTTGTGTGAAATCGAGAGCCAACCAGAAGGTTAATCAATGGCAATGGGAAGCGAACTAAAAGACAAGTGAATTTGATTAAGAAATGGGTCAATTTCCAAAGGATTAGAGTGACATTATATGTATTAATGTATAGTATATGGTACCGAAGTGCGCACGTGTGTGTATCGTTGTAAAACAGGGTGGCTATAGCAAATAATATAGGCAACACAGGGTCCAGAAACAAAGAGATGTTTTATTTTAACTTCCTACACGCCACTCCTTCACACAGACACAACAAGATGTGAAGAGAAACTTAGTGGAGATAATCATAACAATAGTAAGGGAGAGCAAAATATAGGGGCAAAAACTTTACGTTTACTACCGGTTATTATAATCATCAAGGAATAAAAGAAGATATAAATAAATGAATGCATCTCCACTACTTTAACTGATATGCAGCCAAGTAGGAAAATTAGCTAACCACTGGTCACAAGAATTATTGTGTCGATTCAAAAGTAAGGAAGCCTGTATGCTGCAACATGACTAAACACCCTAATCACAGCTTACCTGTATGCTCTTCCAAAACTTGATCAGTTTCAAGATCTTTATAAACGCCAGGCTTTGGTTCCAAATACTACATAATACGAGAAAATTTGAAGTAATGAAAAAGGAGTTAGTGTGGTAAGAAAAGCATACAACAGTATTATGTGGTGTGATACAACACATACATGGGTCAAATGTCTAGACGACTGAGTTACACAATTATATTTAAATAAGTTTAAAAATAAAGACAACAGTATTTAGTTAACATTGGAGACTATACTAAATAACATGATACTGATTACATATCTGTGGAGTAACTATTCACGATCATCAAATTAACATTAATCACAACATAAAGACGGGCCAGTACCCAGATCCGAGCTAATATTTGAACCATGGCATTTGACCTTGTTATGGTACAAACTAATTAATCAATGCAATCCGGTAATCACACATAGGCTTATGTGTTCAGCTCTAAGTGAACAAGACTTGAGCCTTCAACCTATTATTACTGATCGGATGTTAATTGTTTTAATTGCTAAGCTACTCAATTTTATCTAAGGTAAATTTATAAAGTATTGTCAGAAAAAAGAGTGAGATGATTACCAAACAAAAATATTAAGTATTCAAGTTTGTGTAGTTGAAACATCGCCTAGATGAGGATAGAAAGAGGAAAACTGACTGCACAATAAACAGAGGTAGGTGGGAGCGTTCGAAAATGCAACTGTTAGGTTGCATGCTTTGACAACCACGTCACTGATATACAGCTTAGTCCTCTTGATTCGATAGTCAGGGACTACGTACAAACCGAAGAATAGAACAAATTATTTAGAATAATCCTCAGTAGAGAGAATGTCATAAATATTTTTTAAAACTTTTAAGACAACTAGTAATTAAAAGGAGTTCACATTTATTACATCTGAATAAAGCTGTTGCGATCAAAAGTTTGGAGCCGAATTTTTGTACTCATAAGGATATTATTTTTGGTATTGGATAATTTGATTTTGCCTCAGTCTTCCACCACTAATATTTTAAACCATGCGCGTAAGTGTAAATTCCTTTCTTTTACCTATTAGAGATTCACCTATTTTACCCACTGATCACCTAACTTGTACTTGGTATTACATGGCTTATGATATAAAAGCAGATTGGATGTACCTGCGCCCGTGTTGACATTTGCACTGAAACTCCAATACGGGTACAAGTGCATCTGGTTGACGAGTCCTAAATGGAACGAAACGCGTGTCCTGGGTTCCACTACTAGCCATCAGTCGATTCTGCCTAAATACTTGTTATTTAATGGCAATATAGAATTAGTCCCTACAGAATGTACATACGCCAAAAGAGGTTGATCGATTGTAGTCCATAATTTCAACGGGAAGATTCACGCAACCGATACAATTGAATCTATAATATTAGTATTTTGCTACCCAAAACTCATCTTTATACAACTGTCGGTCTTCTGTTCTAAAATATTCATATACTTAGCCCACGAATAATCAACCTTGTAAACAATTCTTAGAATTATTTTGCATTTTCTACTTTTTACTAAGCTAACTAACTATGTTATCATATTTAACCTTACCTCAGACCGAGAAATGTGATATGAAATACTCACATTGGCTTGTTTCAACAATTAATACAAACGTATTTAGATAACACATTTTGGATAGTGACTATTATATAGTATAATTTTCGACACCCATTTCACCTTGGTTGAACTCCCCACGGGATATAATCTCCGTACCTAAAAATATATATTTATGTTGTAAGTAGCTAAATAGGAATTCGTGGAATAAATGAATTTATATTTTTCTACCACGGTTGTTGAAAATATGTATTAAGATTATACGGGTATGGTAAAACGATTCAAGATTAAGATATTTCATTCTGATTTAACGTGAAAAGAAATTTCAATTTATAAAATATGTGGAAAAATGAAACAAATAAATAGACGGCTTACATTATCAATAAACTCTGAGAACCGCCTTTTACCAATAAAACACATTCCCATACTCTAAGATAAATAAACAAATAGTAAGTGATGGTTAGAAAAATAAAACGATTGTATTTCATCCATAAGAGACATGAATTTACACAGACTGGTAGATATTTGTATAAATACGTTTAATAATCATTTGGTTGAATGCCAGTTATCAACAACGTAAGACCAGGCACACATATGCATCGGTCCAAGTTGCCATACCTTATCAGTACAATACGATGAACACTAAATTCATAGTAGTTACTTCAGTGAAAACTCATTATATATATATAATCTTTGTTCTCCTAATTCTGAGTCATTAATGTCAATTATATTACATCGCAAAGTTACACTCTTATACGAATACGGTTGTAAGCAGCTTGTGAGAAACCACGAAACAAAATGAATCCATATTATTCTGCCTCAACTGTTGTTTTAGCATTCTTAAAATGCGTAAAGGGAACCAGTTATATGAATTTTATACACGAGCTTGTATCTTGAGACAGAAGTTGAAGTAATACAACCAGATGAAGGCCAATTGTTTATCTTTATGCACCAAATCACAGATTGATTTTATTTAGACTACCATGGACAGTTGTTTCTTCCTAGTATGAGACTTCAAAAGTGAGCATTTAAGACCCTGCCACCTAGGGTTGAAATCAGGACCTTCAATCTCGCGAACGAGCACTTAGCCTCTAGACCTCTGGTCGCTGCTGTCTCATACTAGGACGAAACAGCTGTCCAGAGCTTCCCGATTTTTAATGATAGTCTAAGAATAATTGGTGAGTTAATCTATTAAAATATAATAATCTGCGCAAAACCCTTATACTAATAGTTTACTAATAATTTGTTACTATAGACTATGTAATTTCTTAAACTGACTAATAACATTTGTTGGTATTTAAACTATTATTTTTTCTCAAGTTGCATGTTTGCTGGTGCTCGGATCGTTACTTTAAGTTGAGGTTGGGGAATGTTTAGTTTTCTGAACTTTTGTGAACTTCATCTAACAACTGACGTCTACCTGATGATGATATTATTGATGCAACTCGTTCATAAGAAGCCAGCCTTAAAACCCTAGAGGATTTCAATTCCCACGACAAAATGTTTCGGCCTTACCCTATTTTTTTTTCATAGCTTCACATACAATTGAGGTTTGTATGACTTTTATAACCATTTACTCAATTATCCTTAAATAGAACGAATTTCGTTGTGTGAAAAATAAATCAGGTAGTTGGTTTGTTAACGGAAGCCTGATATCAGCATACAAGTAAAAAGCTGTGATTGTAGAAAACAAAAGGCTTCTGAGGTTAGATAAACCAGGGGGAATATTTATAGTTTTGACATTTACAAAAATTATATCAGTAATTTCTATTTGATAAAATAATTATAATAATCTAAAATCACAATCCATGGTTTTAATGACAAAAAATACTGGAAGAAACATCAGTCTCTTGAACTCTTTATATATACGTTTCTAATGGTGACTGATAGGTATGAAGGCTACTTATAGCAGTTCGAGTCGACCACTCTTAACGTTATACTAAATATAGTAGATTACGATTTCGTTTCTAATGACTATGGCTGACGAACATACGTTGAAAAACTGGTGAGCGATTTAGTCGATAAGTTTAATTGATTAACGTAACTCACTCACAAAATACAATCCAGTCTAGTCAGTCTCGGACTACGTTATTTTTTGTGACAGCCATTGATACGACCCGGCTGCTCAAGCAGAAGTAGGTAGGGGGAGCAGCTAACTAGTGTCACTAGGCCTCACATTTGAACTTTAACTTAAAGTCCAGTACATGAAATTATAGTTGACACATATATCCTTTGTATTTTACACATACGTTTTTTATGTTTAATTTCATCATTCTGTTTTACTATAGTGTTCTTAACTGGGTTTTTTGGAATGCTTGTTGTATTATTATCACTCAGATGTTCAGACCTGTTTTTATGTTCATAAAAAAGAGAAAGCATAACCAATTTAATTTTATAAGCCGGTTGATATTTCCAGGAAACTTATGCAATAAAGTATGGCTTAAATCCTGTGACTTTGAACTTGCTTACTAAATAAGAATAAAATGGTTATAAGAAAAACTACAACTTCACAGAATTAAAGGTAACATTTTGAATGTATGATATAATTTAAATGTTGAAATTAAAATTAAGAAAACTTTAGTGATAATTATTCAAGTAATAGGACTTTTATCAATCAAATGGAATAATTAGGTGTATATTCTCTTAAAGTTGATTAAAAGAATAAATCAATATCCTTTTAGTTATTACTAATAGTTGTAAATTTTGTAAGTTAGAAATATTGAGCAAACAATGAAAAGAGTTCAAAAATAAACCCATATAATAAACATACTTCACGTCTGGAGTATATACGAGAAAGGCCAATATCTTGAGCAATTTGTTTCACTTGGGTTTTTAATAGATCTCCAACTGGAAACATACAATATGGAAGTTCTTTGTGAGAAATCTAGGATAAAAATTAGAGTAAAAAAATTCATATTAGATAAATCACAAGTCTAATTATCCAGTCGAGTGATTAGAATCCTTGGTTAGTACTGAAGCGACTTAGGTTCAATTCCTGGATGAGATGTTATACTGCCGGTATGGAAAATAATGGTTTGAATATTCGACTTTTAACTATTGGCATAGCATTTAGAGTGCTACTGTTGTGAAGTAAAAGCTTAGTGATGAAATCATATGGATTTCAATCAGTAGCTCGCAGATTCGAAATCCTAGTGGCATCATTAGGTGTTTCCACAACTGAGTCAGTTATCGCATCAGAGCACGTTAACTTGTGCTTATTATATGTTATACAAGTCCTGATGTCCCATCTTATATGTGAACAAGCAAATGAAATTATCAGTTGTTGAACGATAAGTGTGGCTAGCATTCTAGGACATGAACAAATAATATATCGCTGTTACATCATAATTTTGTGGTTCACATCACAGAGTACCATTGAATCTAGGTAACAACGAACAACTGTTTCGTTCTAGTATCAGACTTTTCAGTAGTGCGAGTCAGCGACCACACGGAGCATTGCAATTACCTATTCTTTGTAATACACTGACAGTGAACGTAATTCTTTACTAGATGAAAGAATCAGTCAGTCAGCTACAACGTAGGACCAGGCACATATATGCATCGGTCCAGGTTGCCATACCTCATTAGCACAGCAAGATGAACACCGGATTCATAGGAGTGGTTAGGTCAAAGGTGGTAATATATAAAAGAAAGATTGCATATAAGGATACAGTACAGGAAGAAAGAAAGATATGAAGTTATTTTAATCTCTTAGCTTAAGGGATGACAGGGAGTGTATACACCTACGCCATTGTGATCGATTCTGAGCCACGTCACTAAGATTCTCTAACCATTGGTTACGATAGTCACACGGACCCCAACCACGTAGTCTGCATCTACCAACATGGCTCAGACTAGAAGTTAGTGACTTCAAGCACTGATGCCACGTTTTGGTTTGGCCGCCTCTAACTTTCTTCCAACCATCTCTAATACCGGATAGCATTGCACGTCGTGGTAGTCGGTGTTCAGGCATACGTAATACGTGGCCCAACCATCTCAGTCGATGAAGATTCATAACCTTATCGACTGATTTACCATCATTCCCTAATACCCTGCGTCTAACCTCACTATTACTTACCCTGTGATCCCAGCAGACGCCAGCAATATTTCTAAGGCATCTGTGGTCAAATACTAGTAGCTTACGAGTGTCTTCTACTCTTAATGGCCATGTTTCGCTGCCGTAAAGTGAAACAGAACGGACTGCCGCGCAGTATACTCGTCCTTTTATTGATAAACAGATATCTCGCCTTCGCCATAGGTGACGTAAGTTGGCAAAAGCCAAACGAGCTTTTCGAATCCGTGCTGAGATTTCGTCAGACACCAGCCCATTAGGGCTGATCAGACTTCCAAGATAAGTGAAGTTGTCAACGCGTTCGACTGCTTCATTCTCTATCCTTAGTTCAGGTGTTGACGCAGACCAGTCCTGAAGCAACAACTTGCATTTAGAGGGAGAGAAGCGCATTCCAAACATTCTGGCACTGTTACTTAGTGTTACCAATAGACTCTGCATTTTATCAGCGTCTTCGCCAAACAGGACTATGTCATCTGCGTATTCTAAGTCGATAAGTGGACCTCCTGGAAGGAGATCAACGCCCGAGAATTCAGTCGACGAGAGTGTTATTTCCATCAATAGGTCTATGATGAAGTTAAACAAAAATGGAGAAAGCGGACAGCCTTGACGGACACCACTTGAGGTTGCAAAAGTAGATGACAGTTCGCCATAAGCCCTGACTCGACTAGTAGTGTTCGAGTAAAGAGCCTTCACAATGTTTATGTACTTCTGAGGTACATCTTTCAATGAAAGACACTGCCACAGAATCTCGCAGTCTACCGAATCAAATGCTGCTTTTAAGTCAAGAAAGACCACCATTGTCGGACGTCGATAAGTATGTCTGTGTTGTAGAACCTGACGAATGGTGAATATGTGGTCGATGCAGCCACGACCAGGTCTGAAGCCAGCTTGAGTCTCTCGTGTTTGCAGTTCACGAGTCTTAGTTAGGCGTCTGATAATTATCGAAGCTAGTATTTTAGATGCTATATTAGTTAAACTAATCCCTCTGTGGTTGTCACAGGATGATTTTGACCCTTTCTTATATATTGGGACGATAAGTGATTGTGACCAGTCAAATGGAATAACGTCTAACTCCCAGATCTTAGCTAAAATATTAGTCAACCTAATCGCTAAAATTGGACCACCGTCCTTAAAGACTTCTGGAGCCAATCCATCTGGACCAGCTGACCTTTCTCGTTTTAGATTAACTATAGCCTTTTGAACTTCTGCTAGAGTTGGGGGACCTACTTCAATGTTCCATTCACACTGTCTGGGAATGGAGGGTAGTTGTAGAGTAGCTGAAGGCCAGTTGAACTGTTCCCTAAAATGTTTCGCCCATCGTTCTAAACGTCTGGACTGTGAGCAGATGAGAGTATCGTCTTTTTCGGCTAAACGGCTCCGTAAGATGAAAGAATATCTAACACTAACAGAAAATTGACTTGATGGGTGAATGCTGATAAGCAATTAAGGTATTTCTGAAATACTTCATGTTAGTTGATAATACTTTTTACTACACAGTAATATCAAACTTACTTGAAAAGGAAAACCTGACATCTAATAACTTAGCAATTTTAGATTACATTGGATCAAACTGAACGAAAAATTTATCTCGTTCAAAATAAACAAAACACAGTTGTTCTATTTAAATCGATGTCCGTAGATCATAAAAACAATTGCTTATTTATAATGTTTGTAACAAACTGATAAAACTATGTAGCCACACCAATTCAGTGCTTCCGCACTGGGTTTTAACGCTAGCAACCTAGTACTTTTTTATTTGAAATTTATTATTATCAGTAAACCATATTTGGAATATTGAGTTCCACTTTTAACTAAGTAAAGATGAAAGGAGTTCACATCGAAGTGTCCTAACGGAAACGTTTGTTTCTACTTAGCTGATCTTCGATCATACTTCATATGATTTTGAGATGGTGGAGAAGATTTGTAGCTCAGGTGGATGATTTTGGTTTCGTTTTGTTCTCTGACCAAACCATCCAGCTCCGAGAACAAAACTCCGCCAGAATCATACTTCATCTATTTCTGTATCATCATGCTAAAACACAAATGCTGTTTCTGTTTTAAACGAAAGGCAGATAATTTATGTCTGTATCGTAGGATCACCATCAACTCTTACAGTCGATAGCCAAAATGTCTGGTCTTTCACTCTATCAACAGAACGTAATAATCTGGCCTCAATATTGTCCTTTCGGTATTGCAGATAATTTCCAAAAGAATTTTGACAGTAATGGCCAGTGGCAATTGCGTCTGCAGCCAAATTTGAAGATGCTTGAACGTCATCATCAGCGCATTGGTTCTTGCTTTTTAACACTGCCCTTGTTAGCAAATTGAATTTTACAAATCTATTACACAATATATCTGGATTTGGTGTAGCTCCCTGCTCATAGGACTTGATAAGCGGTCTAAATAAGTGAAATAACCGGCATTATGATAATCCGTATATAGAAATGAAACACTTACAAAAACACGTAATTCCAATATTCTTTAACAAAATTTTTCTCGAAAAAAGGTATCCCCAAATGATCACAAACAAACTGAGCATCTTGACGGTCTTTGTCTAAAGAACAGTCAGTATTTTCATCCAAGGAATCCCAGTTAGTCATAAATACACCTTTGACTTGAAATCCTGAAGTAATGTACAAATTCGTCGTAAAAAATAATCTACCTCTCTTCTTGAGAAGATATGCAGATACAGCACTATCTACACCGCCTGATATTGCACAGGCAACTGAATGGATTGAATTTACATATGTAACACAACTGAGGTTTGAACCGAACCAATTGAACAGATTTCGGCGTTTCAACATCCTACAGGAGATCAGAGGGTTATGCAAGGGAAAATCGTGATACATTATTGGAAACTGAAAAAAGAATTCATACATCACGACCTCATCAATCATTACTACTTTCTACTTATAACGTCAGTAACGACTGAATTTATTTAGAGAAGTTGTACACTTCATACGTCAGATCAGTTCAGGTGAACATTCATCTAAATCCTGTGGCCAGCACCTGAATTCCAGTGCTCATGTACTAGTCAAATCATACTAAATTATAAACATCCAAATACCAGGCATGAACCATGCAAGAGACACAAGACTATTACTAAGGAATTATTAAAACAAACAAACAAACAGTCGTAGTAATGAATATTACCTTAAACATTATTTTAATTATTAAAGACTCTGAAAAGTATTATATTAACTGATGTAGGAAATATATCCCAATCAACTAAAAAAGGCGAAACGAGCCAAAATGACTTCTATTTCGCCAGTCCGAGGTAAATAACGCGTATTCCACACTTTTTGTGCCTCTCTCCGAAATGTCGCTGAATTGTTTACTTTTTCCCTACGTATACGCCAAAATATCTACTTCTCAGAAGCTGTCTATCCAGTACAACAACATATTTTTGCTGCTAATGAAAACGATATCTGGTTATCTTTATTTGGTTTTCAAAGTTACCTTGATGTGGAACCAGAAACAACACATTCAAGAATCAATTGCGAGGATTACTCTTGCAGGTCAAATTACAGTCGACAAATTGGTGTGACGGTAATAAAAATCCAGAACTTGGCTCAAATTCGGAGGCCAAATTACACCACTTGTTGTACCATAACTCAACAAAAGTTTATTATTTTATGCAGAGCATAAGTATTTTCAACTAATCTCTCTACTCATTGACCTAGATCGGGTAAGAAGCACTTTAGCCTACAGAGCTACGTAATGCGTGGGAGAAATCAAACTTTTATTGCCGGAATGTCTGTCGTTGCTGCGTCAATAAGTATCGATCTCCGCGAAATCAAGGGGCAACGACTACGCAATACTGATGTGTCCCTGTTCAAAATAAACTGTTATTCGATAAGGTTATACTGAAACGATCATCTATATATTTGAAGATGTGACAAACATGCGAGATTCCAACAGTTGTAATATTCAGCACAAACAAATGCAACTTTCGAATGCATTGACTGAATCGCATCGTATAACAAATGGAATGATTATTTAGTGGCATTTCTAAAAAATACCAGGTGACGCACACACACAATAAGCATCTTCAAAGAGCTCTAATTCCTACAAAATACCTATTTCCGTTATGAATAAAAAACACAAACGATACAACCTCGTTATAGTAACTCTCGCTAAACCAAAAACTACGGACAATTAATGATAACCTGAAAGAAGTGGATAAAATACTCTCTTGTCTTTGGTATATTTGTGCAGGTGAGATTCGTCTCTTAATTATCAGGCCAATATAAAGCACAGCAGTGAGTCCTGTATTACTCTGAAGTTGTGAAATATAGCTTAGGGGAGTAGATATGAGTCAGCTTCTAATATTTGATTCTAGATACTTTGGAAGTATTAATGAGGTCCGCTAACCCCATCCCTTCAGACCCCATTATGACAAATATGAGCACTTGGACTTCTTTGCTTTCGTTCAGCTAACTTTCTTCGCCGTATGATAGCTTGAAACAGTACGTGCGTTATACTTTACATTTTCATAACTAAACGAATTCAGTCTAACTTAATAACATACCACTCGTTGGTGAGCGTTTTGGAAACAATAGAAAACCATAAGTCGACCGTAAATGCTTGAATCAGCCGATAAGACCAGTTTCTAGTCGTTCTAACGTGTATCTAGTCATGCGATAAAAACTGTACACTAGTTAGTATCGTATATATAAAATGGTTGAAAAAAGTAGGTAGCATACTCGGAGTTTGAAAAATTTTCCCTAGAAAACGAGAGATGTGAGCCCCGTCATCTACCGAAGTGAAACTTCACCTAGAAACACAATTATATATATATATATATATATATATATATATATATATATATATGGAGTGAGTGACATTGCACGAATCCCTTTCAGATACCTCAAATGAGCAGAAAAATGCATTTAAAGTCAACGAATTGCTGGTACTTGCACAACAGGTCAACAATTAGCGCAATACTTTTGGTAATTTTAGTTCCAGCACAATGACTTCATTTTCAGCCAACCAATACACACTTCCAGAAAAAATATTTGTCAGCTTTAATTTAAAAGCCATTTTTAACGTACAAATTTTATCTGCATGTTAATTCAGAGGTATTCATAACCAAAATATCTTGGACAACACGACTTAGCCTTGACATACTCAACCGTCAGAGATCAGCTGTTTACCTACTTCAAATCATTTAAACTTCGACCTGAAATTGCTCAATGTACAAGTAGCCCGAATGTTCAATCTTTATGAAGCTGAAATCAAGAACGCATTGTTTCGTGGATTCTGAGTCTAAGGCTTTGTAGGTTAGTTATTTGTTCAAATTATAGAATGCTTTTTTATCTTGATCCTACAATAATCGAAAATAATAGCTGAAAGTAGGAATCCAATATTGGTTTCTGATAATTGTAAACAGATTGAAAAGAGCCATCACTAGGTATGAACTTGATAGCGATAAACAAAACGGAAACAAAAACGTTGTAATAGACGGTGCTACACAGCACAAACACACTCATTTCTGAGTAGGTACGATCCCAATAGACCCACACGTCACTTTTAGTCTATTTGGTTATTTTCAGAAAAGATCTTCAGTCCTCAGTAATAAGGATGGTAGGTTGGTGAACCTGTGTTAATCCTAACAGATTGCCTTCCAGTGAAGGTTCAGCTTCTCCTTGAAAATATTCACTGGTGGGGATGATACCACTTGTTCGGGTAAGGCGTTCCAGTTATTGACTACTGGATGAGCAAAACCGAACCTCACTTTAAGTTTATTAGGTCGCGGTTTATGAACCTTCTTGCTATGGCCTCGGAGATTATTGGTGCTGGAGGGAGCAAAAATATAGAACATATTAACACTCAAATCATAATTAAAGATACGAAATGCCAGTATAAGATCACCTCGCGTCCTGCGATACGACAAGGGGAAAATGTTTAGGCGTTTTAAGCGCTCATCGTAGAGGAGTTTAGAAAGACCCTTCACTAATTTTGTTCCCACACAATGAATACGCTCAAGTGAGTTAGTGTCCTTTATCAGACATGGGCTAGCAGCTTGGATACAGTACTCTAAGCGTAGTCTTACATAGGTAGGATATAAAATGCGAAACATTTCCTCGTCAAAGCATTTGAATGCTTGGCGAAGTGACCGTAATGCACGAAAACCTTTGACAGCAGCTGCGCTGCACTATGTAGTTTTTTTCAAGTCATGAATTATTATTGCTCCTAAGTCTTTATGTTCTTGAACGCTTGGAAGAGATGTACCATCAATAGTATACTTGTAACTATTACCGCGTCCGATGTGCATGAGCACACTCTTCCTAGAACCAACTTATAAGCCCCAACTTTGAGCCCATCTAACTGATTAATCCAAGTCAGCTTGAAGATCCAAATGATCAGCCTCATTTCTTATTGTTCTCCAGATTTTGACATCATCAAACAGTAATGTCGACGACTTAAGCAACAGCATAATTCATTAGCTTAGATAAGGGAAAGTAGAGGGCCTGAGATAGTGCCTTGGGGTACACCACTTTTGACCGGCTTGTATTCAGATAGCATTCCATTGACCTTCAATCTCTGTCTGTGGTCACATAAGATGTTTCCCATACGTTCCTGTACGGCACCTATTATTCCGAAGCTCGAGAGCTTCTGCATAAGACCTAAGTGTGAAACCCTGTCAAATGCTTTGTTAAATTCTATGATCATCACATCGGCAGACAGACCGTTATCTATGGCTGCTTTTCAATCCCCTCTCGCAATAAGTTAGTCAAGCATGAACGCTTTTTACGAAACTCATGTTGCTCGGGAGTTAACAGATCAGTCAGTCAGCTACAACGTAGGACCAGGCACATATATGCATCGGTCCAAGCTACCATACCTCATTAACACAACAAGATGGACAGCGGATTCATAAAAGTAGTTAATTCAGAGGTGGTAATGTGTAAAAGAAAGATTGCAATAAGGATACAAATTGTATATCGTGTGTTCTAAACTTAAAGTACAGTACAAAGTTGTCACTATTCACTAGTGGGGGGAAGGTGCTGAGCGTCGACGGCATCCTCACAGTGGTGTGCGAAGACAAGGTCTAGCAATGACGAGTCATGTTCCATGTCAATATGTGTCGGTTTTGCGATACGTTGTACAAGTGCACACTGAATAATAGTTGATAGAGGGTCTCTATCGAAACCCTCACCTGGAACTGTAAGCTCTATCCAGTTGATATGTGGTGCGTTGAAGTCACCAATGATGAGACTACATTCTGCCTTACTCCATGAGCAGATGTGTCTAAAGATAAAGTCGTCAGCAAGACAACACGGACTACGGTATATTCCTCCTATAGCCAATAACCCAATTCTGAACTTCATTGTGCAACATTCTACCTCACATGTACCACTAACATGACAAGGATCTTTGGCAGGTATATGGGAACTATCTTTTCATGAAACAAGGCCTACTTTTGACAGGTTCAACAATAATTAATTTCACAAACGATAACATTTTGCACGGTGTTCCTTCTGAACACATTATTTCGCTAATTCTCGTAGTTGTATGCAGTGAGAAAATTCCAATTTCCTGAACCATATGACTGCAGAAACACAGCCACTTATCTAGCGAAAATACTTGATGATGACGTTTAATAACCTTGTGATAAAGTGTCATGAAGTATTTACTGAATGT